GAAAAAATAAGCAATGTTCAGACTTTCTACTGTGGAAATACTGTAGATGGATTTTTAAGAACACCTGAACAATATTTCAGCCAATCAAGAATTGATGAAGTACTTGTTATCTCAGTTCTTTTAGATAACAACCACTGAGGTAACTACTGTGCAGTTAGAATGTCAAAACATTTAATTGACTTGTCCCAAAACAAGTTTTGCCTTAATTCCATTTGTAACAGAGTGGTCTGAAGACCTCAACTGTTGATTGTATATCTAATGACATATTTAGGGGGGGTGGGGTTGAAGTTTCCTTCTTCGCTACCTGGGCAAAAGATACAGCATGGAATTCAGGCAACATAGTTCTTTCTAACCATAGGCAGTTTGCAATTTTTTGAGAGAGGGTAACTAAGATTAGCTGGGCAGAGGGTAGGGGCATTCAAAATGATCCATATAAGCAGGGCTTTTTTTGTCACAGATCGTACTGGAACAGTGTTCCAGCACCTTTTTTTCCAATGGATTTTACAAAGTGATTTTGAATGGATCAGAAGCAGACATCATTAACATAGTGCCTGCCAGCTGCTTTTGTGTCTGCTATCTGATAGTGAGATAGTGAGGGCCTGCTCTCATTGGGGTGTGTGGTCCCACGCTGAGTGCTTACTGCCAGCACTTATTTTTTTTTTTTTTTTTTTACAAAACACTGCATATAAGTGAATCAGTAGGCTAGTGAAGCCTAGGCTGATACATCTGTTAGACAGGCTTTCTACAGCAGGAGCAGGAAGTATTTGCCCATCTTGACATGCCAAACACCCCAAAATTAAGGGTTGGCATGCAGATACGCCACTACAGGATATAGGAAGAGACAAGTTTTGATCCCCAGCAGCAAGAGACATGGTTAGGATGATACATAGGTATGCACAGCTAACCAAAACAACTAGTGAATGAAGCTACATGCAAATGGTTTCCTTAGTAATGATCTTTCTAACATTTCATAATAATTTAGATTAATTAATTCCTGATCATTGCTGATGCATTGCCAAGAAGTAAACTGACTAAATGAAAAGCCAGTGAGGATTGCACAAAATTAGGAAATGTTATGCCATAGCTCTTACATTTTTCAGGAATGGCTATGGACTAAAGCAGTTAAACACTAAAATACTTCCAGTTAAGATAGGGGGGCCCAAAAATGAAATTCAGACACTCAGTGAGGATTCTGAAATACTTCCTCTTTTTCATGCATTAACACTGCTGGTTCATTTATGCAAAACTGCCTAAGTGCTCTCCTTGTGTGAACAGTAAAATCTTACCTTATGAAAGCAGCACTGGCATCTTCTATTAGCATGAGCACTTGGGCTACAAAAAGTCCTGCTTATGAAAGCTGCCATGGCAACACCTATGAAATGACTTGCATCGGCATACAGGTACACTGTAACACTGGGTAAGCAGTTAAATTGTGCAAATGAGCTAGTTAGATGCATCACCTATGAATTCCAGACAAAAGTTAGATTTCTTCTTAGGATCTTCATTGCAAGTTTGTGAGCAACCTACAGCTCTGAGAATTACTAAACTGGTTATACTGATGACATTAGAGAATATTGTCAGCATAGCAAAATAAATGTTAAATTGATATCAACTTCTACCTTAGGAAAAGTACATTGTTCACTGTTAATAGCTTATACATGTTAATAATTTTAGAATCTACTGTGCTCCTGTGTTGGCACCAAGCCTAGCAGATATAGTCTCTAGGCAATGGCACCCTTTACAAAACTTTACTAAATACATGGTAACCACAATGGGAACAATTATCTATAATTGTTATTCCTGAAGTCCAGTAGTTTTGAAGAATACTGTTACATTCCGGTCTGCATCTTATAAGCAATTTGAAAATTATTTACATATGATGCTAAATAGGTGTATATGTTAAGCTGGATACATACCAGTATTTGCTCAGAATAAACATATTAAATCAGTGTTAATGTCTATAATATTGCAGACATTAGTATAATAAAAACACCTGGAAAAGGAAAACAGGACAGCAACTAACCATGGTCTGTTCAGTGTGCTGTGGTGCTCAAATACAATCATAGTGTATCTAGGGTGCATGGGTATTGTCTAACAGAATCTATATTTCCTGGTTGCAGAATCTGTCTCCCACATTAGCACTGTTCAGTTTTTAAAGCAGAACAAAAAATAACTGGGATGTTTTCAAGCAGAAGCTTGGTAAGTTTGGTTTAAGTGAACCACAGCTCTGCTGAAACATGTTGGTTACTTCTGTGCTAATCTGACATTGCTCTCATGACATAATAAATGTTTATATTCTCAGATTTTAGAAAGTAATTCTTCTTACTCTGGTGTTGGTAAATGTGGTCACACTAGTTTTCAGTTTATCTAAACAGTAGAAAACGAAGAACTGTACTGTTGCTTAGAATGCTTACCCACTTCTGCAAACACTATGTAATTACATGTCTCTGCTACCTCTACCTTTCTGTTAATTGCAGACATTATGAATAAGAAGCCACGACTAGCCTGGGAGCTGTACCTGAAGATGGAAACCTCAGGGGAGTCCTTTAGCCTTTTGCAGCTAATTGCAAATGACTGCTATAAAGTAAGCCTCCTTCTTTCCCCACCCATCCTTAGTTGTTAGTGTCACTTACAACCTCCCAAGATACTATTGGAAATTATTTTGTTAAAAATTACATCATTTGGAAATGATTACCACCTATCACTGTAAACCAAGAACTGTTTGCATTTTTTTCCTGGCATAATCTAGCTTTAAAGCATACACATCAGTGTGTTAAACATATGTGATACTACTTGAGAGATTTTTTGCTACCTAGAATGTGATTCTCAGTATACCTTCTGTAGTAAGTATTCCTCAATTAAGAACAGGTAGTAAATACTTTGCTGAGACTGTGGAAAAACTGATGACTCCTCTGAGAGTTTTGCCTATCATTCAAGAATTCATCTGATCTGCAAGGCGAGCCTGAATCAGTTTTACCTCATGCTCAATTGGTAGGTTCATTCAGTCACCTTATTCCACATTAATTTAAGGATATATTTTAGGCTCTTGCAACCTAAGCTTAAAATGATATTGTTTACTCCTCCTCTGAACAAGTTGGGAGATGTTAGAAAGATGCTAATGCTAACTCAACATTCCTTCTGACTTTGTCCAACTAAGAAACTGAAGCAAAATGTAACTCATCTTCTGCTTGTTGCTGTTTCCTAGAGTATCTTAAATAGATACAGAAAGTAATTTAGGTTCAGCATTTCAAGAAAAAAGCAAGATATTAAGGCTAGTTTTTATGCTATTTTCAAGAACAATTGTGTTATAAGTAACTTTACTATGAATATATTAATGTGGTTAAACTTAGAGTGTTTAGAACTTTTCATGCAACTAACAAATGGTTAGAGGTGTTTTCCACATTTTCTGCACATGATCTAAGCATGTTAAAACTGGCCCATTATCCTAAATTATCCACACATATATGAAATTGGACTGAAGCTATCTTGCCTCCTGTTATCTGGAAAAAATCTGAAAGTTTCTACTCCATGACTTGCTTTTTTAATGAAAAGCATCTTTTTTTTCACTTGTTTAATTAAATGTTGGCATCTCAGGCCTATAACCTTATCTCTTAAACAGATGGGCCAATTCTACTATTCTGCAAAAGCATTTGATGTCCTGGAAAGACTGGATCCTAACCCAGAATATTGGGAAGGCAAAAGGGGTGCCTGTGTTGGCATCTTCCAGATGATCATAGCTGGTAGAGAACCTAAGTACGTACACTAAATTTCTTCTTACGCTGGAGTCAGTGCTTTAGCCTCTTACATTGTTGTTGCACCATCATGCTTGCTGATGTCAAATGCCTATAGGTACAAGCATGCCTATAAATCATGGAAGGGGGAAGGCACTTTTTTGATCACAAAATCTGGTAACTAATGGGCTGTAAATGCAAGTGTCTCTTGGGTACTGGTGTTTCAAGAGTAGTACAATTGAACTAAAAGGAAGGATTGCTGAGAGGTATAGGAAAGAGAAATATACAAGCTAGAAGACAAGACATTTCTTCTTTAAAAATTAACAGCTTGATTATAGTTTTAATAAAGCCAATAGAAAGAGAAATAGTGGTTCTTATTTCCAGTAATATTTCTTCTTCTTCTTCTTTTCCATCTTATTCTCACTTAGTATAAAATTACTTCAGTAAATAGTTCATATATATATATATATATATATATATATATATATATATGTATATTCTCATGCATACCTATGCATGCACACACAATTTATATTGCTCTTTCCTATATTAACAAAGTGGCTTACTTATTTATGAAACAGTATACAATACAAAAACAAAGCATGAAAAAACCAGTTTAAAGCAGTAATTAAGTTGTAAGGTAAAGAATATAAGTTAAGAATACCTTAAGAAGAAAAGGCCCAGTATAAATTAATGGAATGGAGAGAAAACTGCAGGGAGAATTTGGAAAAAGTACCTTTCCCTTTGTCCAGTTTCTGCCAGTAGGAACTTCCACTGGATAGAAGTTCTTTCCTGCTGTTTTCCAAAAGGCAATTTAGAATTCCAGCCATAATCTTTAATCAAAGTACATTCTGTTCACCCTAGTTCTGGGCACCAGAATTGAAGATGGATGCAGAAAATCTTCTTTTTCAGTGAAGATTTTCTGTGACAGCTTTTGTTCAAAAAATAGCAGTTCAGAGCATCACTTCTGTTTCAGTTAACTTCAGTGTAGAACCACATGTTCAGATGATTGGTTGCATCCAGACAATAGGATAATGAAGCTAAATCTCTAAATGGCTAAGTATTAAAATCTGTATGAGCATGGTTTAACAAAAAGCATTTGGGCCTTGTAAGTCATATGGAAAACACAGGCTGGCTCCAAGACTTTGCTTTCTAGGTAATAATAAGCGCTTGGTGCCTATTGTGATTAAAGCACTTTAAAAGACATAATAAGGACAGAAGTAACCCATATTACCACATTGAGATCTCTTTAAAAGCTAAACCAGTTGCATGCCAATTTTATTTATTATAATTATGTATACTCCACTTACCAAAAAAGCCACTAATATTAATAATGTGTTTATAATGTTAATATAATATTAATACAAATGCAAGAACAGTAGCACTAAAAGCCAAGGAGCAAGCATAAACAAGAGAAATAAATTATAAGTTGACCTATGGGATAATAATCACCCCCAGTCTAAAAGCTGGAAAAGCGGTAGCATGGTAGACCTGCCAACCAAGATTTTACTAGTGGTGGGGCAGAGAACAGAGCCACTGATGCTGATCTCATAGCTTGAGCAGGTTTGTATGGTAAAGCATGCGAACACAAGTGCTTTAAATTTTGTCTCAGAACAAAAGCTGCATTTCTTTGAACCATTTCTATCCAATCTTTCCATGCCAATTTCAAGTGGCCAACAAGATAACAATGAAATATAGTAAGCAATTATTGAAAGCCAATAAGAGATAAAAGATATTTGAGTTAACAAAGACTTAAGTTAACAGCTCAACAGATTAAATACTTACCAAAAGTGAAAGTATTTCATAGCATCTGTAAGCCATCAAAGAAGGGACAAGGTAGGCATCTTGAAACACAGACTTTCAAAATTAGAGCAAAGCCACAGAGAATGTTGTCTTCCACAATCTGACCAAATGTAACCCAGATATTGCTTGAATGCAATAACTGAAGATTTATAGAAGATAAATAAAAAATGGGTTCAAATACTTCTGTCAGCATAATTACCTTTTTGTAGCAGTTGTTACAGTTTAAAGATGGGGGAATACATGGCTCAACAGATCTGAAAAAGACCTTAGAGTAATTGTGGACAACAGACTAAATTTGAGCCAACAATGCAATTCAACGGAATGGCAAATTCCATTTTGGGATGCATTAATAGACGTATTATTTCCAAATCATGGGAAGTAGTAGTTTCACTATACTCCTCACTATTCTGACCCCATCTGGAATACTGTGTCTCGTTCTGGGCACCAGAATTTAAGATGGATGCAGAAAAATTAGAAAGGGTCCAGAGGAGAGCAACAAAAATGATCCGGGGTTTGGAAACACTACCCTGTGAGGAGAGACTAAGAGAACTGGGCATGTTCAGCCTTGAGAAAAGAAGACTGAGGGGGGACAAGGTATCCCTTTATAAGTACTTCAGAGGCTGTCACAAAGAGGAAGTTCAAGATCTCTTCTTGCTGATACCAGAGTGTGGGACACGAAATAATCTAATTCAAGCTGCAACAACCCAGATTCAGGCTAGACATCAGGAAAAGCTTCCTCGCTGTTAGAGCAATATGACAGTGGAACAAGCTGCCTAGAGAGGTGGTGGACTCTCCCACATTAGAGACATTCCAAAAGAAACTTTACAACCAACTGACTGGGATAGTGTAACTTGGTGTCCTGCAACAGCAGGGGGTTGGACCTGATGGCCATCATGGCCCCTTCCAGCTCTACTATTCTATGAAAAGCAGCCTTACACAGAGAGAACTGTAGCGTTTTAGCCTGATTGTACTAAGTGTATGAGTGAGGGAGGTCAAATTTGTCTCTATGAGCTAAGGTCACAGTTGTCAAACCAACTGAACCTGGTAAAAGGTACACCCATTGTTAAAAAGTACTCCCATTTGCAAATGAATTTGTACAAATAATAAAATTACAAATAAACTTACAGACTTAAAATTTCTTATTTCCTGTGAGAAGCAATAGTATTTTTCAGTTTTTAAAAATTTGCTTTGACTCAGATGATATTTGAAGTGGTCTGATATCCTCCAGACCTGGTAACAAAGGGATGAGACAAAACTGTTGGATTTAAAATAAGTCTATGGCTGTTTTAACTAACCACAAACATCTGCAGTAAAGTAATCTCTTACTGCTCAATTTGATTATGTGTAGCTTAATTAGCTGCACCAAGACTGTGGATGGGAATTGACACTATTGCCTCTTACCCCACTTTTGGGTGAGTTAAACATGGACTGTCAGCCTGAGACTATTCTTATTTATTTATCTTAATATTTATGTACTGACCCATTCAAAAGTGAGTAATACTGACTAATACAACATACTAAACAAAACTGACATGAGAACTCCTTTGGGAAGGCCTGTCAGAAGAGATACTTTTTAAACTCCCTCTTAAAAATGGAAATTTGGGAAATCAAACACATCTCTCTCAGCAGATCATTCCACAGCTTGGGAGCAACCACTGAAAAGGTCCTCTGGGTACTTGATATTAATCTTACAGAAACAAACTTCAGAAGATTATACCCAGAGGACCATAGCTGGTGAGGCAGAATGTATGGGCAAAGGTGCTCCTGAAGGTATTTTGGATCCAAGCCATAAACGTCTTAAAAGGTAATTGCCAACACCTTATACTGTATCCAGAAACATACTGGCAAGCAGGGGAAAAACTTTAAAATAGGTGATATATGGTCTCTCCATGATAGCCCAGAGACTAGCCTAGCTACCATATATTGTACTAGTTGCAGTTTCACGCGTAGTCATATGGTAGCCCTATGAAGAGCACATTACCAAAATAAAAATCAATCAACCAACACATGCACTACTGTTTTCTGGTCATTCTCTTCCAGTAAGGGATACAGTTGACAAATCAGTTGAAGTTGATAGCAGAGACTCTTGATCATGGCTTCTAGCTGAGCTGACAATCTTATCTTCCTTTTAAAAAGTGTGTCTTTTGTTTCTTCAGAGATACCCTACGGGAGGTGCTGCATCTCTTGAGAAGTACAGGTAACCCACAGGTCGAATACATCGCCCGTATAATGAAGAAATGGGCCAAGGAAAACAGAGTTCCCCTTTAAACCCAGCATTGCCAAGAGAACGGAAGCAGCCATCACCTGTGTTGTGCCTATTTGAATAGCATCACATTTTCTGACAGCATCCTAGAGAATGCAGCAATGCAAGATATTCAGAATAGATCGGTATTTTTATATTAATGTCATGTATTTGTGAGGAATGAGTTAATGCAGCATATCAGAGGTTCCATGTTATTTTGTACTACAATTTCAAACATTCAGCTGTCCATGCTAGTGACAGCGCACTGGTTGTTCGAACAGTGTGAACTCAGCAATATTTGTACTGAGATAGTTCAAGAATTGGCCTGTACTGTGTACAGATGGGACCAAGTTTCACTGTTTCCATTTCCTTAGAGTATAAAATGTACTCAAGAAAAAGTCACATTTATACTAAGACTTTTTGTTATTATGAATATTTCTGAATCAGAACAAAACTCGGGAATTTTCACATGGTAGGAAAGATCATTTGACTTGCTTTTAATGTCTATGGCCTAATGCGCACTGAGAACAGAAAGAAAATAGTCTATTTCAATTGTTATTGTATACTGCTCATAGCTATGTCTGATTCTATTCTTGTTTTCTGATTAAGGCATGGCTGCAGGCTTTGGTACTCAACAACTACCATGCCAGGCTGAAAGGTGTTTATTTTCCCTTTGCAATGTTTGTTAATAGCTTGAGGAAGTTGTGGGAGAGGAGGAATTCTTTTCAGACAATATACTATTGAATTTCTAATGGTAAGAGTGTAAAAAGGTACAAAAGAACACACATACACTGACATATGTAAAATACACTTGTACAGTTTTATATAGTTCAAGTTGATTTTTATACTTTCTATAGAAAAGTATGTTGGTAAACTGACCCAAATTTCACTCTTGAGATAAACCCAAAGAAATAAATTAATTTATGAAATAATTACTTATGCATTTGTGCTTTATATTTGAGTTTGTATGTTGCCCATTAATCCAGATGGATTCTCTAGGCAGCTTTATAAAAAGAAAGTTCATCCTGTAGAACCACAATCCTACACAAATTTAGGCTTGCAACTGGCAGTGCACCCACGCCAGCATATCCGTCTAATCTTGGGAAGGATTGTACTTTGAATTTTGTTTATGATTAAAATGAGTGCTGTATTCACATGTTACGACAATTTAGACTGGTGGAACAGGATTTGAATTTAAATATGGCATAGGCATTCATAAAGATGAAGCTAATTAACTTTTATGCTGTACAAATTTCCCTCTGAAATTACATAGCACAATGGAAAGGAGTGTCTGGGCCACATTTGTAAATAGCTATGATTCTGTTTGACATTAATTTTTTTAATATCTCTACTTGTCTCAGGATCTGAAATGGCTATCCAGAAGACCAGGTCATCAGGCTTTTGATAAACCACATTGACTAAATGCTTCCTTAGCAGAGTCAAATCTTTTGAGTTCTATCTTAAATTTGAATTAATATATGGCATTGATTTACTAGTTAAAAAGGAATGTCCACCAAATATAAAGAACTCAAAGTCTTTTCAGATGTTTTGCACAATATAGTTAGTTGCAACTGCTCAATTTTGTGTAGAATCTAGACATTGTTCCTCAAGGAACTATTCTAGTTGTACTGAATCTTCCTAGTACTCAAACAGCAATAATTTATTGTTAAAGAATGTGATTCGTTGCGTTTTGTGGAATGTGCTTGAGGTTTCATTACTGATGGGCGACAAAATTTCCCTATTGCTCCTTTTGTTATAATATGTGTGATCAAAAGTCCTCTAACTAAGCTAGTTTGAGCCAATACAAGAATAGTAATAATGGGATAAAGGTTTTGGTTGCACAGACCCTCCTCCTCTGGGTAGCTGAAGGTGTGGTAAAATTTAGCTCATTGTGTGATCCTACCCAACAGCTGATTTGCTTCCTGGGTGACTGGAGTTGATTGAGGAGATTTTAAGTGACCATGCTATAAATGGATGTTTTTATGATGTTCAGGAATAGCATACTAAGTACATCTCTCTTGTTATACACAGAATGACTGCATTGTTTTCCTTTTGTTTTCTGTTTTGCAATTTTTAACAAAAACATTAGGTAAGTAAGCCCATAAATAATGGAATTAAGATAGTTACAGAAAACTAATGTAATACAGTGTTAGTTCCAGAAAATACTAGAAAAGGCACTCAGTTTCTTTAGTGTAGCAAGACGAATATATTTTTGCACCCAGTACTCTTGTCTCTCCCCAGATGAAATCCTTTAACACAATTTAGGGTGCAATCCTATGCATATTTAGACAGAAAAGATGTCCTACAATTCCCAGAATGTTTCAGGAAGCCATGCTGGTTGAAACATGTTGGGAGTTGCAGGAATTTATTCTGTCTAAACAGGCACAGGATTACATGCTTAAAAGACAATTATATAGCTGTTCCAATTTTCCTTGTATGCTTTGTTCAAAATGATTCCCAACTTACCTGGAGTTGTGAAAATATTCCATATACAATAGCCATTTTGTGCATGTTCCCATTTTACTGTTTTGTAGGTAGAAACAACATGGAGAATTCATAGTTCATAAACTCAGAATCATGAATTTCCATTTAAGATGGCAGTATAGGCTGTCTGTTTTTCCCTACTGTCTCTTGAAAGCCAGCTTTAAAATATTGACCATTTTTTATCCTACCTAGCAGTATCTTTGTCTTTTGTTTTATCTTTTGCTAGACTGTAGTCCTACATATTGTTTTATAAGTGTTTGAAGCCTTTGAGGAGTCTAGGGGTTGTTTAACCATGCTAATAACCCTAAACCTAAGAAACATGTTGGACTACCACTAACCTTACCTCAGCCACCTGCCAAGGTCTCCAAGACCAGTATAAAGAAGGAAGAAAGAGATAAAATTTTGCCTTTCATTGGCGGTATCTAAGCACTCCAATAAAAAGGAACAGCTCCACAATTTAATTAAACTACTGCGAGGATCTGTGGATTCTACTGCCAGTCCTCTTAAGACAATGAAGGCCAAAGTCACAAATTGGGAAGACAGAGCTGTTGTTCACTCTGCTGCAATGTGTGCTTCTGTTTTGTTGTTTGGAAGCCTTTTCTTGGTCAGCCAATCTGAGAGTGCTTGGTTTATGTGCACAGCACCCTCTCCATGTGTATTTGGTCCTGCATCAAATTCTGGAGTCCCAGTAAAGTGTTCATCTTGACAAAGAATATGCTTAACATCTTCCAAGATCCATTACTGACAAATTTCTGTATATATCAACCACAGAATACCTCCTTCATGCAGCCAGGCAAAAGAGTTCTAGTAGGATCTAGATGAGAATAAAATACTGTTTTAACCAGATTTCACATAATATTTGATCAAGAAAGGGATAAGTAGGAAGCATGGTTAGATTTTATAGTAAGAAAAGACTTATGAAATTTCATATGATTTTTCCTGCCATACTTGCAGTGGAATTCCAGGATGAAATGAAGTTTGGATTTCCAAATCTGCAGAATCTTTTCTAAGGGGGATTCAAGCTGCCTATCCTGCTCAGAAGCTGCCTTCAGATATTACAGCTTCTGCTACAGCTCCTGTTTAATTTTGCTTTTCAAAAGTTGATTGAAAGCTGCTGAAAATTCAGCTGTGACTTACTTAAATTGAGTTGATAAAATTCTATGGCATGTTGCCATTTTCCTTCTGCTTTGCTATGTTTTAACTGTTTTTCCCTTTTTCTCTCTTCTATTCTTACTATCTTTTCCTCCCTTTCTTTTTCTCCTCTTTGTTTAGTTAGTGTTAAGGTCAATTAATGGTATTTCATTAATAGGAGCAGAATGTGATAGGTTATACTGTTGTCTTGCTTGGAGCCAAAAATACTTTTTTTCTTCTTTTTTCCTCCTTTGGGCAGGTTTCTTTTTATACTAGGGGGTTTTAGGGTTTTTTCCATTGTAAGAATGTAGAACACAATGGTGACATTATGAAGCATAATGTATCCATAACCTATACTATGAATTATTTTGAAAAATATGTAGAAAGCAAATGATTTGTATATGTATAAGAGCAAAGAATATATTTCTAAGAATTCCATGTTTGAAGTAACTTCTCAGAATGGCAAAGGGCTGTGGAATTCAATTAAACAGAAGAAAGTATTTTCTAAATTAAAAGAACACAGAATTGATATGGCTCTTTTTTTGCAGGAAATGCACTTGATGATAGCAAATACACATCAACTGGTGGGAGAGGTTAATGCAATAAATACTCTAACCAGGTTTAAGGAGTTGTGATCTTGCTTCATAAACATTTGTTTCTAGTTCAATAATGGCTTTTATTAATGTGCATGGGACTAATGAATTTTCAGCATGTTTCATGAATGTTTTAGCAAATGGTTTGATACTGTATATGGTATGTCATGGGAGAGTTAAGATCTTAGATCCCTTCTCAGAGAGGCATACACCAGCCCCTAAGAGGCAAGCAATGGTGAGATTTGTAGTTCAGACCTATACTGCAGAATTTGGCTGTGGATAATATTACATCCAGATGAAAGAAACTTTACATTTCTATTGTCTGCCTGCCGTTATTGTTTTTGGCTTTTCCCCCCACATCCTTGTTATGTCAAATCAGAGACTGTAAGATTGCAGCACTGTTAAGATCAGACTGTGCTCCCCTCTATTTGGATATACTACTCAAAATAGGCACAAGCCTGCTGGCCTTTGGAACTTTAATGGTTCCTTGTTAAACAAGGCTTTTAAAAATCAGATTTTCGTTGAGTTACAAGAACATTTTGAAAATAATGAGGGTACAATCAACTCATGCCCCACTGAATGGGAAACTAGCAAAGCTTTCATCTAGGGTCAAACAATTGCTTATGTCTCTCATACAAATAAATTTAAAAAGAAGAAACAAACCTAAGTGATAGGTTGAAAACTCTTAAAAGTCAGTTTGCCGTTTCTCCAAAACTGCAACTTTATCAAGAGGAGCAATTTGTTAAACATGAGTTGGTAAAATTTTTCACAGCATTACCTTAAGAAAGGGATATTGAGAGAATGGTGAATGGCAACTAAAATAACAAAAATAATCAGTTTTAAACATTGTATTCAGAATTATACAATAGCTACTCTGAAATAACAGATCATATCTTTTTTCAGCTTAATTTTCCTTGTCTAGATATGTTTCAAAGTCAGTTTCTAATGGTGTGGACTGATCAAATTACCGAAGCAATAACCAGTATGAAAATAGGGAAAGTACCTGGTCTGGATGGATGTCCAACTGAGTAATATAAAGCATTTTCAAGTTTTCTTGTTCCTAAACTTCATCAATGTCATAAGTCTATTTTTGAAATTTGGTTCTATATCATCAACACTAAGTGATAAGTAACAGTAATTCCTAACCCACATAGAGATCATACTCTCTGTGTTAATTATTAATTGAGCAGTTACAACTAACTTTTGATTTGCATTTGGAACCTCTGGTAGGTGAGATCAGGCAAAATCTCAATATCCATGAATTTGGATAATAATACATTAGCAGAAGAAAACTAGTATTCCATGAATTTGGAAATGATACTTATAGTAAGGCATCCCAAAATAATATTTTCCTTTTTTGCAGCTCTATCATATTGTTGGGTCATAGTCAGCTTATGAACTGTAACAGTTCTGGGAACCTTCTTGCTTGTAGTATTGTTGAGCCAAGTATCCCCTATCTTGTAGTAATACATTTGATTTCTTTTCCTGGGTACAGAATTTGGCATTTGTCCCCATTATCTTTGTTATTTTCAGACCAGGGCTCTAATCTATCAAGATCACTTTAAAAATTAATTTATCATTAATAGCTATATTCAAAACTTCTTTATACCAGTCATCTATTTGATAATCACCTTTTATTTCCCAATTCCTTGCTATTACTAATCTTACAGCTGTTAATAAATTTGCCATCAATTCTTTAATATTTTGTCCCACTTGTTCTCTAAATAAAGACAATAATGCTAGTCCAGGGTCTGCTTCAAAGTTTAAATGCAATATTTTACTAAATTCTTTGAAAATCACTTCCCAAAACTCATTTATATGTTTGCACTCCCACCACTTTCCTTCTTATAGAAGTTGGAGAATCTTATCAATACATCTCTCAGAGTTTGTCTAACCTGATGTTGGAGGCCAAGACGATGTATTCTCTCTATATCAGGGGTCCTCAAACTTTTTCAACGGGGCCAGTTAAAAGGTGCCGGTGGTGGGTGTGGGCCACCAAGGTGGTGTCGGGGGGGGCGCGTGTGGCGAGGCGGGGGCTTGCTTACATGGAGATCGTTTTCTCCGAGCAAGTCCCCATGTGTGCACGTGCAAAACCTCTGGGGCGGGCCAGATCCGGCCCACAGGCCATAGCTTGAGAACCCATGCTCATCTTCTCATTTCTCATCTGGCACCACTTTAAACCATGCTAACACATCACTTCAAGGTTACTTTTCTTCCATTGATGGTTGTTCTGGTATATTTTTCAATCATAAATTCCTTCTACAATCTCTGTCTTCCAAATAAATCACCTTTTTCTCCAGTTCTGTTATTTTTCCAGAATGGCAAGTTATGTCCAATGAGTTAGCTTTAGCCAATGTCTTTCTTAGAATTTCCTCTCCATCATCTTCATTTGATTCATCATTTTCAATTTCTAGCTAATAGCTTTTGTTCGGTAATATTCTCTTTCAACTGTCCTCTCATCCATCTCAATTCCTAAGGATTATCTTCTTTCAATGCTTTCATACTTGAGTCCAGAATCTTCTTAAAGCCCTCAAGATTTTTTTCTGCAGACATTTAATCACTCCCTGAAGCTCCCTCCAATTTCTCATCACTCTGTACATGTTAATCTAGTAGCTCTGGTTAAACTCAAATCTTATTTCACATGTCCAGACAGAGTGAGTTTTTTGTTTTAGTTGTCTTCAGGGCATCAACAATTTAAGACCAACAAGTCAATATTCAAAATTCAATTAAATCGCATTTTTATTTCACCAAGTTAAAATGCTTATACATCATTCATCCAACAGAGGGTGCTCTATAAAATTGATGGCTTCTTACGTTCTTTTTCTTTAGACTCAACAATCTATATCAGTTGCTCAGGAATTCAGCTTATCACAATCTCTGTTGTTTATTCTTTTTTAAAATATCCATATATATTCATATAAGTCTTTATCTGTTACTTATTTTAAGAATAAAGTTCACTGAACGCATTAAACAATCGAGAATGAAACTTTTACTTTCTTTCACAATCCAAAAGCCAGTCTCATTAGTATTGTTTACCATATCCGTCTTTACACTGTAGCTGTGCTAAATCTAATTAAATTAAACTGCTAAAATTTTTATAGTCTGTAAGCCAGTCTCTTTAATTAGCTTTAAGTTTCAAAGTTCTTTCCCCACCCCCAACTATTTTTCAGCACAGTCACCATCTTAGTCAAAAAAAAAAAAAAAACCAGTCATGATCACTCCCCCCACTGAAGCTACATTCTTTCCAGTGGGAGTTTAAAAATTGAGTTTATTTATGATCTATACATCTGTACCTCCTTATTAAAATATTCACAGGCAGCAGGATCCTTCTTCAGATCACATCCATAATCATCTCCAGGGTTTTCTTTTTAATCTTAACAAAGCATTCAGAGCAGCCATTGACCAGCCCATCTCCCTTATAAAGTATTTTTGATCTTAGTTTTATTAGCATCAGACACCTCAACATCTTCCCCCACCTTTTTTTCTGCATTACTTTTTGTCTGTGTGCATTCCCTTTGTGTAATTTTGTGTTCGTTTCTTTTCCATGTTTGGGTAATGATCTCATTCTCTGAAAGAAATCTTATTTCTACTGGTTTCCCTGACACTGCTTGTTAATGATGCTGATAACGTCAGGATTTTCATGTTACTTTTTTCCTGATCTTTAGTATTGATTCTAGTTGAGCATCTATTATTGAGGTTTTAAGTAAATCCCAAGCATTCTGGAGAGTTATTGTCACTTGACTTTACTTTTAATGTCCTTTTTATGAGTTACTAAATTTTCGATAATTTGTGAAGTCATGTCTAATTGTGCTGAGCTACCATGGAAATTGCATTGTGCTCACTTTGTCGAACTGATTGACAACACTTCAAACCCACAATAGGTTAGCCATCCCCCTAATCCAGCACACTTTATGACCATTCTAAGAATGATGGGGATGATGAGGATTGTAGTCCAACACACGGAGGCACTATACTGGTTGCATTATGTCCTGGTTCTACTCAGGATTTAAATTAAAGGGTTCTTCTGCTCTGCCAGATTCCTCTTCTGGAGCACATTTGTTAGAATACTTAGACATGTTATTGCTTAAGATACAACCTGTACCCTTGAGGCAGCGTGCCAGTTATCCAATGCTTTTGCCAGCAGACTCGAATGAGTGAAGGAGGCAAATTTTGCACCTCGGTTCCCCATGTTACTTCACCTAGACAGGCTTTAAGCCCATATGGAGCAAGGGTGGGCAGCATGCAGTTCTTCAGACTTTTTGGAGATCAACTCCCAGTACTTTTGACTATTGGCTGCGCTGGCAGGAGCCTCTAAGAGTTGGAAGTCTGAAACATCTGAACTTTTGCTTTTTTGTCCTCCACTCCCCTCAAAATGCCTCCCTGAAGTCGCTTTTGCGACATCAGGAAGCAGCCACCGCTCTAATCCATTACGACAACACTTACTCCTTTATATACCTTCCTAATCTCACCCTGAGCGTTTTAGATTGGACCGCGATTACATGTTCCCAGTATCTGCATTTTTAACTAAGAATGTTCATAATCTCTGTGTCATCTTCACTGATAACAAAGCAAAAACAATAAGAACCCACATAAGAAATGACCGTGCGCGGTTGTATCGCCACTAGCCGACAGCTACTAATGCACAACTTTCTCCGTGCTCAAAAGGCTATTAGCTGCCGCTCTGAGTAAGACCAAGGTGGCGGAAACGAAGCGCTTTCGGAACAAGCAAGCTCCGTGCAAAGACCATTTGCTGCCACTTTAAGAACCTTACGGTAGAACGGCGTTCATATTTCCAAGGCAACTGTGGGCGAGGACGGGCGTCCTCAACGTGCAGTCGTGATGACGTATTAAGAACCTGAGCAATAACAACAGTGAAGTGCGGCGGCGCGGCCGTGGCGGCTTCGCTTTTGCGCATGCGTGCCCTACTGGCCTGCTTCTATTTACGTGGGGGGGCTCAAAGATGGCGGCGATGTTAGCAGCGAGGAGAGTCTAGTGGGGAAGCGGAGGGGAGGTACTCTGACCCGGTTAAGGGGAGGGAACGAGAGGAGGAGGAGCAGTCGGAGCTGCAGCTGTGGGTGGTGAGGGAGGGTCACCGAACAGGTGGGAAGGGGGGTGGGGGGTTAGATGATGGCGGAGCCGCGCCGGGTGCCGTTCATTAGTCTGTCACCCGTGAGACGACGTGAAGGCGACACTCCGGTGCTCGAACGAGAACCTGGAGGGGGTCGCGAGGCGGAGCAGCCATTGGTGCGGGAGGCCCTGAAACTGCATGAACAGCAGCACCGCCACCACGATAGTGGCCGGGCAGAGCCGCCACCGCAGCCTTTCGAGTCCTGTCCTCGGCCTGAACCTCAGTCGGTACCACTGCCGTGCGAGATCATCCGGCCTGAGCAGACGCCAAAGCCTCTGCTGCCACCTCAGCGGGAGCCCCCAAGGCCGGAACCGCCACCTCCGCCTCACCAGCAATTACAGCGCGAAAGCAACCGGCAAGAGTCGCCGCCGCCACCGCCGCCACTGCGTCAGACAGTTCGCCTGGAGTTGATGCTGAAGGATCCAACCGAGGAGAGCTGTGTGGAGTTCAGCTATCCCGAGTTGCTGTTGTGTGGCGAACCCCGGGTATGGGATATGCGAACCACCCCAACCCCCATCTTGACTCATGCTTTGCCACTCCTGCCCTATGGTCTCTTTGGTATAATATGGTATAATGGTATAATATGGTATGGCCCATGGTATAATATGGTCTCTTTCCTTTAACCTGAGAACCATGTGAAGGGAGAGGGTAATGGGGAAGCTACAGGAGCAGCATGAAAAACTCTACCAGGAAATAAAAACCAGAACACTGTTAGGGATTGATCCAGTAGAATGGTCATGCTTCTCAGTTGGCTGGTATGTGAAGGCCTTTTGACACAAAAGGCTCTCTAAAGAAAGTGAGAAGGTAGTTGTGGCTGTTGCTGTTTTGATTTGTGTGCAGAACTCAAGAGATGGGGAACTGGGGTGGAGTGTCCTCTTTTGTCTTCAACCTATGTCTTCGGCAATATACTTATTGTAGGTCACATCTGTTCTTTTCATGGTGTTTGTGGGTATATCCCATGGGACATAGCTGCAATACTAATTTAGCATCTTGCAAGCAATGTGGTACCTTGGCAAAGTTTACACAGGTCCCCATGTAGGGGTCATAGTCTGTGAGCTCCATATGAAAAAATACCCACTGATTTCCACACTTCAGACTATGTATATAGATCAGGATCCTGGGATGCTCCCTTATGAATGTCCTCATAGATGGCTCAGATACTTGAGAGCAGTTCAGTTTGTGAAAAATAGTTGTAAACAGCTATTCGATGTTGAAACATGTGGCTTTAGAAAAAGGAAGTTCAAATATACTGAAACTACTTGGGTGTAACTGTTAAATATACTGGTGATGTGTTATAGTATTTCTTAAAGTGCTTTAGACCTCAGTTTTACAGCTTTGAGGATTATTAGAACTGTCTTGCCATGAAAAGTCAGAGTACCTCTGCTTTTACTGTACTTTTTTTTTTAAAGGCACTTCTGTCACATTTGACTGTTTTGTGAAATGAACTGGTATATAAGGAGATCATAAGATTCTGCATAAGGTTCTTTAATCCTCCCTTGTAATGCTGTAAGAGAAAGATACCACAATAGCGGATAGAAAGACTAATTGAAAAAGTGATATATAATATTGGTAAGGCCCTTACCAATGAAATCCACAGATGCATTATAGGTGAAAATATTTTGATACAACAAAATACAGTCTGTCGTGAGGAATAGCAGAAACACTGCTTTGTAAATAGAAAAGGATTATGGTAGATCAGTAATTATATTACTAAGTTAGCCATTTGAAGATATTGTGAACCAAACTTCAGTTTTAGGGACAAATACAAGCGTGATTTATTTAAATAGCTAATCATATTTCAATTTCTGTGAGATATTTTAACTACTGTTTGTATTTTCTGTCCAGATTAGTGACTCTTGAGTTATAAATACAGCAGTAAAGCCTAATCCACAAAAATTCAGAGCTTGTGCCATTCTTTTCTGAACCAGAGCTGCACCTAATCCAGTCTCTTTATATTAGGACGGCCAGCTTGTGGCCTTTCAGATGCCCTTCCCATTAACCCTCACCATTTTCAACATAGGAATTACAGTCCAACAACATCCTGAGGACCACAAGTTGCCCTCATTTATTTACATTGCTGGGAATGTAAAGTTAGTTGAAACATTACTTTGGGCTACTTCTTTTCATTCACAGGCTAGTTTCTGTGTGAGAATTATGATGACAACTGCAGTAATGTCCTTCAAGGGGAAGGAAATTGACACTGGGGAGAGCTAAGTTATAGCAACTCCTGAATACTATTTGACTATTGAAGGATTGTTCAGGTGGCACTTACAAACAGTATAGGCTAATCTGGGTATTAAATTTCTAAAAAGTAGTAGCCCCTTCTTTCTCTGTTTAAAGAGAGATCAAGGGTTGTATTGTCCAATCTTATCAGGAGTTTATTCTCATAATGTTATGGAATGTAATACTTTTGGGTGACATCTCCTCTGTTTGACCTCCTTTTCTCCCCCTTTTCTGCTTCTGTACTTATCTTTTTCTGAAGGCATGTGTGCTAGTGAGTGTTAGTGTGTGTGAATATCTGAAACTACTACAAAGCAGCATTAAAGCAAAACAACATAGCATATTTTCCTCTGGATGTTTTGTCCGGAAGTTGCGTTTGAGTGAATGTGATTTTTTTTTAAGGTAAAAATTACGTTGGTGCTAAAAGTGAATGTTCATGGAGGCAGAAGTAGTCATGTTCATGGCTTGTTATACAGATCACATGCTGCAGGATCTTTGGCCCTATGTGAACAGCAAGTCTCTTTCATTCTGGAGCATCACTGAATAAGTGTGCTCCATCTGTAAAACAACAGAAAGAAACTAATTAATTCCAAAGATTGGTATAAACAAAGCCTTGTATTTCTAAGTGCAATTAATTTTGTATAGCTGGATTCCACCCATGCCCTGTTCCTGTTCCACAACACTAGGAAGGTGGGGCAGGAGACACTTGTGAATCAGTGTGTAATATCTTACATAGTACTTGATTTCAACAGTTCTGGTATTACTGTTAACAGCAGAAGGCTGTGGCTCAGACTGTTTTTATTTAAAATACTTGTGTTAGTCTGATGCTTGTGGAATAGTTCGTGTGAGAATTGGCTGTCTATAGCTTTTTTTTCCCTTTAATGTAGTGTATAGTCCTGTAAGAAGAGGCTATGTTAATAGGTTGGTTAATTTTAAAATGGTACAACTACTAGGTTATTATGACTGTGAATGTTAATGTGGGAATAAGAATATTTATTTTAGCAGTATACTGTTCTTTTTGTAGGAACACATATAAAGTGAGATTATTTCATTTTGTCCTTAGAACAACTTCTTGTTCATGTTCAGGAGTGAGACACAGTGAACCTTAGTCAGTGGAAGGGATGGCAAACTTTCACTTCTGTTTTTGATTAACCATAGCTTGTCATTTTATCATAATCTGATGAACTAATATAAAACTGAACTATGATTTGTTGAGATATCCCAACTTCAAACTATGGGTTATGAAATTGCTTGTTTCAAGAAAAAATCATAGGATTAATCTCAATTTAGTGTTCAAAATGCCAAATTGCTGTTCATAAAAAACAGAAGCAAAAATTTGATTTCCCCTGGGCCATGGTGGAGGTGAAGGTGAGAAAGCATGGGAAGCCAAAAATGTTGCAGTTTGTTTCTGACATGATAAACCAGGTTTATTATGACATCCAGCCTGGCCTATTATCTGCGAAGTTAGCCTGAGAGAGACAGATTTCTCCACCATTATCTAGCAAGCTATATGAATTCAAACTCTGTTCCCCATAGTCAAAGTCCAACACACCTATCTGCTAAACTACACTAGTGTTCTGGGAACAGGTGTCTGTATATATTCAGTATAGCCCTGCAGATTAAAAAAAATCAGGTTCAGAACCTTGCTTTTGCGCCATGCATTTGAGTATCTCTCTTACCATACTTTCTGTTTCAGGGCCAGAGAAGAGAATAGCCAGAAAGCCTCTCTTTGCTCAGTTTTATGAACATAGTGGAGGTAGCAGAGCACTTCTGCCTTGCTCCATTTGTGCTATAAAGGTTAGGCTCATCTTTCATCCCATATCTTTGCCCTTATATGCATGCAACTACTTCCTAGTTTGATTGCTGTCCTAGGCCCATGACAAAGATGATAGTGGTCTCATGCTCAGCTGGGTTTTTTTTTTAAATGCATTGGGGCCCTTTTATGTGCCAGATGTTATTGGGCATTACTGAAAAGACCATGAAAAATATTTCTTTCATCTTCAGAACATCAGCATTATTTATTTTGTAGATATTTTTTTATGAGAGAGCAATTTAGAGTTTGAAGATCTTTTGCCTCCCACACTTATAAGGTGTTTCTCCACAGCTGCTTTCTTAGAAATATGGTATAGCATAAAAAGCTGGAGAGGGGATGTTAGCTTTATATCTTGTAATCAGTAATGCAACTGAGTATAACCTAAAAGAGAACTCCCAATAGCCAATTGATAGTGTAGCAGATAAAGGGGCCTGCCTTAGTTTTGTTTGGAGAGCAAACATATACAGTACTTTCTATTGGTACTTAGAATTATTTATTAGATTTATATCCTGCTTTTTCCTTACAGTGAACTCAAAGTGACTTACACTTACATCATTGTCCCCCTCCTCCTTTCTCAGTTTTATTCCCCCAACAACAAAACTGTGAGGTAGGCTGGGCTGAGAGTCTGTGACTGGCCCAGATTCACCCAGTTGGCTCCATGGCTGAGGAGGGGCTAGAACCTAGATTGTCTGAGTCTCAGTCCTGCACTTTTAACAACTTCACCACACTGGCTCTCTAAGAATATAGCCTAGAAGGTTTTAGTAAGTTATAACATGATTTCTTTACAAATTTTATAGACTGGAATAAAGTAAATTAACTGATGTGGAATAAAGTGACTGATGTTGATGTTTTGCAAAGAAACTAAGTCCATACGTTATTACAAAATATTACATAATGCAAAGCTGCATACCATTTTTTGTGTGGAAAATTTTTTAAGCAAGATAACTAAGGTAGCTATCCTCTACCTTATTTAAATACAAATACAGCCATTGAGCACAGTTGGACTAATTTCAGAGTAGGTATCTATAAGATTTTGCTGCAAAAAGTAAGCTTTAATTGAATACGTTAAACTTCATTTCAGTTTTGCAGTACAACTTGTATCTCCTTCCTAGACCCTAAAATTAACACTTTAAAAATGTAATATTGAGAATTATTTCTATAGTCAAGCCTCATAATAGCATTATGAAGAGTAAGCATGGACTTACTTTCTGCTTCTCTTCTGCCAGTACATAGATTGATGCAGTGTTTAGAAATGCTATGTAGAAAGTCAGCATGCATATTTTAAGAGCTCTCTGGATAAATGTCTCACATAATAACCCATTCATTTAAAAACTGATTGTCAGTGACTCCCCTCTTCCACTTAATAGCACAACGCACTGTCAGCTACTTCATAGGTTGTGTAGTAAACCTGCTGGGTGGTTTAGGGTTAAATAACCCAGTAGTTAACAAAATCTACGTTATCCTTAAAGGTTGGGTTGACTTCTTTTTCCTTCTTGCTACATGGCCAGAAAGAGAATTTCAATATGAATGAGAGATCAGACTTTAAAACAAACTCTAATTAGACAAGCTGGCTTTATAACCCATTGCTTCTTTAAAGGCTCATCACAGTTTGTTTTAATCTACAATCTGTGGTTCATACATTCCAACAACCAGGGTTAATTAAAGATGAAACTACTGTAAATGCTGGCTGAGATATGAATAAGCCTTTTCCCCATGCATGTGGGTGTATTGCTTCTGCTTTTGAGCATAAGTAATGAAACAAAGAAGCTTCCTAGTTAATCATTGTTTCTTGTTTCAGCTGATCTGGAAAACTACAGTTGCCAGCTTTAGAGCAAGCCAGGATATTAAACCTACTTCAAACCACTATTTAATATTTGTTCCATATTTAATAACCATAGTTTCCTAATTCAGATGAAAGAGGAAACTAGTGAGATAATTCATGACATGGGTTGTAACTACGGATTGTATAGAATGGTGTCATTCTGCTTGTGTAACCCTTTACCACTTGTAGAAACTCCATTTTCATCCTTGTGCAAGTGTTAAATCCATCATTTTAATACTACTTACATAAGATTTTGCACACAGCAACATCCATATGCTAGCTGTTCTGCTAGTGATTGTATAACAATTAGGAGAATAACAGTAACTTGTAATGTTTCTGCTAGCTTAATGTTGACCTAGTCTGCACATAATAATGGCAACTCATGGGTCAATTAACTTACAGGTAGTGTTTCAGTTAACTATGGGATGTTTAACCCATAGTTAAACAATAGTATCCAGATCTGAACATCATGAAGCAACATTTGATTGGAATAACCAGAGGTTAATTATGCAAAGTGGCAGCAGCTCATACTGCATCAGAATGTGGGTTAATTAACCCCTGAATTGCCACTGTTACATGTGAAAGGGGCTACTGAATGTAATCTTGATCAAGTCACTGAGTGTGCTGTGACATGGAGCTTGATGATGCAGAAGTGTTTTTGTTGTTGTTGTAACAATTACATCTACAGTATAATATATAAATTGTGTTTCAGTGCAAAATTGCCAGCTATAATTTTTAGTGGTTATGTCTATTTTATGCTATGGATAGATATTGAAAGTAGGCAAACTGCCTTAGTTTGTTGAAGATGAATACAGTTGTTGATACAGTTAAAATAAACATGCCAAGCAGAGTAGTAAAACTGAATGATTTATACTACAAGTACATTTTATAAATGAATGCTTTACTGTAGGAGTAATAGTTTAAAGCTGACAAAAGAAGTTTAATCAAATGGAAAACCCACTACTGATCAGATATCATATTATCATATTGATATTTCATTAATTTCATCACTTCCTTATAGGCTGTGAACTGTGTAGATTTGCCTTCATTTATTATAAGTTGAAGACTCTAGTCATCTTTGACATACGTTTCTAACAATTTGAATACTGCTTACTGAACTGGGAAGGGCACCTAACTATGCTGATGTCTTGATCTTAGACATATGCTTTAAAATAAGCCCTAATAATTTCAGTGGAATTTATTTCAGTGTGTTTAGTACTGGTGTGTTAGAAGAGTCTCTTTGCTTGCTCCTCAAGACTATGCTCACAAAATCATCAGAACAAGGCAACAACGCTATGATTTCTTTTCTCTTTTGTATTGAGCATGTTTGAATATTATATGTGACTAATGTTTGCATTTTGCCTCTTAGAAAAAGTCTGCTCTCAATGAAGACCCATTTAATGATGAAGAGCATGAAAGGCATGAAGTGGAAATGTTGGCAAAGAAATTTGAAACAAAATATGTGAGTAAATAGCTCTACTATAATTACTGTTAGTGCAAGTATGGATCTTAATATTATGCAGGAGTTGCCACTATTGCCCCTTGATAAATTCAGAAGAATTCAGTTATTTTAATTTCTCTTTGAATTGAGTTCATAGCAACACAATAGTCATATTCACACAAAACAGTCAGAATTCCAGAGGATCCCTAACAAGCTAGAAATCATTAGCCAATTTCAAGCCCTTGAGTTCAAACTATAACCTAGCATATAATCTTGTATAAACATGGACAATGACAAGATTGTTATAAATGTGCTTAGTATTGTGAAGAAGATTTTGACTACAGTTCTACTTCCTAATGTGTGAAGAGAGCGCACAGAGGGACTTGTTGTAGGAATGGAGTGCTTCTGTCACTGTATTTATGCTGAGGGTACAGTGATATGGCAAAGTCTCTTCCATAGCTCCCTGAATTTTCTAGGGGTCATTTCCCCCATGTTGAACAATGCACAAGCTACTTGTATAGGTAACGAAAGCAGTATCATGCATGGTGATCCAGAAAAAAGCGGGCTATCAAGAATTTCAAGTGTTTATACTAGGAGGCCTTGGATTGTGAATGGCCTCACAGGTTGTATGCTACTCAGCACAATTATATGCTCAGTGTGGAGAGTGTTGCAGTGGGCTGGAGTCAGTGGGAGTTATAGTCCAGAACATCTGGAGGAGTCCAAGTTGTTTAAGCTTGCTGTAAATTACTCTTTTCCTTTGCCTTCAGGTGGAGTTTTTCTACAAGAGAATAACTGATTTCTCAGAAGTCTATACAATATTTTTTTCATGATATTCAACCAAATCATTGCTTGCTTGGTTCTCAAAAAGCTTAGGCAGTTCTGTTCATAAAAATTCAACTAGTCAAAAAATAACACTATCTTTAAAAGTCCCATGAAAGGAAAAAGCTGTTTGTGGCAGCTTCCTTGTCCCCTCCCAGTGTCTCCTTTTCAATTATTTTTGTAACAGTGCTTTTTGCAGCCCTCAGCACTGTAGCTCCCTCTCCCCTTTTCATTTTGTGTAAATTATTCTGGGTATTTCTTTTGAAGGGCAAAACTTTATTGTGTCAATTTTGAAGGCTGGTCAGAACCTTTTCCTTGGTATGCTGCTCTGCAGTGCATATTTCTTCATGTTATTGTGGTTAACAAAGTTGTATCAGTAGTTCCAAGTCAGAAATGCTGTGTTGCAGGGTGGAAAGACGCACAAGCATCGGAAGGACCGTGTTCAGGATCTGATAGACATAGGCTATGGCTATGATGAAACGGATCCTTTCATCGATAATTCAGAAGCTGTGAGTAAAACTTTCTTTGCACATATAATTTGATTTTCTCTAAGAGTGCAAAAGAATGTACATAGCATTCCTATATGGTCTTCCATGGTAGCCATTTTCAGTTTTCTTTTGCTTTAGTGGTGAAACAATATCAATTGTTTTCAGACTATTTAAGCTATCCGTCTTGGAAAATGGGGGAAATGCTTAATCTGTCAGCCCTCAAAGCTGGCAGACCAGGTCCTATAAGAGATCAGGAAACTGTGACTAGGAGCAAGGCATTTATACTGTACTTCCTGGGCTTGGAAACAATGCATTTGTAAGAATTGGAAAACTTTTTTATTTCAGCTTGCATTTGGCTGATTCTATTAGGCAAGCTGTGGCTATGCTTTATTTACATTGAGTGTTGTCATTTTTAATTCTGTATTTTGTTATTATGAAAAATAAAATTTCATTTATCTATGAGCCTTTTGAAATTTGGGGAAATACCATGATATATTTGGAATATATGCCAGCATACCGTAGTAAATGTTGACACTTAAGAGTAAATCATGCAAATTGGGATAGATTTTGATCTAAGTCACTTGATGGGTCTTTCAGATGCCTTGTTTTCGTACATTCAGAACTGATAAATATAATCTTTCACAATTTTCTGACATCTGTTTTGTTTTTAAAGCAGTATATGCACTGCATCCCTCAGTCATTAAACAAATTGCTCAAAGTGGCTTACAGAATCTAAAAATAATTAAAACAACCAGTCAATTTAGCACATTTACAACAAGCTAAAAGCACATTGTGCTATGGCTCTACTTTGTTGCCACCAGTGTACTGCTCACTTTGAGTCTACTGCATTTTTTGGTGGATATACTCAATACTACAGTATTGTGCATTTCTCATCAAAATATTTTCTTTGTGTGTGCTATACACCCTCACAATTTTTTTCCCTACACTAAGTTGATGGTATGAACATTTTGGTTGTTTTGAAATTCTGTATGTTGCATTGCAGTATAGCAAAATACATTTCATATTTTTACATAGCCATCTCTTAACCTGCATCTACCATTTCCTTTCCAGTACGATGAACTGGTTCCTGCATCCCTGACTACCAAATATGGAGGCTTCTACATAAACACTGGAACACTACAGTTCCGCCAAGCATCTGATTCTGAAGACGAAGACTTCACAGGTGGCAAAAAGCATAAATCATCTAAAGTGAGTAAGCAGATTTTTTTCCCCAGAACTAAACTGTTTGGAAATGTTTCAGGGTTTTGCTGTGGCAATGAAATACTTCAGCAGTCATCCATATTCTACTCTTTATATTAAAATAAGCATAATGTTTAATAACACAAACATATAATTTTTTGAAACTGGCTATTTCCACTTGCCCATCCTGTTCTGAATATAGTGCATGGATGATAAGAAGGTGCTTAGTGAAAATAAGAAGCTCAGTTTCTAGCCTCAAGCCTTCTGGTCAAATGCAGCCCACCTGGAATCCCTGCCGGACCCTATGGAGTTTCTCAGATGGCCACACACCCTTTCTCTACTCTTTCAGCTTGATGACTGATAATTTGGTTGTTTCTCACCTTTTATTAGTTTTCTCTTCATTTGAAAAAAAAGTTAAAATGCCTCTCTAAGTGCATTTACTGGCATTAGATGCTTTAAGCTAGAATATGTTGGTATTTTTGCCTTTCCTCTTCTGTGTTTGACTTTGCCCACCACTGGAATGCAGCTCCTGAGAACACCTCCAAGATTGAATTTGGTTCTTCTACACCTCTATTCAACAGCTGGTCCAATTAGCTCAGTACTGACTACTTTTACTGACAAGAATCTTTCCCATTCGTATCTTGAAGTCCTTTTAACCTGAGATGCCAGAAATTGAACCTTGGATCTTATATGCAAAGCACAGCTGTTGATGCTTAACTATTGTGATATTTAAAAAGAGAAAAGTTTGTTGGTCACTGAAGCATGTAAGACCAAGTAACAGGCTTTAGAAGTGATATCCCACACCTTGACTTTTTCCTGGAAGATGATAGCAAGTTGGTGCAGGTGTTGCAGCACTGGCATACATTATCTGAAACTCACCCATGTTTAATGAAGTCTGACACCATATAGTTTGCAAAAAGAAGAATGATGGTGGCTATCCTCACCATTCCAGGCTTCCAGAAGCATTTGGTTTTGAAAATGAAAAGACATGTTTGATGGACCATGATCTGATTCCACAGGGCAGCTTGCACATTTTTAGTTCTATAATAGTTATTGCTGAACTTATTTTCTGTGTGTGTTTTTCCCTGCTCTCTTCCTTTTAGGTAGCTAAATTGAAAGATGGTGAGGATCGAGGCATGAAGAAACGCAAACGAAAAGAGGAAGAGGCAGAGAAAGAGAAAAAACCTCGGAAAATGAAAGTTTCTAAACAGCTGGGGTACAGGTTTTTTATGCTTATTTCTGTTTCAGTGAATGAATTGAGCAAGTACCAAATTAATCCTGCCAGAATTTCAATTCTGAACTGTTGAATGTAGTTAAATAAAGTTGTGGTAGAGTCACAAATAAAGCAATGGGTTTTTTTTCCAAATAACGTAACACATTAAAATAGCTAGAGCTTCTTAAGAGAGTATGGCTCCAAAGTTTAAACAAATGGTACTTCTAAATATGTTAACCTGTTACAACACAACAGAGAAATATGTACATAATAACAGTTTGCAGCCTTTCTTAAGGATCCTTGAAAACTTTTTTCCAGGGAGCAAATAAATCATAACAGATATCATGAAATGACTAATAAAAATGAGGAATGTAGTCTTCGCTTAACAATGTTAGTCTTTCACTGTGTTAGCTACTAGTAGACTGAAGAATATGGTAGTAACAAGAAAAACTAGCTTTCAGGTTGTTTACTATTTGGGAATCAAATTGGACAAATTTAATTCTGTCAAACTGCATACTTCTGTTTTCTTTGCAGTGTTATGGCCTTAAATTCACACAAATCTGAAAAGAAGAAGAAAAAGCTCTACAAGGATTCTTTTTCACTGGCGGCTATGATCCGGAAATTTCAGAAGGAGAAAGAAGCCTTTAAGAAGAAAGAACCTAATCTGAGTCCCACAATGGCAGCTATCAGTTCTGTATCTAATAAACTCCCTGCTGCCCCCACCACTGGCGGAAATGATGTGTCTGACTTGAACCTCAGCATCACAGATCCAGTCCTCTCTATTTTTGGCAGCACAAATGAACGCGAGCTCCTGCAGGAAGCTGAAAATGCCCTGGAGATGCTGGGAGACATTGACTTTGATAGGCTGCTTGATGGCACCTCCAACGGTAGTCCAGTATCAGAGCCATCAGGAGAGAATGGAAGTATCACTCAGCCCTCCCATACCTCTGAGGTCATGACACTGAAACAGGTGCCTGCCCTCCCAGATGGTTTACCAGCACACTTGGAAAAGCGTGTTGAAGATCTTAGAATTGTAAGTGTAGTTTTCCTACTGCTGGATTTTATAAGAGTGACTACCGTCCAAATTGCTTAACACGGAGCCAAATCTAAGTATTACTTTGTTAAAGAAGTCTGTTAAATTAGAAACAATCTAATAGAGAGTGGTAGCTGGCCTGTTTACTTCTAGGTATATAAAGTTAATTCCACTGTTTTTAAATGTGTGCATATAATGTGCTTTCTCTGATACTTTTGTTCTTTCTAATGATATATTACAAATACCAGTTAGAAATCATTGCTTGCCTATTAAATAAAACTTCAATCAAAATTACATGTACCACCAAAGAGCTGTCAATCGATCTGCAGTTACATGACTCAATTTCCAATATTAGATATTTCTACTGATAGTAGAGTCTAGTGAAGTAATCTACACTTCTAGTTTATCAATGGTTTCATTAAATGAAATAATTCCCTTTTTAATTGAAGTCTGATTTGTGCATGCATGATTGCTTGATATGTGATCATTTGATGGCTCACAGCTGAATATGTGAATTAGTGTCACGAACTGAAGTCAAGGTAAAATCTGGGCTTTTTAAATTTGTGGTGGCTGTTTTCATGTGGATATTTGAATAATGCTGATGATAATATCCACTCATCCTGAGTGATGAATACACACAGATATTAACCTGCCCTGAGATTCTAAAATATTTCAAGGGATGCACTGTATTTTACAGTATCTCCATGGACCTTAAGTTTAGGAAAAGATCCTAGTATACTAGAATGTACAACAAACTTCTTTTTCAGCTTAGTGACTTGGTTTAGAGGTCATAATGCTTTAAACTGTACTTAGTGCTCTGGTTTTCCTTACAGCTTCAAACAATTAAAGTTACGATGTTATGCAGCTGAACTTAGAAAAGCTTTTAATTTAAAAGAATTAAGGTTTGCAGGATTCAAAGATTCTGTATGCCATACCAAAATGCATTCAGTGGGAACCTGTCATAATGCTTAAATCTGACAATTCTAATTTGGCAGCATTTGGTAAATCATATCAGAAGATTACTTCTGAGTGAAGAAAACATAATAACTGGCATTCTGGACTAAGCTTTTCTCACACAATATATTTTAGTACTTTTTATGTCTTATGATTACAAATCAACAGAGGATAACACAGTGATGGCTGTATAAATTGTGGATCATAGGCATTCTGATGGTCTTTGGGGTGAGGTGTGCTAAAAGTATCTGGGTTTTATTGTTGTTTCTAGGCTGCCAAGCTCTTTGATGAAGAAGGCAGGAAAAAATTCTTTACACAGGACATGAATAATATCTTGCTCGAGTAAGTACTTGCCTTGCTTTCAGGAAAATGTTGAGCTTAAGGAAGAGAATGGCTGCCTGAGCAATTTGCCTAATTGATCAAATAGGCAAATTCTTTAAGTGACTCATAGGAAAAATTCATTGGTAATATTGATTCGTGGAAGACTTTTCAAAGAGTACCATACATAGGAATCCTTATTGTAGAGCTCTGATAAGTAATAGTAGTTGCTATTGACATTATTATTACATTGCATTTATATTAGAATTTATGTTACATAGTAATAGCACAGCTGATATTTCTATATTAATTTCTGTAAAATGTTAGTATGTTAATTGTGTTGTTTTTATGTAGCATTAATCATGTAATGCTTTATCAAGTAATATGAGCAGAAATACAATTGTTCCAAGAGCTTACAGTTCAGATCAATTTTGACTGCAGGAAGCAGTTAGTGACCACAGATGGAACAGTGAGATATACTACATTTTGTGTGGAAGACTGAGGATTAATTAAATGGTTAGTGGAGTTGGGGTAAATAAGCACAGGGTATGTTGGCATGTCAGTGTAAACTTTATCCATTCTAGGGACTATGAATCTGTTCTGACTGTCCTGTCAGCCTGAATGTTGAGTGCTGTGAGTCCAGTCTTCTGATACAAATAACATAATTCATGCAGAAAAAGGGAAATTAGATCCTCTGACTAGATAGCTAAAGTATGAAATGCCCTTAGGATGGACAATAAGCCAAATCCATACGTGTTTCTCATTAGTTGTGAATTTGTTTTGTGTTTGTCAGTATCGAGTTGCAGTTACAGGAATTGAATCCTACTATCCGCAATGGAGTGTATTCTCACCTTGAGGCTTTTGTTCCATGCAATAAGGACACACTGATAAAGCGTTTGAAGAAACTGCACCTCAATGTTCAGGTAAAAGTGCCTGCAGCAAGTGTACATTAATCAATACAGACTGTAAAAGAAGGGTCAGAGTATATTTGCTGTAGAACAAATCCTTTGAGTCTTGCAAGTATTCTTTTTACAATTCTCTGTCAGCAGTAGTACTATTATACCCCCTATGAATTGTTCCTATCACAGTCTTCTGCCCACTTCAAATACAAATGGGATAGTCTCTAACTTTCTAGTATAAACAAAAAAAAAATGGAAGCTTAACTTTCCTAGAATACTTTAGGGCACCCTTCTTTGAGCAAGCATTTGGGGATTGATAGTGTTGCTCTCCTAGTTAATATTTTTGAATTTTTAAAATGAGTTTGTCTTAAAAAATCAGAAAGGTGGGATAATACTTTAAATAAAATGCTTTTCTAGAAGAACCCTTGAGAGTATAGTTCTGAGTTCCAAAAAAGCATTTCATTATAGCCTAGGTGGGCAACATGTAACTCAAGGGCAGCATATGATCCACTCCCACCCCATGACCTTGATTGCAGCTTCTGCTGCCCCTACTGCTACATACCAGCAGTAAAATAATTGGTAGCTTCCTGCCAAAACTCAATTACAAACTTCTGTGAAGACTCAAATGTGCCAAATTTAGTTTGTTTTCAAGCAAAATACGTCCTTTGTGAGTCTCTGGAGTGTTTGCAGCCAATACTGTTTTTTTTTTTTTTTCCTTTTGGCCAACATAAAATGCGGCAGTGGCAAGAGTATGGCCCCTGGGTCATGTTTGTATTACGGATTCTAATACTCCCTCTCAGAACCAGAGTTCTGTTGGTTAAGCGTCATGTTAGTTAACATATCTGTACCTTTATGAGGACTTCTTTCAAAAGCTTAAGAGGAGCTTGAGGGAAATTGTATTGTATTGTAGGTATTTTTATACTTAGGCATGTGTGTAGGATCTGTTTGGAGGTGGGACTCTATTTGGCTCGCCAAAGGTTTATAGGCAGTAGCAATAAAATACTACCTGTCAAACAACCAAAGATAGTTGCGAGATACATGTCTGATGCATTTAGGATCATAACTGGGTTCACATGACATATCTTGGATAACTAGCCGCAGTGGGTTGTCATTTTTGCAAGTCTGGATTGTTTCCTGCAGGGTGGCATATTTTGGGGCAAAAAAGCAACCATTATACTCATGGCTTGTTTTAGAGGTTCTTGGAGCCACAGTGGTTTGTTGTGATATCCAAACCCAGGTAGCCAACCCCATCATGGGTCCAGGGAAGCAACAAGTGAGACACTTGGAAGAGCAGCAGAAACCACTTTCTGCATTTGTCACTAGCCCAGTGTCTGTCCTATTTCTAGCCTTTTTTTTTTTAGCTGCTGCCAGAGCTTTTCTCCTTTAAGTGATCTTTTCACAGTCCCTGCCAGTGACAGAGCATCTCTTCTGACAGCACCTCCAAAGTGCCTAAGGAGTGCATTGGAACAATTATCATTGAGTCACTGCATTTTTCCAAAAAAATTATTCACCCAAAATGTGGGCAGATATTTTTGTAGTTTTCTTTTTTTAAAGAATTTGGTTGATCTTTGTTTTAAGTTTGGCATTGTGCAGGCTTGCTCCTCTGAGCCTGCTGAGCATTGTGGTAAGTGCCTGTTGTCAAAGCTGCAGTAGGTACAAGTCATGGACATTGGGCAAGCAAGATTATTTGGCAACTTTACTTCTCACTTGACAGTAATCAGGGGATAAGCTGTCAAGGAAAAAACACAACTACAAAAAGATATTTACTTGGAAAAGAGGTGGTGAGTATATTGCCATCTTTGCAGCCAGATCCTCTAGTTTTGCACTGTGGGCTTGAGAGTTTTGGTGTACTCCATTTTTTTCCATCCTTTTGAAGGACTCTAGATGCTCAGGAAAGGGGGACAGTGTATTCCACCTCATTTACAGGAGCACAGATTTTTGACAGCTGTTAATAAAGAGTTTCTTTTAATATAGGGTCTTTCACAGACTAAGCAGGGATTTTGACAGGGAAAAAGGGTGGGAGAGAGGTGTAGCAGCAACTGAAAAGATGTTGCAAACAGAGTAGGCTGCTCAGGCCCTGGGATATCTGCTGAAGGACTGAGGTAGAAGATAAGGAGCTCTATTCCCAGGCACACCATGGGTTACCTCATGAACAACCCACACTGTGTAGTTTTTTGCAGGATGAATCACTCTGTCATGTGAACTCACCTGGTGGCTTGTTTCCATACTTTTTCCCAAAAACTTAGTATCTTTCTTTTCTGTAACTTAAAACATTTGTTCATAGTGAGAAATGGAATAGTGGGGTATTTTCATTATATTAAACTGGCCTAAATGTCTTGAAAAGTATCACCCACAAATATCAACTGCTGGCCTATCTGTCTGTTGGTACCACTCTTGCCTGAATGTAGCCCGCTCTTCCCCTTGGTATACACCTGAATTGCGAGTGATGAAGCAGGTTGGGAGACGGCTAGAGCATACGTGGAGGAAATCACGGGATGAATCTGACCGAACACACTTGAAAGCCCACTATCAGGCCTATGCTGTGGCGGTGAAGGCGGCAAAAAAGTTTTTTTCCGCTTCCATTGCCTCCTCACAATGCCGTCCGGCGGAGCTTTTTCGAGTGGTGCAAGGCCTGGTTCACCCGGGTCCCAAGGAAGATCCGGTTCCACCCTCAAAGGCCCGCTGTGACGACTTTGCCAGGCATTTCAGGGAGAAAATTGCTCAGATTCATCACGAGCTGGACTCCACTAATGAATCAGAGGTTTCTGGGGAGACACCAATGCGGCCGATTGGTCCAGAATTATTGGATGAATTTCAGTTATTGCGGCCCGATGATGTGGACAAGGTGCTTGGACAAGTACGTCCCACTACTTGCCTATTGGACCCTTGCCCGTCTTAGTTATTAAATAATTCCAAGCACGGGATTGGGACCTGATCTTGGAAGTGGTTAACGCTTCTCTGAGGGAGGGTTGGGTACCTGCCCCTTTAAAGGAGGCGGTAGTCCGTCCGGTCCTGAAGAAAGCGTCACTGGATCCAGAGATGGCCACTAACTATAGAACTGTGGCCAACATCCCGTTTCTGGGCAAGGTGTTAGAGCAGGTGGTGGCGGGACAACTCCAAGCACTCTTGGATGAAACTGATTATCTGGACCCATTTCAGTCTGGCTTCAGACCTGGGTACGGTACTGAATCTGCCTTGGTCGCCCTGTATGATGACCTGTGCAGGGAGAAGGACAGGGGGAGTGCGTCCCTGTTGGTTCTTCTGGACCTCTCAGCGGCTTTCGATACCATCGACCATGGTATCCTTCTGGATAGGCTAGCAGGATTGGGAGTCAGAGGCACTGCTTTGCAGTGGTTCCGCTCCTATCTCAACGGCCGATTCCAGAAGGTAGTGCTGGGGGACTATGGCTCTGCGCCATGGCAGCTATGCCATGGAGTACCACAGGGCTCCATTTTGTCCCCTTTGCTGTTTAACATCTATATGAAACCGCTGGGAGAGGTCATCAGGAGGTGTGGGCTATGGAATCATCAGTACGCTGATGATACCCAGCTCTACCTCTCATTTTCCACTAATCCAGGTGAGGCAGTGGCTGTGCTGAACCGGTGCTTGGCCGAGGTTATGGGTTGGATGAGAGCCAATAAACTGAAGCTCAATCCAGACAAGACGGAGGTCCTGTTGGTTGGCGGATCGGGCTTCGGAGAGGGTGGATTTGACCTGGCCCTGAATGGGGTTGCACTCCCTCTTAGGGACAAGGTCCGCAGCTTAGGAGTACTCCTCGACCCAGAGCTTTCATTGGAAGCTCAGGTGACAGCGGTGGCGAGGAGCGCTTTCCTTCAGCTTCGGCTGATTAATCAGCTGTGCCCCTACCTGGAGTATGACTGCCTGGCGATGGTGACACACGCGCTGGTGACTTCCCGCCTTGACTTCTGTAATGCGCTTTACGTGGGGCTTCCCTTGAAGACGGTCCGGATACTTCAGTTGGTTCAAAATAGAGCTGCCAGGTTGCTGACGGGGACGGGGCGTTATGTTCACATGACTCCAGTCCTCCGACAGCTTCACTGGCTTCCCATTGAAGTCCGGGCCCAATTCAGGGTGTTGGTTATGACCTATAAAGCCCTAAACGGCTTGAGACCTGGTTACCTGAAGGAGCGCTTACATCCATATATACCCGACCGCCCCTTGAGATCTGCGGGAGAGACCCTTCTTCAGGAACCCTCCGTGAAAGAAATTAGGAGGGTTGGTACTCAGAGGAGGGCTTTTTCTGCGGTGGCACCCAATCTATGGAATGTGCTCCCCAGAGAGGTCTGCCTGGCGCCGTCGTTATTTGTTTTTCGGCGCCAGGTGAAGACCTTTTTATTTAAACGTCATTTTAATTGTTAACAATATTCACTTATTCATCTGGCCAGGATGACTTCTTTCCTTTCCTTTTCTTCTTTTCTTTTCTTTTCTTTTATAACTTCTTTTATATCATTTATATTATTTATTTATTTATTTATTTAATATTATTAATTTTAATTTTATATTGTTATTTTTGTATTGTATTTTATTGTGTTGTAAGCCGTCCCGAGGCTTCGGCAAGAGGCGGCATAGAAATGTTCTAATAATAATAATAATAATAATAATAATAATAATAATAATAATAATAGCTTCTTCAGGAGAGAGAAAGGATATATATATTCCTGTCACCTGTAAATTACTCAGAAGGGACAGGAGGATACTTGGATGATATCAAAAAAACTGGAGAAGATGCTTATAGCAATTAGTTTTTCATGGCTTTTCTTGTTTTTATCCATATATTCCATGCACAAATAGCCTTCAAAGCAGCCTAACACTTGTTGTGATTTCTGTATTTAGGATTGTTTTATTATAAATTATACAAATGCCAGCAGCTCAGTCGCTAATTTAACAACTTGTGCCAGTACATCTCAGTTGCTTTTAAAAGTTCAGGTGAATTGTACAGAGATACCTTCTCAGTACTGGAGTGAGAGTTTAATCTCCTTGCATACCATATGTAGTCTTAGGGATGTGCATAAAGTGATAGTGGTGGGGACAACATAAGACTAAGACAAGTTTACCAACGGAGCAACATGGACTGCTGCCCAGTATGGAGGCTTGATAGGTAGCCCACAGAACTGTAGGTATATATGATGCACTGGACAGGTGTGACCAGATTTCCTGCGACAGATGGAAGCCTCACTTTCCTTGTTAAGCTGGCCTGGGGATAGATCTTTTCCAAGCTACCATAACATTAATCAGGATTTGGTCTGATCACTGGGTTACTTCACATTTATCAGTGGAAAGGAATGCCTGAAAGGTAAATTTTAATGCTTATAGCTCTTTCCTGTTGAAAGAATGGCATCAGTTACTATTGGACAGGTGCTTTCTGTGATGAATAAGAAAGATGTTTTCTGCTTAACAAATAATGCTGTGTCTCATGTTCCCAATTTGGGTAAGGTTGAAGAAGCCAAGAAAACTGGAGAGAGAACCAAATGAACAGGCTTGCTATACTTAAGGTAGAAGATCTGCAGGCTTCCAAACCTACAGTTCTAAAATACCACTGATGCAACTAAGGATAAACTTTACTGAAATTTCATGAGCAATCAATGCTGCTGTTTACTATGAACTACATAAACTTATGGAAATAAACATGGACGAGAAAACCCAAAAATAAACATTGCAGTAAATACTGGGACTTCTTGTATTACAGCAAAGAGTTTTCAAATACAGTAGAAAGAGGCATACTGTCTTGGCTTAATCTTGCTTTTCCATGCAGGTCTTTAACCCATCTACTTTCTAGAATCATTGTGTTCTCATGTCTCATATTAAAGATGGCTCTTATTGCCAGTATGATAGGCTAACTTTGTTCTACATAAAAGCGGAGTGAATAGTTTCTAATAATTTTACTATCAAAACCAAAGTTGTATTAGAAACTGACAGTTATTTACGGTTGTTCAGGATGAGAGGAATTATGCAGCCTTTGAGAAGTAGTACATAAACCAGTTGGTTAGACTGCTTGCATCACTATTTTAATGGTTGTGTCTTCTTAGGATGACCGCTTGAAGGAACCATTGCAAAAACTGAAACTGGCTGTCATTGATGTCATGCCTGAACAAATAATCAAATATCAGGAGGACTGCCAGGCACACAGTCAGGCCAAGAATGCCAAGTACGTACATGAATCAAATGGGATATTCTTAATGTGGTTGATTCATGGAAGAAAGTGAGATGATTATAATGCTGGCACTTGAACAAAAGAGTGCAGTTACTGCCTTCTATACTTGTTTTGTGATTGTTCTTTTGAATTTTATACTAAACTGAATAGAGTTTGGGATATAATAATTCAAAAACAATGAAGTGGTAAAGTTTTAAAAGTGGTGCTGAAGGAACAAGGAAACAATTCCTTGTTTTGAAGTTCTTATTGCTTGTCTTTAATGTGTTGTATTTCACATAGCAATGATTGCAGTTGGCCAAACTCCAGCTTCAGGAGATCCTATCCCTCTCCCATAGCCACAACTCTTATGGTCCTGGCTCTTACTGTCCATTTCTCCCTGAACTTCACCTCTTTTTCTTTCCTTTTGCCTCCTCAGAATTTGCTTCCTTTCTTTCTTCCCCATTGATGACCATAAAGTTCAAAATTTCTTGAAAACAACAGTGTCTTAAGACACCTTAAAGATTAATGAATTGTATAATGGCATAAACTTTTATAGATTATTATATAATCTTATTTCATTGGGTAATACATTCTTTGAAAAATAGTTCATTAGGAATTCAATTCTTAGAAGCAGGCCATATTGTACAAAAAAAGTGAAATACAGTTTACAGTTTCCTTCTGATCAGATCATATTTGAAAGAATTCTAGAATTTGGTTGGTTAAGGTTTATTTTTACTAGCTAAGGTTCTGTTTCCATATGTTACCACTAGTAGCCTATCTTAGGACCTTGATCCTTCCTTCTGCCCACAATATGGAAGAAGGCAGGTTTAAACCTTTAGTTGAAAAATCATTTAATTAATCTGGTATATGACCCTCAAAATAAAATAATACTGAGCCCCTCTATGAATGCTTCTTGAGAATTTAGGTACAACACACGTGTGTGTGTGTGCATGGGATAGGTTCACCCATTGCGCTAAGCCACTTCATGAATAAGCCATGGTGGTTTTTTCCCAGAAGAACCCATTCTGTGTGCAACAGACATGTGGGCTTTCCATGGCTTGTTCTCATCTGCCTTCCTCAGTCCTCCAGCAGCCTCTAGCATGTATCTGGACTTTATGTCATGTAGTATGAAATGTAGTTTTGATTCATCAATTTCTTTGCATATTTCACCTGTCAAAAGAATGAGAAAACTGGTGTAGGTTACCTTAGGAAAATTGACAAGACTACATATAACCTAATCTGTGCACAGGACAGAGGATGATGTAATAGTAAGAGAAGGTAGAACAGTTCAGAAAGACTGAAAATGGTTGCACCAAAATGAGATTGTGATACAATATTCCCTTTGAACATTTGATTCTCTTGCTTTTGAGCATTGAACTAATTTCTCAATGTCCCTAATTTTTAACATGTTCTTGAATATTAGCTACTTCAGAAAGAGGTTTTAGCCCTTTCTATGGCTTCTTTTCTAAGCAGTTGCTGCAGTTCCCTGGCAGTTTAAAAGGTAGATGCATGAAATGGATTGGGATGGTGGGTGTCCATTTGGCTCCATCCTTTTTCTGTCACCATCTCAGGATGTTTGAAAGTACTGTCAGGAATATATGTGCAATAGTTTGGACTGCAAAGTACATGGAAGAGAAACTTTCACAAATTTTATGTATACATTTGATTTCTATACCACTCATCAACCAAGACAATTCTCTTGGCAGTTCACAAGATCAAAAAAACAACAAATAATAATACACCAATAAAATAACAACAATGAGCCCACAACAGCCCTGCTCAAATTAGTCCGGGGTACAGTAGCACTAAAATCCAATATAAACAAGATAAAAGATTGTTATAAAATATTTTAAAATTATTTAACTGTTAAAATATTGAATAAAAGGGTTTTTACCTGGTGCCAAGAAAGATGAAGATAAAGCATAAGCTCCAGGCACACTTCCTTTGGGAGCTGATTCCACTAGCTAGGAAGTAAATAGTGGAATGTATGCACCTGCAGTAATAGAACAGATAATGCGAGGCCCAGATTTCTCCTGCATTTATTACCAAACACCTATATTTGCACAAATCCCCCCATTTATTTGCTAGCTATCAAATTTGCAGACATTTCCTTTCCATTTACTTCTCAACATGGCTTATTTGTGTAAAAGTCATGTTGTACAACTCCAACGTTAACTCTGGGTTAATGCAAAAGAAGCTGATTTATTTTTTTTATTTGGTGGTGCAGTAGTATATGGTGTTTATCATTCATGTATGGATCTGGGAAATCATTGATGTTTTCATACATGCACTATTTTCTCAACTAAAAACTTTCAGATGAGCAAAAAACTAATACTGAAAGGCTAACAAGTTTAACTTCTGCATCAGTATAGAACAGTGATTGTAGTATTTAGTGTGAGTTTTTATAATGGTAATAATCAATGAATCACCTTGGATTTGCAGTGTTCCATTTTCCCCATTTGTTATACAATATAAAAGACCCCACTACCCTTTTAGCAAAATGTTGAAGTATTTGGGCGCTGTATGTGAGAGAGGGAGGGTGTTGGGGGAAGGGAGAAATCTTTGAGCAATTGCTTCTTTTACTGTAGAAAATATTTATGGTGTATGAGTAGCAGAGGTTAGGAGATTGCATTCCTCCTTTATTGGTCTCTCTGCAGCATCACATAGCAGAGCCTAAACTCTGGGAAGATTTCTACATCTTTCATTGGGGAGCTAGGATATATATCCTCTATTTTCAGAAAGATCTGGAGTATTTGTACATGCCTTCCAATTTGCTGTCTTCTGACTGCTGTTTTTCTGTATGGCGGGCTTTAGCTATCTATTTTTCCTTTCAGTTTTTAACTTTGTCAGCTATTATTTCATTTTGCTTTTGTGTTTTTCCTTTCTGTACAAGCTGCATGCCCATGGCACAGCTCGTGTATTTTAAGAAGTGCTGCAGTTGTATGGGAAAATCCTTACCAAGGCTGGCTCCTTTGCCTGCAAGCTCACCAAACAAACTTGTAACCTAGTTAGGACCTCATTTAGGGACCAGGTGAGAGGGAAGTACGGGTAGCCACCATAGTTTTTGCAGTTACTCTGTTATAGGCATGCAAGGCAGCTCTTTCCAACTTTAGTTAAGGGCCATCCTTGTAGAACTATTGTTACCATCTCTGTTTTCAAGAGGCATTTCTGTTGCATAGCCAGTGCTTGTCAGATTCCTAAATATTGTGGATAGATGTGGATTTTGCTGGAGCAGTGTTTCACTCTTTTATTTTCTTGAGGAAGCAGCACCCATCTCTAGGTTGTCAACTAACCAATTTGTCTATATGTTAGATAAAAGATCATAAAGGAAAGCACTTTGCTTACCTGCAATTTTTCATTTTTGTGGTCCCACAACCTTCCCTTCTTGCCTATTTTGGTTGCCCCTCAGACTTGTTTATATTGCACAGTAGTTTTAAAAGTACTGAATAGGAAGGTGTTCACTTTGCTGTCCAAGGTGTGCACAGGTATTTGATTTCTTCTTGAGTGAAGGAGAGGGCACAAGCCCCAGCTCCCTAATTGGAGCTCTAAATGCTCCTGAAGGTTGCTTTGCACAGGCAAGATGCTATAAGTGGTATACTATATTTATCCATTCAGGCACTGGGTACAGGTAAACAACCTGTATATGCTGGAACCTAATAATAGGGAAATAAGTACATGCATGCTTTGACTCTTGCTGACAATGCAGTTGCTCTTTTTGTTTCAGAATGCAAGCAGAAGATGAGCGTGACAAGAATGGCTCTGAGGAGGAGGAGGATGAGAAGCCAGGAAAGAGGATTGCAGGACCAAGAAAAAAATTCCACTGGGATGAGACAGTGAGGTATGATATTACATTGTTTTTGTACCTTTCCAATTGCCACAGCAGAAAGTAATGCAGCCCACTTCAGGCCCTGACTGGAGGAGTGCTAGCATTGTGAACCACCCAGAGAGATTTGCATTTTGGCTGGTATAGATAAAATAATAAATAAATAGAATAGCAAATTAATTCCCTTCCCTTGCAAAATTGTGGATATAATCATGAATGTAAGGTTATGTATATCTAATGCACTGCAACTTTTAATAATAAACTACAGGAAGGCATAACATCAACAAGATTGTTAATGTTAGCTAACAATGTTCTAATCTTACCTTGCAAACTGCCAAGACTGATGTTTTCTTACTAAGTTCACTTAATATACTTCCCAGGTACTATATAACGTCCCATTATATATTTGCCCCCATTGAATAATTCATCCTGTTCTTGGCTATGTCAATATCATACTCAGAACCTTTCTTTTTATTTGGATCACATGAAAGCTTTTTGAATGTCTCTGCTGCCTCTGTTCTGTTTCTTATTATTGTCTCATACAAGCAGCTTAGGTGTTGGCAGCATCTAGTTTCCCCATACTATTTAAAGTCTCTTGGCTCTTATCCCAGAATTGCAGGAAGAAAATGAGAAGGTGTATGGATGAGATACAAACTGTTTTGTTGCTTAGCAAAATGTGAAAGTCTGAAATGTGTGTTTAACTTGCTCTGAACTCTCAACTGGCTCCAGGGTCCCTGTTATGGGTAAAGCAGTGCTGCAAAAAAGCACTCAATGGGAAAAGGGGTCTCAAACAGATTGGATTGAGTTCTGATAAGAACAAAGCTGTAGCCTTGAAAAACCAAACTGTTTTATATAATATAGAATGTGATGTGTAACCATGTTGACTACAAAGGAGCTATAGCTAGATAACCATTCACTGTAGATCTACAACAAATCAGATAAATTGGTGGGTGGAGGGGAGGATCTATGCATGGGAGGCACCCACTAATGTTGATAGATTTAAGCCTGTCTGATTTCTTTCAACAGGGCTTTGCTGTGTAACCTTGTCAAGATTAAATTGGGATGTTATGAGCTAGAGCCAAATAAAAGCCAGTCTGCAGAAGATTACCTCAAGACCTTTATGGAGACAGTGGTGAAGCCAATTTGGCCCAAAGGCTGGATGCAAGCAAGGTATGATGCCTGTTTAGAATTAAGTATTACTTGCTATGACTTGTGCTGAATTAAACGTTATTTGGAGTTTAGGTGTGTACTTTACAGTGCTTATAAGACTTTTTTCCTTATTCTTAAAACACTCAGTATGTTATGATTTCAGAATTGGCATATATAAAACATTCAGTAAAATCATACAAGTGACAGGTTATTGTTGCACCCTTAAAAGCTTATTTTATGGCCACAAAAGGTGTTGTTAGTCACGAAGTCATGTCTGGCCACAAAAGGTAAGCCCAGACAAAAGTAACTTCAGAAGTTCTAGGGATGAAGCTCCAAAATAGAGTTCAGTATACTAATTCAGAATGCCTTTTTGCATACTCTTCTAATCATATTGTAGAGATGGAATAATCAAAAGGATATTCTTGGATGATCTGATGTAATTCAATAGAATTTGATCAGCGAAAGGCAATGAAGCAGCTTGTTTGGTGTGCAGGTTAGGTTTTATTATAATGTACAGGTTAACACATTTTGTGCAGTTGGAAAAATGTTTTTTGGAAACCAAGTTTTTGTGCAGTTGAGAATATGAATTGTAATAAGGACCTTAATGTTCTGCTTACTTTTTTCTTTATTTCAAGCAACAACTTTGTTTCTTATTATAGTTCATATTCCTAGCTGCACAAAAACTTAGTTTCATTGGACTGTGTTGTTAGAGTGGAGGTGTTATAACTTGTCAATGTAACTGTAATTTATTATTATTAATTCAGCATACAGTAGTGCCATGGTATACTCTAAAACTTATATTGAGCCAAGTTAAATTTCCCCATAAGGTTCAATGTAAATAAGGTTAATCCATTCTGTAACGATTTTTTAAATCAGAAAAATGTGAAGCAAAGTGACAAAGAACAAAGATTGTGGCCATCTCTCCCCCCCACCCCGAGCATGAGCGCGGCCATCTCCCTGCCCCCCCAGCAGGACCGCGATTTCGCCCGTCATCCCTGCACGCGCCCATCATCCCAGCACACTGAGGGGGAGAGACAGGCACAAATACGGGTGTGCTGGGGGGGAGAGACAGGCGCAAAGACAGGCGTGCTCAGCGGGGATGGGCACGATTGTGCTGGAGGGGAGATAGCCGAGATTGCAGTTGCACTCATGCAGGAAAGACGGGCGCAATCTCAGCCATCTCCCCCGAACCTCCAGCACAATCATGGTCATCTCCCCTCTCGGGGAGGGGGGGAGATGGCCATGATCGTGGTCACCACCCAATGTGGAGTTCGCAACCTGAGTCAAAATTTTTATGAAATTTTTGTTCACGACCTGATTTGGTTGTGAACTGAGGTGTTCGTGAGCCAAGGTACCACTGTATTTTATCTTGCATTTCTCTAGTTTTTGCTCCACTGTGGGAGCCGTGCAGACATTTGAGTACCATGAAAGAATAACCAGCAACATTTCATGTGTAAAATATGTTAACATGTTATCTATTTGCTGAGATTAGCTTTGTCCAGAGATTTGCTCAGCTTTGTTAAATAGAAATAGCAGTACTTAATAAGCAATATTTTAGCACAGCAGTTACCTGTACTGAAAACTAGTATAGCTCTTTTTAGCTATATTTAGCTCTATTATTACCCCATATGCAAGAATGAATGACTTCATATCATGGTCATTTCGCAATCTGATTTTAATTCTGGAGAAATGACTGAAGTATTCCCTCTCTATAGGATGCTCTTTAAAGAAAGCCGAAGTGTTCATAGTCATCTCACATCTGCTCCGTGAGTATAACATCAACACATGCATGCTTCTCTTTTGAGCTAGCTTTCCATAAAAGTCTTACAATCTGACAATAATTTGGTTGTCAATGGTTGCATCTGTTTTCCTGCTGGTACTAAAGTGTAGAATTTGCTATATTGATGGATTAATCATGATATTTGTAGGAATCTTGAACTGGTACATTTTGTATAGTTCAGACTCAAAGTTTGTGACAGGTTTCCTTAAATAAAACACATTGACTGAGTTCACATTACATGATAGCCCACTATGGGTTGTTATCCATAATGATTTATTGTATTGTAGAAATTGATTCCTGCAGGGTGGTTTGTTTATGGGCAACAAGTCACCCTGACAACCCATGGGCTCCACCAATGATGGGCTGTTGTGATGTCCAAAGCTGAGGGACCAACTGTGTCATGGGTACCAGGAATCAACCACCAACTTGTCTGGTAAAAGCAGCAAAACCTCCTTACCTCCATTATCAAGCTTACCCTGATACTTGCCAGTGTCAGCTGCCCCACAGATGCTCAGACAGCAGTTGGGAGCAGCTGACACTGGCTAGATATCTCCTGCTATGATCACAAGCCATTGGGTCACCATGTTTTTTTAACATTTTACCTCTTTTTATCAGATGCTATGAAAGCCAGCTTGACAGCCCACTTTTACAATTTTCATTTTGACAATTACTTACAGCTCCTGTAAAATTCCCAAGCAGTTCCTTGGAGGAGCCAATAAACCTGGCAGGTTTATTTGTACACATTAGAAAAAATAGGACTTGTAATATTTTTAGCTGTGCTTGTTTCACTGTGGACATTTGCATTGTCACACTTGCAGGAAGTTGAGGCTTCAGTTGGGGCAATGTCCAGGGGAGTGCAAAAGGTACCACCCTGGACATTGTCCCAAAGAAAGTCCAAATAGGAGGTCCCTCCCTCCCCACACACACACACTTTTGTTTTTCTTGACAGCTAACTGTCAAAATATTCAGTCATATGTCATGATCAAACCACCCATTGCCATGTCAAAACATCCTTTTCTTATGTTGTGAGCCGCCCCGAGGCTTCGGCGAATGGGGCGGCATAGAAATGTTTAAATGAATGAATGAATGAATGGGAATCTAGAGATTTGACAGCTGAGATGCATGTTGGAGATAGCTGGAGGCCTGGGTGGGAGAACTACAGTGGCTTATTTAAAAGATGCATGATGACATTAGTTGGGTTTACAGAATCATAATGTCTTAAACAAGCCAAGGTGTCTTCTTAAGCTGTTAAAGTATACCAGCACACTCTGGGTGCTGTTTGCTTAATCACCCACCAAGGCACACCTTGTTATATTGCCCAAATCTGGGTGGCATGGCTTTTTGGGCTACTATTGGAAAGGAGATCAATGCTCATCTCCACAGCAGCCTGTACATTATTTTTCAAAGTGTCAAATATTCATGCTTCATATGCATAGCTGACCAATTCTCAGGGTTTTTTTTTTCTTGAAAGTTGCCTCAAAACATGAACTCAGGAAGAAGCTTAGAAATTTGGAGCAAGTTTTTTTTTTTAGTATAGGAATTTACAGATCAGGGTTTTGTGGAAGTATCTTCTGAGAAGTAAATTGAGGAAAGCACTGGATAAATGCATAAGGTGTGTATTTGCAGAAAAGGGGCTACATTTTAGCTATTGTTTTCATTTTATTAACTCCTTGAAGGTATCTACTTTAACTAGACTTGTTTTTGTTGTCAGTGCATTTTCAATTGGACTGAAGGCCATTCCAACTAAAAATATAGATTTGCATTCTAATTAGTTCTGTGCTTTCTTTTTTAGGGCAAAGAAGAAGGTGATTCTGGCACCTAAACCCAAAGCAAAGGTAAGTCATGAAATCACTTAGTAAAGTAAAATAAGTAAAGAAATAAAAAATCAGGTTCAAGAGGTAGTCATCACTGTCCATTGCATCTTTTGATTTTACGATTGGTAGTTCAAATGTCAACCTGGCTTTTTATTTATCACATTTGTAATATATGCTTTCTCCAAGGAGTTCAGGACAACATAATGGAATCTTGATTTTGTCCTCACAACGGTCTTATACAGTATGTTAGACTAACCTGGTTTGCACACAATGCAAACCCATGGTTTATATAATCCATAGTTTATTGCCCTACCCAGTGTTTGTCTGGCAGACAATTTAACAAACTGTGATTTGCTTTCTCACTCCCTGAGTTGTTTGTTACTGTTGTATTTTGTACTTAACAACCATAGTTGACTCATAATTCTGGGTTGTGTGCACCAGTCAGCAACCTGGTTTGCAAGTAGTAAGAAAGCAAAGTTGATTTAACCATGTTTTATTGAGTTGTAGGTTGTTGTTATAAGTGAACCCAGAACTTTGGGTTAAAACATGATCGACCCAGGAAGAAAAGCTTTTGTTTATTGTTGGATTGTAAATTGTTTAAACCATGGGTTTACAGTACATGCAAACCTAAAATCATGGGTTGGTAGGCTACAGAGGCAGCAGGCAAGAGTGATCAAGACACAACCCAACCTCTTAATATCTCAGTGCTCCTTTACCATGAAGGCAGTTGGGATATAAGGGTATAGTGGCAGTTGGGTGGGTAAAGGAGGAGGGAAACACTGTAGTAACTGAGTGGGAACATTGCCTGTTTGATTGCCTGCTTGACAAGTAACAACAAACAGTTATTTAATAGGCCATGAGCTAGTGTTGCTTGCAACTAGGTCTACCTTTTTGTGCTTCTACAGTGTTTTATTACATCTTAACATAAGCTGATTCAGTAAAAAAAAAATGGCTTCCCTTCTTTATTGTAAAAAAAAAATTCTAGAACAAGGCAAAAGTATTGCACTGCTGTAATTGAATTTGATACATATAATGCCATGAACTTTCTACACATAAGTATCATGAAGTATTCTACTCATTCCAATTGGTATAGCAATTAATTCAGATGTATCATGTGCTGCCCAAACTCATGTGATGTCAGTAGAGCAGAGTCTTTAAACAATGGAACATTAAAATATGGTCCTTAATCACATTTAAGGAAGTGTGATTAAGTTACACCAGGGAACTATAAGATGCTGAACATGCTCTCCATTATCAGTTTTCTGTTCCAAGTCTTTATTCAAGTTGGACTGATGTTTGATTTCTGTTCCTTACTGGTAGAAAGAAGACCTTGGAGGATGGATTGTGGGAATAAGAATGGAGCGAGCCTTTAGTCACATCCTCCACCTAGCCTTTTGATATTTTAAATCATGCCTCCCCCTTATTTAAGACATGGCTGGGCAGGCCCATACTTAACAACATGGATTTGCTTCTATCATATGTCACTTGGGCATAAATTTTGAAGCTTGACGTTCCTTTGTCAAATCCAAGATAGAGAACAATAGGAAAAGCATAACATTGCAATTAAAAGATATAGCAACATATAACAAAAATAAATAAAGTCAGCCAACTCAAGCAAATCAAATGCTTGTCTTATCTGGGTCTTTGCAAGCTTTTCTGGGAACTGATTTCTAACCATCTTTTGTTCAAGATAGAACTGAGAGCATTACATGAAGCCATTCTCCATTTTGGAACAGATCATCTCCAGTATGTGGTGGGGGAATCTCATTTGGAAATAAATAGTTCCTGTTGTCTTTATTCTTTTAGAGAAGATAATCTTGCTGTTTAAAATGCAGCTTATACTTAGAATTTTAAAAATTAAATATCCTGCAGTAATTTTTCAAATCTTCTATTAGTAAGTAAACAAACACATTCCTAACTTGGTATCATAACACTGAAAGAAAAACGACATTGGTGGATCTGTAAATGATTACAAATATTCAAAAAGCAAGCATTCCATGAAACATCTACCTCCTTTTTTTGGGAAATTTATTTTATGTTTTATTTTTATCTTTATACTAGGACTCTAGTCCAAAGAAGGAGCAAAGAGCCAGTACCGCTTTTACTTCAGCTTGTGTTCCTGCTTCAAGTACCAGCACACCTATTAGTGCTCTGGCCAATTCTAGCTGTATCCCTGCTCCAGAGACAATCTGTCTGGATGACTCACTAGATGAAGATCTCTCCTTTAATCCACCTTCACTGGATTCTATTTCTGATGCTCTGGCTGTTATTAATAATGGAGCTAAGAGTTCTCCTGTTGGTCCCTCTGGAGAGACACCAACTTCAAGACCTCGGCCTGGGCTGAGAGAAGAGAAGTTAGCAAGTATAATGAGCAAGTTACCTCTGTCATCTTCAAAAAAAGTAGAGACTGGTCAGACACCACATTCATCAAGTCTTATAGCTGGGCACACAGGACCAGTACCAAAGAAATCCCAGGATTTGCTTCAGACTGGTATCTCTTCAGGCCTTATTGCTGGATCTTCAATTCAAAACCCTAAGGTTTCATTAGAACCCTTGCCAGCTAAGCTTCTGCAACAAGGATTACAGAGGTCAAGCCAAATTCAAGCTGCTTCCTCTTCACAAGCCCATATTTCTTCCTCCTGTAAAGTTCAGTCAACAGGTGCTTCTGCTTCACAGAGGCCAAAGGATACAGCTGCCCTTGTAACCTCTTCAGAAGCCCAAAGTTGTGGCTCTTCAACATTACAAGTGACAAAGGTTCACCAGCAATCAGCTGCCCAACAAAAATATGTTTCTCCTCTACAAGCAACTATTAGTAAATCTCAGACCAACCCTGTGGTAAAACTAAGTAGCAATCCCAAACTGTCCTGTTCTTCCCCAGTTACCAAGACTTCAGATAAACCAGTAGTATATCGCCTTCCTTTGCCTAATACCACCTCTGGGAGTAGTTCCCAGTTGGCTCACCCACTTGTGTCTCGGACAACATCCAGCACCTCTACCTCTAGTAACTATTTAGCCAAGGCCATGGTATCACAAGTTTCTGCCCAGGGTTTCAAGCCTCCTTTCCCCATGGCTCCCTCCCCAAAACCTGCTGCCTCTCCCAAGCCCACAACACCCAAGCCTTCTGTTACATCCAAGCCTACTGCATCACCTAAACTGTCATCATCTAAGTCCACCTCAACACCCAAACCCAGTTCTTCCAGTTCAAATGCACTAGTATCTCAGAGTAGTCACTCCAGCAGCAACAATTCCCTTCATAAACAGCCAAGTGGAGTAAATGTCAGTCGGCAGTCTCCTACAATTAATTTACTGCCCTCTAATCGCACCTCAGGCCTTCAACCAGCAAAGAACCCTCAGGCCCCTTCAAAATTATCCAACTCTTCTGCCTCTGGAACTATTGGCAAAAATAACTTGAGTGGAGTTGGAATGAATGTACCTGTCAACAGGGGCAGCAACATTAATTCCAGTGGAGCTAATAGGACTAATATCTCTGGAGCAGCAGGAAGTGGAACACAGGGTGCTACTAAACAATTGTCAACTCCACATAGACCATCTTCTGCCTCAGGGTCTACAGTTATACCAGCCAGTGTGCAGGTAGGTATTGAATGTGAAATTTTATTAGAGGCCTAATAACAAGGCTCATTAAGTTGTTGGATTGTTATCCTTCCATAAATACAGTTAACAGTGAAATTCTGTGTCTGTTCAGAAGTAAACCCCACTGAGTTCAATAGAACTTACTCATAGGTGAGCACATACGGGACTGGAGCATGAATGTATATCAAGTACTTCAGAGTGTAGGGAGTGCTAATCCTTTACATTCTGGAGGGACAAAACTTGCAGTGCAGAAGGAAAACAACACATTCTGAAGCACTGAAAAAAGTAGCGCTTTATTCTGTCCCATAATGTATAGGATCACTTACTCAATATTGTAATGTGATTTACATTGTACGTTTCTCTGTACTTCTATTGGCAGTCAGTGATGTGGGGTGGAGAGAGACACATGGTGACAACACAGCAGAGTAAGCTTACAAAGGGAGGAATTATAGCATCTGAAGTAGGTGAGGAAAGTCCTATTCGCTCTTGGCAAAAACCCACCAATGCTCTTAAATATATTCAGTTTGTTCTGGCTATATAGCAAGGTTGGGTGACAAACTTGGGAGCTGCATGCCTTTGAGGGAAAGTGGTTAGGGATTGCATAGTGGCAGTAGCTGGAACCAGAGCCAAAGTGATTTGAAAACTCTTTTCCACCCACTTTCTTTCTGTTAGCTTCTCTTTCTATTTCCTGTACTCACCTGTCAGGATATTGAAAGGACACAAAGATCAATCCTTCCTCAATCTCAATAAAAATTGTCTCCTACACTGATAGGGAGTCATGCAGACTGTATCACAGTACTGGGGGTCATACTGTACATGCCCTTTCAAATCCAGACCTTAACTTCTGAAAACCTTATTTCAAGTTCTGCAGTTTCTTGCTTCTTTCTTCAGGTCCCAAAATTCATCTTCTAAACCTTTCTGGAATCGATACATTCATACAGCTTTTTATTTCATTTTGCTGTTTCTTAACAAAATCTATTCTCCCATCCCTTTAAGTATGAAAACTGAAATAGATACCTGTAATATTAAGAACAGCTTTGCTCTTATTAAATATTTACTCAGGAACGAAGTATACTAATTGAGCTTCTGGGTAAAACTGACTGTGGAATAGATTAGATTATGTGTGGAGTGAGTGAGATATGTTTGATTACCAAAAGTTTAAAGTACATGTCAAAATAATTTTCACAGCATGTTGCCCTGACTTTTCTCTAAAAGAGACTCTCCTTTTTCTTTTTCTTCAACAACTGTTGCATTAGTGTTTATTTTTTGGACATAAAGCACATCACTATCTGAGATCCAGGATAGAAAAGCAAAACTTTAAAAAGCAAGGGAATTTAAATAGTATGTCAGGATTAACGTGTTTTACAAAAACAGGAGAAAACAAATTACAGATAGTTTGTTATTAAGCACTTTCTAAAATAAAAGAATTTGCTTAGAGAAATAAGAGAGAATTTAACAGAAAAAATCAGTGAGTAAAATCTTTCTGGTATTCTTAACTTTATGGAATGTGGCCAAAATATATGCCAGAAATTGGCATAAAATATCCAATAAATCTTTTTACTGAATAAATAGCATTCAATTTAGTAGAACTTTTATTTATTACATATCTATCCAACCTTTTTCTCACTTGCAGGACCCAAAGGCAATTTACATAATCTTTCTCTCAATTTTTTTCTTCCTATCTAATCTATGAGGTAGGTTAGTTTGAGAATCAGTGACTTATAGAAAGTTGCCCAGTAAACTTCATGGTCGCAAGGTGCGGCATAGAAATGTTATAATAATAATAATAATAATAATAATAATAATAATAATAATAAAGTGAGTATTAGAACCTGGATATTCTGAGTCCTGGTACAATATTATGAATCATTAAAGACATTTTTGAAAATGTATGATACAGGAATGTATTAAACTAGTTTTTCCTCATAGCATACAACTATTTCCTAGAAATTCTAAATTAATATTAGGTATCTGTCATAATATTAGAAAATGCTTAATGCTGTCATGTCCTAGATCTGTGTTTCTTCTTGATGATCCAGAAAGCTTTTTACTGGTGTTTTGAGTCAATAGTATCAGAAGATACTTAATTGCATGACAGATAGTGATAGTGGACAAAACATATCCATACAATGCATAGTTAGAACTGGAGGGGTACTGACTAGAGAAATGTTATATGTGCTTTAAAAGCATGCTAAAGTTGGGAAATTACAAAACTGGTATAGTTATGTCTAGCCTACTCTAAATTGTGCCACATCTGTTCTGTAACATTATGATTTTGTATTGGTCTAGTAATCCATCTCTGGATACTTGGGTTTCTTTAAAAGAATGCTTGAACTTAAAATTTCAGTTAGCATATAATCAAACAGGATCTCCCATTCTTCCCAACCAAAGTGATCTTTGAGTTTGATCAATAGCATTGATGGGTTAATTATTGCTTTAGTGAAGTGATGGGACTCTGGGAGATCAAGCTGATTGGAATGATTAGATAATTTTAGTACATACCTTTAAATAATTGCTTTAGATTCTTAACTATTCTCAATTCCATGATTAAAATAAAATTGAACATATTTGGATGATGACACATACATAAATTGCACTACTCTGGAAACAGTTTAATAAAGATGCTTCAAATTAAGCCACACCAAACATATGTAATCTGCTAGATAAACATGCATTGGATGTGCTGTAAAGCACTCTGCCTTCAGAAACCCAGTTTAGAAAATTATATTTAAAATGCAACCGTAACTGGAGCAAAGTGAGGAAATGTTCAGCAGTTGTCAAAATATTAGGAACTTTTCAACCTAAAATCATCACAATTATATGTAAATCTGTCATTTACACTAATGGTAAGAAAAAAGGAATAGTATACTTACTACTACAGAGTGTATCAGGAGCAATGCAGAAAGTAACATGAAGGAAAGCTTGAACTGTATGTGTTTTTTACTTAAAGTAGCATTTCAGATATATTTTAACTAATTTCTTGGAAGTGCCCTAAAAAGGCTATAAAACATGTTTAAAAGTAACAGCTGTCTCTCTACAGTCTACAACAGGTGCATCATTGCTGGCAAATGCTTCACCTTTGACTCTCATGACATCACCCCTGTCTGTAACGAATCAGAATGTGACGTCTGCTCCATTGGCTCCTTTTGGGATGCTGGGTAGCCTTGTTCCTGTGACCGTGCCCTTTCAGTTTCCATTGGAGCTACTTGGCTTTGGAACAGATACAGCTGGAGTGACAACCACCTCGGGATCTACCTCAGCAGCTTTCCACCACAGCCTAGCTCAGAGTAAGTCAAGCTATCTTGTTTGGCATCCACCTAAAAAGTCCACTGCCTAAATACTTAGCAGTATTTTACAACTTATACTTATTTCTTGTTAATGGCTATTTTCTATGATCTTAGTCATGTATGTGTTTAGCACAATATACATATACTTATTTCTGAAGTTTTTCCCAGATTTTAACTGTTCTCATTTGAATATGAAAAACATTGTTTGGAAAGATAGACTGTGATATACTTCACCCCAGAAGACTGATTAAATATATCCTTATGACAGAAAATGGAAACTTTGCTTTTTTGGATTATATTTAACTTTTTTATAAAAGATTTCTTCTATACATTCCGGATAGTACTAACAGTATATGGATAGTAGCAGTAGTATGATATTAGAAATCATAGAGCTGTTGATATTAAAGCTGTTTAGGAGAACATACCTTTTTTAAAAGCTAGTTCTGATTTTTGAATGGATTTCTCTTTGCTATATATCTTTGAATAAATTCTTCTTTACTACAAAGGAATTTCCTTTGCTGAATGATAAACTATTTCTTGTTCTGCTATTGAATGACTTAACCTAGAAATGGAAGCAATACCAATCAGTATTTATCCTTAACTTTGTATGCTTGTTTAAATGTGCGTGCAGTTTATATATACTGATAAATGCATTCCTCGAAAATGTACCAGGAAGCTGTTCAATCCATGCAAACCCAGATGGTTTGCATCCATTCACTCTCAATTCTTCTAGTTAATTTTCTTTTCCTTCTTTATGCCATCTCAGATTTACTGAAGGGTTTACAACCAGGAGCTCAGCATGCAGCAGCCCTGTCCCACACACCTCTGCCTGCTCACTTGCAGCAAGCTTATTCAGGTAACTAAATAATTCTGTTTTCTTATGCAGCTTTTTGAAACATGAAAAGACAGATTTTTCTCATTATAATTCAAATATCTTGTAAATAAGCAACAGTAAAAACTTTTGCAGAATTGCTTTACGAAATTTCGCATGAGAGCTGCCAAAAACATTTTGAACAACACTAGAATCCAGCAGTTATTTTCAAGAGTGCCTGTAGACCAGCTCAGGCATAATGTTCCAATGGTAGTTCTCACCTTGGGATAGATGCTGGGCTTTCATATACTATTCCCTGTCACTTAAGGGAGGAAGTAACTAGTATAGTGAGCTCATTTACATAGCATTTCCTTGATCAATTCCAAGAAAGAATTAGAGTGAAATATTGGTGAAACAGGACAATTAAAGTATGTCTCATTTTTCTACTTCTGGCCTTCAGGCACTAGGTTCTTACATACAGGGTGGCCTACATGACAGACTCAATCTAAGGATTCTGGGATTTGACCAGTGGTGGCCAGTTTCTGCTGGAGTGTGGGGAGCAAAGGCAGAGGTGGTCTCATTGTGTTGGGGAAACAAAAGCTGAGAAAATAAAAGTGGGCAATCCATGCAGCAGTCTTAAGACAGTACAATGCAGAAACTGTGGCAGAGGAGCTTTTAAAGGAGTAAAACTTGTAGCATAGAAGTTTTAAAGGCATAGGAAAGGAAATTAACATAGTAAGTTCGTCTTTCAGTGTGTTCAAAAACAAAAGCAATGTTCACATGTGACAAACCCAAATTTATTTTGCTGAGCACTCATGTCGCAAAATGCCACAGTTGGCTACCAACACAACATAATGTTATGCCACATGCAGTGATGTTGCAGGAACTTTACTGTACTTTTCATTCTTCTTAGTCCGTCCCCAATAACATCAATTACCTAAGAATTTATCCCATTTTCAAAGGACTGGATTAGTCAAGTTATGGTACGATCATATTCATGTTTAGACAAAGGCCTAACTCCCAGCATGACTCAGCCAGCCATGACTTAGGGCATGCAGGGAATTTAGGCTTTTTACTATCTGAACATGCATATTGATGGGCTTCCTGGATTGAACATACTGGGCAAGACAGTCTGCATTTGGAACAATGTTTCATCCATACATTCCCCTCAAGTGACTGTAACTTCACAGAAAAAACATCCCCTCTCCCAAGTTTCTGACTGCTAATCTCTGCCTCTCCTTCTACCTTACTATCTTTTCATGTATTTCTCTTGAATGATGAATTCATATTATTCTTCTCAAACCCCTCAAACCCAGGTACTCTACAATGACTTAAAATGAAGAGAGAAAAGCTGGCCACAGACATACAGTGGTTGTTGCCATCATCCCAAAATCTGCATTAATAGACAAATGGAAAGATCACTAGAGTTGTTCAAGCTTTTGAGATCTCCAGATCTCCTTAGGCAGGGTTTTATAAACAGTAGATGGGACTATGAGGGCAGGGGAGTGAGGCTGATTTGATGGGGAAGTTAGTATTTGCACATTCCAGTAAGCACAACCTCTGGTTTTGGCTGTTGGAATTGTACTGTTGGAATTTAGAAGTATAATGTGGCAATCAGTTCCGTAACTACATTGCATACAAGTGAAAGATTAGAAATCTTATTCTAATGACTACAGTTTTAGAAAGTGAGTATAGTATATTCATATACAGTTTGGGGGTATAGCTTCCATAAATATAAGAAAATGAAGGTTATGTAAAATCTTTATCCATTTTTGTTTGCAAATTCCAGATGGAGGCCAAAGTAAAGGGGACACTAAGTTACAGAGGAAAACCCAGTGATATCCTGATGAACAAGGATGCTAAAGTGGTCCTGCTTTGCTGTTGGAGACTGACCAGTTGGGAAAGTGCTTACGTGGACACAGAGCTGCTGTTTCTGTCAATGTTTACATATTCTGATCCCAAGCACTGTGGTGAGAAGAAGAAAAAGAAAACAATACTTGATCAAAGAGAGAAGGAAAAGGAGGAAAGTGTTCTTGTAAAAACGACTCATAGTTTGATCTCTTCTAAAGAACTCCCAAAGCCTTTTATCCTTTGAGTAGCTCAGAAAAGGTTGGCCAAATAGGGTCAGTTGTCAAACCTACAGCAGCACAAACCTTCTTTCAGGCTGATATCAGATGGAGGATAGAAGGAAGTTAAAATAGACGTCTCCATCCATCATGCAAGTGAGGCCATCTATCCTATTGGCAAACTGGAGGCCCAGGGAAGTCTACAATATATGCCAGTTAGGAACATTTTTATAGGTTTGAATATTGTGAAGTATAGAGCAAAAATAGTAATTGTGTAGAAACATAAAGGAAGACATTTTCTCCATACAAAGCCAAGGCCACTTGTCCACTATTTCTCTTTGAAGAACCTAAGGATTACAAATGTCTTGTTTTGGGGAATCTTTCACTATAGTTAATGCCATTCATGAGGACAGGGCTTTTTCTCTCTCAGATGTTCAAAGGGAGGAAGGGAACATTGGAAGGTATTCTGTTACCTGTTTTAAATTCCATTCTTTTAAATGGAACTTAGAACCTCCAATTTAACTTCAGATTTTCAGATATTCCATAAGCACTAATTTGGCTTCATAGGCTCAAATCTTGCTTTTAGTGTCTTCTGAAGGAAGTTTTTTTCTCCCCCCCCCCCGCCCCCACCTTTAGACTTGCTGTACTACTTCAGAGTTGCCTTATTTTTCATATATTATTGTAGTCCAGTAATTCCTAGTTTCCATCCTTTGTGAAGATAGTCCTGTATGTGGTTCTTCTCTCTCTTCTGATAGCTCTGAAAAGTTGCACACTTTATTAATTCCCAGCAAACAAAACTAAAAGTACCTTGCTTCTATATAAGACCTTGTTTTTTCCAGTACTGTTCAAAGCTTTCTCCAAAGAGTGGTTGAGGTGCCTTCTGCCTGGGCTTAAAATTCATTTCTCCAGCTTTCCTAAAGATCTACATGGCTGGAAGGTGTAAAACCTTACCCCACTGTTGCACAGTGATACAACTTCTAGGCTGACTTCATTTTCAATAGCAATATGTTAGATATTTGGGAAGCAAATATAGGAAACTATCTTGTAGTGAGGTGTAAAATTAGTGCAAAAGGACTGTTGACTCAAAACATAAAGTGAGATGAAAGATCAAGAAAGCATGGCACATTTCAAGGTAAAATATTTTTGATCTAGAAACCAGAGTCCCTAATAGAAAAACCTTTTTTTTCAGTTAAATCTGATATGACCTGAGTTGTTTTCAGCCTGAGTTAGGGTTGGCCAGTTTTCTAACACCCCGGAAAACAGAGGCTATCATCCCACAAAGGTATACGCAACATGCAGGAGATCATGTACAGTTAGTGGTTTCTTTAAAACATCTACTGCAGCCATTTGCACTGCTGAAGAGAGCATTTTAAACAGATATGCAGCTTGTCTATTGAGCAGCACGAGTAGCTGCAGTAGACATTTCAGAGAATTTTCTGGCTTTGTATAGAAGTTCTGTTTCACATATGCATATAACTTTATTGCACAGTGACCAAGATTATATTTCTGCTGTCTTCTGCCAGACAAGTTTTTTAGTTATCAGTTTTACAGAGGAGTTCTTGTTTTTGTTTTCTGAGAAAGCCAGATAGATTATCTTACTAATTTAGATTTTTCTCTAATTGTATATGTAAAAATATACATCTATTTAAATAATATATAATATATACATAGTAACTGAATGTTGGGTTGAGCCCATTAATAAAGAACTTTGCACAAAATTGTGAATAACAAATAAGCTCAATTTAAATCTTTAACTTACCTTAAAAGAAGGTAAACAAAGGGCTTTTTGAAAAAATTCCTTAAATTGCTTAGTGTGGAAATTATTAAGTTAAGTAGCCATATTTGTTGAAACAGTTTTGGCTTGTATAGTCTCCAAAGCATTAGCTCTCCCAAATATTAATTGGTTTATTTTCTTCTCTTACTGAATGGACTTACCTTTGAGATAAGATATATCTTATATCTGAGATATAAATGGAGAAGCATCTTTATTCCCCACAAGCATATTTTTCATGCATAAACAAACAAAACTTTCAGTTCCCTGAGGGTTTGTCTCTACAGTGTTAGTTTCTTCCTTGTGGCAACCTTATGCTTGTGTTGTCCATTAAGTATATATATTTTTAAATTGTAATTACACTGAATGTGCTAACACTTACTTTGGCATAAATCAAAATATAGATCAGGCTTAAGATAAAGAATATGGCTCCAAACCATTGCAAAGAAAGTCCATTAAACATAAGGTTCCTTTTGCTAATCATGCAAGAAATTTGGCCCAGGTTATATTACAAAAAGGATTATATTTCCAGATTATATTACAAAAAGTATATCTTTGGTAGGTAATATTCACTTCCCACCCTTTGTTAGTTACTAGAGGAAATGTGGGTCAGTAAATACTGTCTACTTAAGGGATGAAGTGAATATTACCATTAGCAGCACTAAAGTAGTGATACAGGCTACTTTTGGGTCACTGCACGACCTCCTGTCCTCCCCAGTATCCAGAAGCTACTTAGTTTGCTGCTTTAGTACTACTGTTTGAGCACCCTAGCACCCCCCTCCAAACACACACACTTCTCTCCAATCTCTTATCAGAGGTATTTCTGTGCTAACGCTATCGAAGGATTGAAAGTGCTTCTGTGGGGGCAGATGCAGTTCTGCCAACATTGGAAGTGGGTCAGGGGCTGTTTTGGGGGGTATCTGTACTTTAGAATTATATGGGTGGTCAAATCTGTTCTTGGAAATCTTTTGCTTCCAGCCATTTATCACTTCTAGAAATAACATACAAACAGAAGAGAATTAGTAGTAGTCTTATTTCCTTTTAAGGTGTTCCATATTTTCAAAGTAAAATTTTAGTTCACATTGTTTAGGTTACTGGAGAATGACTAGAATAGCACAAGTTGCCTTCTACCTGCCCTGCAACATTTTGCATGCATATTCTGGTAGTGTATTAAATTGATTAATGACAGACTGGATCAGCTGGCACAGCAATTCAGTTGTGGCTTTTTTTTTTTTTTTTTTTTTTTTTTGCTAAATATCTAAACAGGAATAAGCTGGGCATATGAAGAGAAAGCCCAACTTTCATGAACAACCAACTGTATCTTTCTGGAAATATTGGGGTTGCCTAAGATAACAACCCATCATGGGTAACTAGCCATGATGGCTTTTATTGTCATCTAAACTGAGATTGCTTCCCAAAGAGTGATTTTTTGTTTTGATTTGTTTTGGCTTGGTTTTGTTTTGGGGTAACCCAAACTATCCTGACAATCCATGGCTTGTTCTAAGGGTTGTCTGAGACACAATGGGTTGTCTTGTCATCTGAACCTGGCAGAATACTTTCATCATGGATTACAGGATGTGGTTAGCAAGCCATTTGGAAAGAGTGGCGATTCCTCTGCTGCTTTTTCAGTTTTGTACATGCTGCTGTCAGTGACACCCCCTCCAAGCAGCACTTTGGATTAACTATCACTGATTCACCTTTTTTATTTTCTGCCCCCAGAAAATTGTGCAACTGTTTGTAATGCGGGGGTGGGGGGTGATCTTTCAGCCGTGCGGTGCATAAGTGTGTGCTTAGAATTCCCATATGTGTTGTTCTGCTTTGTCAATGGCCTTGTAAATTGCAGCTTTCAAAAGGAAGTGTTGACAAGGTGAGATTGCATATAAGCTAATTTGCACATACTTGCCAGTTGTGAATTGTGAAGAACAGGAGAAAAGGTGGTGAAAGTATTTACATCTAAACAGGGTGGTGGTGATTTCATTCCCTTAGTAATGTAGTCCTCTGGCTCTTAAGTTGAACTTACAGTTCTCACTCTCCTCTCCCATTTGAACAGTTCTCCAAGTTTGATATTTCCTGTATATACTCTTTCATCAGATTCGGGAAGTATCAACTTTCAACACCTTTTCAGAGCGCTTATTGCAGCAGGGCCCTGACAATTCTTTTAAAAGAGAGGAGGAGGAGGTGGCTGAATGTGACCGAGTGAATGGTGTGCCATGGGGGGAGGGGTGTTAAGTACTGCTGATAGTGCCCCATTTACTTCTTTCTGTGGGATGTGTGTTGTTTTAAAATGTTGGGCATATTGCCTTTTTTGGACTGGGAATATACACAAATTTAATAGCTACAAAATAAATGGAAAGGAAATCTGCACCAGTTTTAACAGTAGGTCATCTCTTAAAATGAAGAGTAAATGTGGGTATCTGCAGTAGAAATGCAATTTTTTTGGAACTGTCACAGAACTCCAGTAAATTATCCAAAAGCAGGAGGGACTGCTAACTTTTCTCCTTTCTGCAACATCTGGAAATTTGGGAAGTGTTGACAAGGTGGAAAACACTGTGAACTGTCTGTTCAGCACCTAAAAACCAGAGGATTACATTGCTATTGCCTCTTTTGGTGTACCTGCTTTCCCCCTTCTTAGTTGACACGTGACAACTGCACAAATTAGTCTATTAGACTGGTTTTGTCAATTTCCATGTATGTCATCAACTCCATTCTGTAACTCTCTTTAACCTCTGCATTTTTTTAAGGCAATACTACACACTTGAAAGCTTCAAGTACACACTTGTGCACTTGCAAAAGACCAACAGAAAAAAATAAAAATGACACTGTTGTGCAATTTTCAGGAGCAGTTTTAAAAATGACCTCAGTTGTGCTCTTCTGAAGCTCTTAAAATATACATACATACATACATACATACATACATACATACATACATATTAATGGCAGCAAATGAAAAGAGGTAATGATTGGAGTGAGACAAGATGGGTCCTTTAACAAAGGACACTGGGATCCTGGCTGGAGAATAAGGGGTAAGGAGGGGGAAATCAAGCTATTGTGAGTCCAAACATCTGGTGGCTTAGTGCAATGTGAAAACACAACCATTGAATGAAATTGTAATAGATACCAGCTCTTCCCTATGTATTTAGAATGTTGATCCTGGAAAGAATCTTAAAAGTAATTATTAGTCCTTTTTATTAAACAAAAAAAGTCATAAGGACAAAAGCTGGATATTCTTGAACTTAAAAAGAAACTATATATGGTATCAACAGCACTCCCAATGCAACATTTAATTTAGTGTACTTCTTGCACATGTTTTCATTTAGGCCATTTTTAAGAGTCTGACTTGTTAAATACCTATGGGAATTTCAACTGCTCTTGTAATAAACTCCCTCAATATTCACAAGCAATAAAAGTCAAAGCTGTCATTCTGGATAGCTGAACTGAATTGATTGAGGACTTGGAGCTAAAATGGCAAGCTCATTCTGAGCCTCAAATACAAGCAATAATTTTCAAATACAGGATTAGAAGCTGAATCTCTTTTAAATTATGCCTTCTGCTATGTGTTCTAACCCTATGGGGACACAACAGCAATTACTAGGTTGCCTGGGGTCTCTGCAAAGTATGGAGAAAGGCATTGAACTACAGGATGCAAAACATCAGGTGTTTTAATACATTGCTCTCCTCTATTCCCAAGATAAAAGTTGATGGCTTAAATCGTTTGGTTTTTTTTCCCTCAAGCTTTTTATATCTTACTGTTTCCAGGATGCCTGATGGGAACGTCAAGTCAAAGTCCTAGGTGTGGGTGCTGTGGGTTTGACATCTGTTTCCATGAAGTTAGAAGTGACTTTTAATTTATCCTGTAGGCTTGTGTGGGGCAGGCAACCAAGGTATGCTTCCTCCTGTTCTTCGCCAAATAATTCAGCCTTCATATAGCCTCTCCAGTTCATCCAAGTCAGTTGATATGAAAGTAAAGATTCTGCAACTCCCAAGCTATTACAAGTTATACTGAACCAGAAACATCTAAAAGATTAGTTTCTTAGGACTCCCAACTATCTTATGTTTGCTGCTACATTCATGAAAATAACTTTTGGTTATATTTATAAATAAATACAAATCTAGTTTATAGATTGGTTTTAGAGTTCTTTGCCCACAAGAAGATTAGGACATCTTGGTTTTTTGGAGTGTATATTGTGTTTTTTTTATTTTTGGACTGTTAAGGATAATACTGCAGAAAAAAAAACTTGCAATTAAGCTAAGCTTTGGAAGGTTTTTTACCCATTTTACTTCCTCTGGTGGAAGTCACTGTAGAGTCATTTGCTCTTTCTGTTTTCTGAAAACATTGCATAAAGGAAACTATCTTATGTGAATCACTGGTCAACCAATGTTTTATGCAATTATAATTTTATGGCAACCTTTAAATGTTTATATATAATTTGGTTCTGATTCTGAATGGTGTTACTCCTCCAACTTACTTGATTCAGGCCTTTGTCCTTTGGTTAAGTGCCTTTTCTTTTTGTTCCTTCCTTTCTCTACAAAGTATACTCAGAGGTCCTGAAGTGCTAGGAGGTATTTGGAAGAATCTTGGAACCTGCCAAGATGACTTTATGGCTGTTAAAATGACTTTTCCCTTCTGTAATTAGTGTTCATTGTATGTAATGTTATAACTGCTGTACCATGACATTAATTCTTATGTGCTTGCATTGACATGCAGCAGTATTCCCAAGAGTCCTAATGTTCCATTTGTTTTCTGTAACATTAATGTTTACTTATGAAGGTGAGCACTGATACAGATGAGAGTATAGTAACTAGGTGTTTTTGAGCAATTTTAAGGAAGTTGTTGGTGGGAAACCGACTGAGCCATTCCCACTGGAGTTTCAGGTTGTAAATTAATATAGTGCCAGTCTGCTAATGGTATAAATATTAAATTCATTCATTAATTACATTTCTATCCCATTCAATAGCCAAAAGCTCTCTGAATGCTTGAGCTTGCATTCCAAAAAATTGGAATAATTGCTAGCATAAAAATGGAACAAAAAAAATTCCACGGGTTACAGAAATTATATCACAAATTTTATCACTAATTTGTATTACAGTTAGACTTCAACACTCTGATACTATTTCAACTCTGGCAACACAAAAAGTTACTTACACTGCAAGTAGTAAAACGGTCCTTTTCATATGGCTGTAAACATGCCTGAGAAACCTGCTTGGACCACTATGTACCTGTCCGGTAACTGAATGGTATAAATTAATCAGAGTTGTAGTTCCCAATACAATGAGAACTTCCTTCTTTTGGTCAGATGCATATTTTAAAACCTGTCAGAATCTTGCTATAAGCAGCATATTTGCTAATTTAAAGAATAGCAAAATAATTTCATATAAAGATCACAGCAAGATTTCTCTCAAAATGTCAAGTTTTTTTTTTTTACAAAGCCTTCTGTAAATTAGTAAATTGGTGAGAATAGAATGCAACTTAGAAATCAAAATAAGTAATTAATTTTAAAGCCAGTTATATATTTGTAACATTTAATTTTGGTCTTAAAATATATTTAACAAGGTCTATTATAGCCTGAAAGCAACCCTGTATTCTGCCTAAAATCAGTTCTGAATGGACAGTTGGACATTCTGAATAACCTTAAATAACTATTGCATTGGTAAAGGTGGCTCAGCACAGCTGAGAATGTGTCTTTTATGTACAGTTAGCTTTTTTCCGTTATTACAGAAGAAACTGTCCTTGCAGTCAAAAATGGTTTTGAATGCACTTTCATTTAGCAAGAGAAATTCTTATTAGAAGGGACTAGTTTGGCGCACTGTTGTTTGTTGGATTATATAGCTATTGCCTAAATTGTGCTTTATGGACTTCAAACCATTTGGAAAGAATGGACATTCCCTTTGTTCTTAATTTCATCCAGTCCTAAGAGACTCCTAAAGTGACATTCTTTGTGGGTGGAAGTGATAGAAAAATTGTTACATGGAAGCAGTGAGCATCCATACATTACCGTTACCCTTTTCTGAATCCACTTCTCAGGAACCTATTGTCCCCCCCCCCCAACTGCCTCCTTTTCACAGCTCCTACCAATGTTTGGTAGTTAAAGTATTAAAGAGTTTTGAGGCTCAGCTAAGGAACCGGTTGGACCCACCTCTCCAGGAAAGACAAAGTTCTTGGATTGTATCAAGATTTACGTGTGTGCAAAGGTTGGTGGCAGTGGATTTTGTGTCCCCATCTTCCCTGCAGCAGCTACTCCATCCCTCTGCAAATGCTATGCAAAGAGTTGAGAGAGCCTGCTGAATAGGAGTGCTGAGGGAAGAGGAAATTCCTCCCCAATGGGAGGAGGCATCTTCTGTGAGCAGATACCCACTTCTGCCCATCCTCTTGCAATACCTAAATCCAGATCCACTCCCTTCTTCAGACCATCATCAGTCCTTTCCCCTAAGTGAATTTCTGTTGCCAGTGCAGAAAAGAAGGATTCTCTGGTTTCATTTTACAATCCTGTTACACTTCGGAGCCATTTTTGTTCAAGAAAGAGTAACTTTGTTCCATGTAACAAAATAGTTTCTGATGGCTTCCTTACTTTAACCTACTAATCTAAATGCTAGAAATAATATCAATAGGATACAATACATATTATTACTGCTCACATTACCCAGTTTGGGGCATTTTACTTCGTGCTGTTGTCTAATGGTGAAGAAAATTAGAGGCTCTTGCCTAACATAAAATTAAATTGGGAGAAATTTGCAACTTTAATGCTAAATGATAGGTATAGAACTCAAACCTTAGAGGCGACGGTTTTCCAGGTCTAGGGAGAGTTTTATTTTCAGCCCCTCTCTTCTCTTTATAAGGCCTTAGTTTGATTTTAGTAAGCAGTAAAACTATGCATATACCTAGTTTTCACATTCAGTACTATATATATTTCTCCCCACTAATGTAACATCTACCCAAAGAAACATGATAATCTATTTGAATGTGTATGCTACAGAAATATTTTTGTAACATGGAAATTAAATTCTAGATAAGGAGCAAAAATGCTTTCAATAGTACAGTGCTAGTGTCATGAGATGCTTCATGGGATACTAAAAATCTGATGATGGTGTTATGCATTAATTGACATAATCAAATATAAAGTAATTAAGTAACAGTCAAATTTTCCTCTTATTTCCATTACCAAATGGAAACAAGTAAATCTGCAAGTTAATTACCTCACCTGTCTGGAGAGCAAGGTCAGACAGTTAAAAAGATCTTCCTCTAGACTTTTAAATGGATGTTAAGTTGGGATCTGCATATCTTTTTCTTGTACCCTCCAGTACTGGATCTTCCATGGATTTGAAGAATCAAGTTTTCCTGATGTGGCAACTGGCACACTTCTTTAGTGTATGCTCAAAGTTGAGGATAGATATAAATGTTTTTACAAGTATTTTGACTGCCAGCAAGCAAAAAGTTTATCACATTTACCTTAGTTAAATAAGCTTATCTTCACTTTCTCAAATAGCTGAGCAGTGTTACATTGTCAGCATTATAAACTAGCTGCCCCCCTTTTTAACCACCCAGATATAACATATAATGGTTAAAATCCTAATGTTAGTATTTAGATTGCTTTCTATAGTCAGGTGCTTTCTATAGTCAGGCATCTGTGTGGTTATAAATGTGGAATACTGAGCTGAAATTCTTCATTCCAGAACACAAGGATAAGATGTTTTTTCCTAATAAAAGGATTCCAGTAGAGCTTCCAAGTTTAAAAGCTAACACTTCTGTTGTCGTACAGTCTTGCTGAATACACTATCTGTGGTTGCTTTCTCATTTCAACATTCAGTGAAAAAACCCAGCTTTTAACATTTGGTCCCACTATACAAATCAAGCAAGGAGACTTCTGAATAGTTAACTCACTCTGAGAAAATTGACATGGATATTTAAACACAATTACTATAGGTTTTGTGTGGCCTTCCTTAATGTAACAAGTTTTCTTACCAAGTAGTGGTGCTATAATAAACCATATTTCACAAACTCATCCAAAGCAGTAATTCTGTGTATAGCTTGGTTCTACAACATGCAGCAATTACCTTGCTAGTTACTATGACGTCATGTAGGGAAGAGTACTCCCCTAAAACAAATGTATGTGATATGTACTCCATGCAGCAAACATATATAGCTTCTCCAAGTAAAGAGGGGTTTGAGTAGCCAAACAACTACTTAGAGACTGGTGCCAACTGCTTTTGGTTTAGCTTTTTAGGGAGATGTGTTCTGTTGAGGTGAAGGGATACTAGATTCTAAAATTATTTGATCTTTTCCTCCTCTCTCAAACTGAATCTGAACACAATATTTGAATTAACTATTTTGTAATAATCTCAGGACTTGAAAGATTGTAGCATAGTGTGTCTTAAATGATGTACTGTACCAGCCATGAATTTTGTAAATACCCCTGTCACTCTCCTTTTTGTAATTTTTTTTAAGTATGTGGGGCTCCTTACCACAAGAACTGGTGCCTGCTTACTTTCCATGAAAAACTGGAGTAGGAAAAAGGGAAAGCTGCTGCCACAAAAAGCCTACACCAGTTCTAGGTCTGCATTCAGGCTTGTTCCGTTTTTAAAATGCAATTTAATTAACTGGGAAACAAATACTTTTCCTCCGAGCACACTTTATCATGGATTAGACCAGAAGAACAAAGTAGTAATTTGTATTTGTTCCAAAACCTCATTGCTTGAGATGTCTAGAAGAGAGTTGTCTTACTCCAAGGACCTGCCTACCTCTGGGGTCCAGAAATTACTCTCCCAGTTTCTTCCAAACAGGGTGCAGATTATTGGGGGGAGGGGGGCAACAGGCTTCCTCTGAGAACCCATCTATAACTAGTTAGCAGATATCTAATCTTAAGTGGGAGCCTTGTTCAACTGAGTGTAGATGTACCTGTCTTTAAGCATGGCAGGACCTTCATGAGTGATTTTCTTTTGTACGTGTCATGTGTCTGTGCTGTATTAAATAAAAGAGGAATGTACATATAAGCCTGTTTGGTGCCAATTATTTATTGAACTTTAATATCCTACCTTCTGTTTAGTAAACTATATATACAAGCTTGTTAATACATATATTTAAAACTTGGTAAAAATAAATATAGAAAAAAATATGCAAAATAATGCCTCAGATAAATCTTAAAAGTACAATAGAAGTAAAATCTATTACAGCAAATTGATCTGACACCAAATAATCACCAAAACCTAAAAGATCATTGCAGAACAATAGGAAGTAATGGGGCCAGGTGGTCTTAGTGCTGAAAAGAAATTCTCCCACAATGGTAGGAAAGGCTCCCTCAACCATATCATGGAGATATGAAGCAGGGCATAACCAAGAACGTTGGGAGTCAGTAGGTCCATTTGGAAAAGGCAGTATTTAAGCCAGGGATGAGGAATATGTGGCTCTCAAAAATGTTACACTGCAGCACCCATCCCTCACCACCAGCTATGGTTTTTAGGCCTCATAGTGGCAATCTAACAACTGGTGGATCAGCCTTTCCCCACTATTAAAACTGTTCTGGCCCTATGAGGGTTGGTGCTTTAATGATCAACTCAATACTCTGAATTGGACCTGCAAGCACATTTAAAGCCAGAGAAAATAACCTAACAGTGGCATAAAAAGTGACCTGTGTCAAATCTTAATTTAGTCTTAAAAGTGTGTTTGCACGTGCCACATTTCAGACATAGCACATGTTCTCCAAATAAAGCACAATAATATGCATGTTACCAATATGAGTGACTGCTACCAGACCTTACCAGTCCTTCCAGTTTGAGCTGGTCCTTGCCACCTAAGCTGTTAGGAGTGGAACTGGATGTAGACAACCCCCCCCCCCAAACACACACCTGTGAACCAGTCCCTTTTGCAACAGAATGTACACCTATACTTAAATCAGCTTTATTCCCAATCAACATTTCCTCAGGTCTGTGAGCTGCTCTCAGCTACACTCATGAGACTGAAACTGATGCCTAGTTATTTGAGTACTATTTCCTTATTCAACAAGATGTGTTAGGAGTGAAATTGATATGCCCCTGCATCCTAAAAAATGCTTTGATATATCATCACCTCTGTGAGAAGGCAGTCCTATTTCAACTATACCAGCGTTTCTCTCCAGGTTTCATATAAGATGCGAGCCCCCGTTTAGGATTCAGGTACTATGGGTTTTGTACCCCAAAATAAGCTTTGGGTCACAAATGAATGACATGGATGGGAAACTACCCCTTAGAAGAGGCATTTTGAAAAATATGGAAAAAGGGTCATCTAATTCTATTCAATACGTAGAAGCCAGTTGTTCTTGAAATGTTAGATTAAAATTGGAGGCATTATCAAATCTACCGTAGATACAATAATGCGAATATGCTGCTTTTTAGACACCAGCCCCCCATACAAAAGTACCAGATATGAAGGAAAAGGTAAGGTGGAAAAGAGAGCGAAGCTGTAAATTTCTAGAGTTGCACATGTTTGTTAACAGATCTGGGACAGTAAGCGCGGGTGGGACTTACTTCTGTGTGAATTTGTAAAGGGTGAATATATTTATCAACGAAACTAAATGCCGGCTTTGGGTAGTCTTCCTCGCTACTGTCTTTCTTCTACGCGCACCAACATGCACATTTAAATAAAAGCAACAATGCAGAATTCTGCCGTAATAGCCACTGAGTTGAGACTACAAAAGAAATGGAAAAAGGAGACTCTCACCGCTCTCCTGTCTTATATTCTCCAGTTGTTCCTTTCATCACATGTGCTCCACGCAAGCAATAATTTTATTAGCTCGGAATCCATTCCTGCAAAATTCTGTGCCTTTGAAATCTACCTGCTAGGTGTATCTAATTTTTCTATGAGCACCATGAGCGCACTGTGATACTGCCAGACATTCGCGATGCGACTTCCGGTTTTTAAACATCGCAGAATTACCGAATGACAACGAATAACGCGCTTGAAAGGGGTGGGACTTGACTACGAATAGTAACATGAACTACAATTATGTGATTGGAAGAAACCAGCTCGTGTGAGCCCCAGTGGCCTAATGGATAAGGCATTGGCCTCCTAAGCCAGGGATTGTGGGTTCGAGTCCCATCTGGGGTGGTGTAATTTTCGTTTTTGTTTTCGTTAGTCAAACTTTTCTTCAACCTGCGCAATTCAATATTTGATAGAGTATTGGGCGCTTATGCACGGCACTTCTCACCACGTGACTAGTATTATACCGTGAGTAAAGTTACTAAAGTTTTAATGTTAGGAAGGCAAAGTGGTTCCATATTGCTGACACAGGACTTTTGCAAGTACTACTCTAGAGTAAGTTTGTTCTTTTACTTGGCACAAAGGTCCATATAGGTTTTGCTGCGTTTCAGTTTTGTTAATGTCCATGAATAGTTAAGAAAAGCTATACATGGACATTAAGAAATAAATGCCCTATACTACAGTGCAAGATTTTTGAAGTTGACCTTGGTATTATATTGAAAAATATAGAAGCGTGGCAGGATAACACCAGAGCCTGGGGCCCACGAAAAACCATTTCAACGAATGCCTCCGAGTTAATTCTAATCCACGACACTCGTCTAAGAATTAGATGTGCAAAAGCGCCTCACTCCGATTCTGAACTTTTAATAATTCATAAGCAGGAGAAATGCCTACGGTTTCGCCTTTCAATTTTTAATTACAGCCTGTACATTCTCTAATAAGAGTATCGATGTGGCCATTCTAAGAAGATATAGCAATTTTAAAACGGATTATACGTAAACACGAGGTTATTACAAGAACCCGCTCTGAGCGTTCCACTTTGGGTGGGCTACGCAATCGAATTAATAAACGCAGACGATCGTCGTAGTCACTGAAGCCATTCATTTGAACACTTTCATGGGTAACTGAGACCGCCGACTTTTCATACGGGCAAGGAACCCGCCTCCGCCTAAACGGCTGAGAATGCTTCCGTTGCAGCCTCCAACAAACGTCGCCCATCCCCAACCGGTTGACTTCAACTCCCATGATTCCCTAGTGATTGCGGAAATTCCGGGCCAAGTCGTCTAGGGGACACCAGCGTAAGACGGGCTGCCTTAATCAATTTGTTAGAGCGGTTGTCAAGTGTTTGTTTGTAATCGATTTGAACATGATTATAGAATGTTTAAAAGATATGTTATAGGGGGCTGACCCAGTACGTCCGATGTATTTGATGATTGATTATTTTTTTAGTTTAAAATCTTAAAAAATGTGCAAAAAAAGTGTTTGTTTGTTTAATTCAATTTCTTTGCCTCCCTATAACCTAAAGTTCTCTGGACGGCTTAGTTAGACTCGAAACGACCAAAGCTTGGTGAGTCTGCATAGTCGGGACCATTTGAGGCCTGGCCGCGGCAGGTGAAGGGCCTTTCTCTTGTTTGCAGAAGGAGCGGCGCTCTTATTGGCTCGACGTCAAGTAAGAGCTTTCGAGCCGGAAGATGGCGGCGCTCGGGTCGCCTCTTCGCACCTTCCGTGGCCTATTACGCGAGCTCCGTTTTGCGCAAGGAGAGGCAGGCCTTTCCTATCGGGACACGGTGGCTTATCCATTTTTGAAGGAGGCCTTCCGCGCACACCGGGTACGTTGGCGAGATGGGGCAGTTATAGATACAAGAGGCTTAAGAGAGAAAAAAAAGGATAGGCTCGCTATCCCGTAACGTCTCAGGTCCTTTCGGTGGCGGAACTAGGTAGCGGGCTTCAAGCCCTCAAGAAAAAAAAAACTAGTTTGCATATATTAATTTGCATATGCTTTAAAGTCTCTGTGTTTTTAAAGGACCCTGTCTCCTGAGAGAGATGGCAACGGCAACCTCCTTTTCCTTTCTTTTTATTTTCTTAATCATTTCAGTTGTTGTGTTGACTCATTCATCCTGTGTTGTTGGTTTTGTATACCACCCAGGGAATATGATTGAAAGGAAGGAATGCACCAGGTGGATGACATTTGTACCTCTGGAGTCCCCCTGCCCCCTATATTCATGGAGGAATATAGCCTCCATTTTTATTTAATTTTCATGCACAAAAACTTGGAAATGTACAGTAAAACCACTAAACTTCTTCTGTTCATCTTTCTTCCCAGGTAACCAGTGAAAAATTATGTAGGGCTCAGCATGAGCTACACTTTCAGGCTGCCACATATCTTTGTCTTCTGCGTAGTGTCCGGAAGCACTTAGCACTACATAAAGAATATCATGGAAAAGGACAGCGATCAACAGAGGAAGTGGCTGAACTTGTAGGGCTTAAACTGCCACAACAGCCTGGAGGGAAAGGATGGGAGCCATAAATACGAAAGATTACTTTACAAAAACTATATAAATTGTGATTTTTCAAGACACTGTACTTGTTTAAATAAAAGGATTGTATGAAATATAGAATTTCTGATTAGATATGTGTTGCCCTTAAAGCAAGATCTACTACATATGTATTGAGGATCTGCTTATTCAATCCTCACTTTCAGCCTGACACTGCTGCCACAGTGAAGTGTTAGCTGCAGTTACAAAATAATGTAGAATGTCCCATGTTGAATACTGCACTTGTCAGCCAAGATCTCCTCAGAGCTCTTTAGCAAGAAGTACTAAGTTAGATTGCAATTCTATGTGTACTAATGGAATTATGACCTCCCTGAACACAGTGAGACTTACTTCTGAGTAAACTCACAGATATTCTTCTGCTACTAATATCTAAGAAAGTAGTAGTATTAAGGGGTCCAAATGTCAGCATCTGTAAACTTCCCAGTTCTTTAAAGAGCTGCTCTCAAAGGCTAGAGCAGCTCTTTAAGTACTGATAATGTAATCCATACAGCTGACCTACTTAATTTAGTAACAATATTTTCTACCAGCTGAAGGTCCCAGGAAATCTTCAAAAGTAGCCATATGTATAGCACATTACAACAATCAAATATCAAGGTTTTTTAATTTACTTATTTCATTTCTATGCCACCGCCACCACCCAGCCAAAGCTCTCTGCGTGATTTAAACAGTCCACAAAAACAGATAATACAGTAAGTTAGCTGGCTATGGATAAATGTCCTGGACTATCTTGCTCTAGAGGAAGTTGGAACTGGTCCATCAGCCTGAACTGCTGGAAGATAACTTGCATGTTATGGAGGGTACTTGAATATTCAGTGGCAATAGTAGTAAGATCAGGTTTATTGTCTAGGGGTACTATTAGATCCACAAATTAACCCTGTCCTAAAATAAATTCCCCATACTCTTCCAATGACCAGGCAGATCCCCTGCCTCTCTGTCTTACCTACATTGCTTCATTTTATTGGCCCTTGTTCAGTCCAACAAAAGAAAAATCAATGGATATTACTGGATATTATAGCTTAGTGATATTACCTCAACTCAGACCACCGAATGACTTCACATAGGTGTACCATGTAGATTTTAAATCATGTTAATGAATGACCTTAGCTATACTATTTCATGTGATGATCTTGTGATTCTGTTGCTTTTTATTTATGTTTTATCATTTAGAAATAACATGGCAGACAAAATAATTTCATAGCATATATACTATTAGCCTAAGCATAAGAGCCTTATGCAGCAAGAACACCAGCCCCAAGTGAATCTAAATGGCCTCTTATAGCTTGTCAGTTTGTTCTGGTCTTGAAAAAAATCTTTTTTCATCTATTCTTGTGGGCCCTGTCATTAAAGTGTGTATCAAAGCATGTGCCCAAAAAGGACTTCTTTGGAACTGTAAATAGCTGTAATCCTTCGATTGCTTTAAATGTACCCTTACAAATGACTCTTTCAAGACTACATGTTGACAGTCAAGAAAAGTTAGATTGGGCCAAAAGACCATATTCCACCAAGTCTTTTATATCTTCAGGCTGTAACAACAGAAAATCATCCAAAATAAGATTACATGCTGTATTAGACAAATACAAGGAAAAATGTATCAGTAATTATCAATTGATACTAAGTAATAAAGGGATGTTCAAAATCCTACAAGCTAGGCTCAAGCAGTATATGGACCAAGAACTACCAGAAGTACAGGCAGGATTTTGAAGAGGAATTAGAGATCAAATTGCCAACATACGCTGCATCATAAGAAAGCTAGGGAGTTCCAGAAAAACATCTGCTTCATTGACTACGCTAAAGCCTTTGATTGTGTGGATCACAACAAATTGTGGCAAGTTCTTAAAGAGATGGAAGTACCTGACCATCTTCTTTGTCTCTTGAGAAACCTATATGCGAGTCAAGAAGCAACAGTGAGAACTGGACATGGAACCACTGATTGGTTCAAAATTGAGAAAGGAGTTCTTCGGCAAGGCTGTATACTGTCTCCCTGCCTATTTAACATTTTATGCAGAGCACATCATGAGAAAGGTGGGGCTAGATGAATCACCAGTTGGAATTAAGATTGCTGGGAGAAATATCAGCAACCTCAGATATGCAGATGATACCACTCTCATTGCAGAAAGTGAAGAGGAACTAAAGAGCCTCTTGATGCGGGTGAAGGAGGAGAGTGCAAAAGTTGACTTGAAACTCAACATTAAGAAAACTAAGATCATGGCAGCCGGTCCTATCACTTCCTGGCAAATAGATGGGGAAGAAATGGAGGTAGTGACAGATTTTATTTTCCTGGGCTCCAGGATCACTGCAGATGGGGACTGCAGCCAAGAAATTAAAAGACGCTTGCTCCTGGGGGGACAGCTATGGCAAATCTAGACAGCATACTAAAAAGCAGAGACATCACCCTGCCAACAAAAGTGTGTATAGTCAAGGCTATGGTTTTCCCAGTTGCAATGTATGGCTGTGAAAGCTGGACCATAAGGAAGGCTGAGCGTCGAAGGATTGAGGCCTTTGAGTTGTGGTGCTGGAGGATACTCCTGCGAGTCCCTTGGACCGCAAGGCGATCAAACCAGTCTGTCCTTGAGATCAACCCTGACTGCTCTTTAGAAGGCCAGATGCTGAAGATGAAACTCAAATACTTTGGCCACCTAATGAGAAGGAAGGACTCCCTGGAGAAGACCGTAATGCTGGGAACAATAGATGGCAAAAGAAGAAGGGGACGGCAGAGAATGAGGTGGCTAGATGGAGTCATTGAAGCAGTCAGTGTGAGCTTAAGTGGACTCCGGGGGATGGTGGAGGACAGGAAGGCCTGGAGGAATGTTGTCCATGGAGTCATGATGGGTTGGACACGACTTCGCAACTAACAACAACAAAAAATAATTATAGAAACAGTTCAAAGTATGGCTTCTGCAGAGGATCTTAAAGTACTGATTGTGGTACAGATTTATATTAGAGGAAATATAATTGATATTTTTCCTCATCCTTTCCCATAATTACTAACACTTTCTTGCTTGACAAGCAAACAGCCAATGTTAGGCAGCAGTACATGCTGCTTCTCTTTCTCACCATCACCATGGCTGTGATGGAGGACAAACAGACTGTAATGAAGAGAAGAGAAAGAGCAACTGCAGGGGATTCTTATCAGGGGGCTCTAGACAGGTACCTATGTCTGTGCTTGAAGTTGGCCTGGGAACATGGTCTTTTCTGTAATTGGCCCCTACTAAAGTATATCTCCCCCATGCGCCCTGCCTCACTTCTGCTGACTCAAAAAAGGCCGTTTGATGAGGTGCTTGAGTATCATCTGGGTGAAAATAAAGCTTTTGAGAGATCCTGATCCCGAATCTCTTTAAACTGTCAATATGATACTGGGAGTCAGTGCGCCTGCTTTCAGGCAGGCAAAATGTATTCTGGGCGCTGGATATATTAGCAACTATATTAACTATTTTATGCGAATGACTTCCAAGCTGTCTTTAAGAACAGGTTTGCTCCACATCGCAACAATCCAACCCAGACGTTACTAGTAATTCCTAGATGAAGTCTAAGATTTGCATAAGCGGAATTTGGATGATTGCACTGCAAAACTACGGAAAGGAGAAAATAACCACGTGTACACAAATAGGGAGTCGGTCCCCCTTAATTCAGGGAAGCGTGATTCCTCTTCTCCGCTAAATTCTAACCACAGCTTGGCTAAAAAAAATGTGTCTGAAAGTTTCAAAAGGCAGAATGATAAATGACTAGTTTTAGAGGCGGGAGAATATTAAATCGACACATTCTAGACGCTTGTCCAATACAAGGAACTACGTCATAGTAAGAAACTGCAGTACCACACTCAAACTCCAATTTGAAGTACGATAGCTACTCCAGGCCAATCAGGAAGGGCAGAACGCCTAAAGCTAATAGGTTCGTTGACCACCACTGTAGCCAATCAGAGGTATGCTGATAGTCACGAAAGGCGGGAGGAAGGGCGCATGCGTGTGGGCGCGCACGCACGGATGTCCGTTACGGCCGGGCAGCGCGCGCGCGCGCGCCTAGGGAGGCAGGCGTGAAGGGGGCGAGCGTGTGGGGGTACTCGCGGTCCTGAAACGGCGACGGGCGCGAGGCGGTTTCCGCTTTCTTTTCGACAAGAAGAGGAGACGTAGGCGCCATTGTAACTGCGCCTGCCTCAGGCAGGAAAGAAAGCGAGAAAGAGGGAGGAAAAGCGAGAGATTCCGACTGAACTCGCCCCTGAGAAAAGCGACCGCGGCGTCTGGTTCGACATCAACCTAGGCCTCTGTGGGAGGGGCTTACTCCGACTTGGCCGGCCCCACCCCGGCCCCGCGCGCTTTCAGGATGTCGGCACAGGCCCAAATGCGCGCGATGCTGGATCAGCTTATGGGCACCTCCCGGGACGGTAAGAAGAAGTGTCTGCTTGTCAGGCTGAAAGAAGGCGGGGATGCGTTTCGCTGCGGGAGGAGTGGGGAGAAGAAGTAGGAAAGGCCTGGTGCGTTGATGATTGGCAGTGCCTGCGTTTCGGTTCTTTCCTCCTCCCCGCTAGGGGCGGGTTTCAAGGAGGATAAGAAGCCACCGCTCTGGAGCTGCCACTATGAGCTGTTGCGAGAGGTGGCCGGAGTTTTGTGGATGGTTGCGCCGGTGTGGGAGGTGATCGCCACTGGTTTTCACGAAGGCCAGGTTCGGGGGAGGGATGCCTTTTTCTTCGGCGAAGGAAAGGCGCCTTTTCCGTCCGCAACTTGCGGAGGTGAGGCGTTGAGGTGACGGTGTAATAGTTAACGGATCTAGACATAGCATTGAAAAGTGAAAATGACGATTTTTCTTGGCTCATCAGTGAAACAGCAGTTTGCTTTATCAGTGAAACAGCAGTTTGCGGTGGGGAGCATGAGCTCGTTCGAGCCACTGTATAAAACTGGTGTGTGATTTGTTTTGTTCTTTGTTTTTGTTTACTCTGACCCAAACCAGCATTTCAAGTCAATTAGCATTGCAAAGAAGAAGCAATAGACATTTTGACATTATTCTTAGCATTATCAGGAGCTAATCGAACGTGAATGGGACAGTATCCTTGTGTTCTGGGAGCTGTTTATATTTTAGAACATTTAACTGGATTAAATTTAATGAATTATTTAATTGGATTTAAAAACCCTGAGAAGAAGCTTTTGCAAGGGCTCATTCTGATAAGCATATAGTTTGATGGTCCTTTCATAGTTCTGAATAGAATTAAAAGCATCTCACATTATGAAAATTGGTATATAAATATGATAAAATAGAAAGTTTCAAAGTACTCACATAATTTAGTCTCTATTATGAAACCTGACATTCGAAGAGATGTATTGGGAAGATTAGAAATGTTGAATGAATGCATCTTGTTGCATGATAAGGCTAGGTATAACACAGTTTAAAGAGAATATTACAGCCACCTTGCTCAACCAGCTTCATCTATAAAGTGATCTTATGAGTCTTCCATGCTACATAATTTAATGAAACAGATTGAGGTTAGTGTGTTTTTATCTTTGGAGAATGCTGATAGAATTCTCCCTCTTCTCAAAACTTACAAAAATGCAGCCCCCTGAGCAATTCATTCTCCATCACATTGTAGCCATTGAGATTCAGTATATCCAACCATAATCACAAAAAAAAAAAAAAAAAAAATCTAGAATTGTGTCTGTTTAGTTCTTACCTTTCCCTCCCATTTATTAGAATTAGGTTTTTTGTTTCCTGTTTCTTAAGAAAAATGTTCTGATCATTTCACTTCTTTTCACCAAAGTTATCTGGGATGATGATGATGATGGAAAAATGGTGAGAGGGTTTAAGCTATACACAGTCAGTAATAAAATCAAATTTAGTGTCCTTTAAAAGAGCAAGAGAGAGAAAGGCATGCAGTATGTTCAAAGAATATTTCCAGTTTCTATTAAAAATATTTTTTGCAAACAAGAAATTTCTTGTTTTATTAGAAAAAGTATGTCTGCAGTTATGTTATTTGCTTTTCAGTGCCAGGCCAAGACCTTTTTATTTAAACGTCATTTTAATTGTTAATTTTATTTATTGATTTTAACAACCTTGGCCATGATGTCTCCAGCTATATTTTATTGTATTAATGATATTTATTTATTTGTAAGCTGCCCCGAGGCTTAGGCGAATGGGGCGGCATATAAGTTTGCTAAATAAATAAATAAATAAATGTTTAAACAGTCCAGAGATTTAACCCACCGACAAACCATGGGGTTTTTATCTCTCAGTAACCCAGACTGCAGGTAAAGGCTGACTACCCAGGAAGGACTGTTCCTGGATTGCTTCAGAAAGTGGATGTGAAGTAGGAAGTGGCAAACAGTGGGTGGAAGCATGCTAAGTCCTGGCCGCTATCTCTAATTCAAGTGATTTTTAACACAAGAATTGGTGTTATGTACAAACCAGGTCACTTATTGTTTTCTTAATGTCTCTGCTATAGATCAATGCTATAAGAGCAAACTTATGAAACAAAAAGAGCTTAATTTGACATGAATTTTAAGGAATTCAGTGAATGAAAAAATACAGCACTAACCATATCTTTCTTTTGTTTATGTTTACATAGAATATGCCGCATTGAGTTCAACAAAACTTTTCTTGATATTAGGATTGCACCCTGGATGGATTATATATAGCTTTACTGTATTTTTGTATTAATCCAGCCACCAAATACATAGTTAACAGTCTATCAAACAGTTTAGAGTAGAGTACCAGGTTCAAACATCACAGTTGTGAGGTTCCTGGGTTGTTGCAGAATGCAGATGTAAAATAAATGTGAACAGAAATTGCTGGTGCCCAGTTCCAAAAACTCATGAATGCAAACTGGGCCAGAGTGTGGATTGGGCTGAAATCTCTTTAGGATTGTTTCTTCCTAACTGAATATAACTTTGAAAATACTGTAGAAATAATGGGCTACTTATACCTCTGCTGCATCTCTTGCAGCCATTGCTTCTGTTGCACAAGTGGTGGGTCTTGCCAGTTTTGTTGTGCATGTGGGACACTCCTCTTGCATGACAGAAACTTAGTGCTTTGCAGAGGAAACCCTGAAATAAGCAGAAATAGGGACAAGTGAGCTCTGCTAATCTGCCCCATTCCGGAAGCAAATAACTTTATTTCCAGTTGCTCTGGAAGCACTAGATCTGCCTTCCTCAAGTGATGGGTCCCACTTGCAGTCAGCAATTGCAGGTACCCCTTTGCCCATCCAGCCCCCACTTGGTTACTATTGTGATGTGTAAACCTGGGGAGCAGGAATAATGTAACGTAACTTACTTTTGCCATATTTTTCCTTGTTAATGGTGCTTTTCCTTTGACAAACTGGCAATTGACCCCTGACAAATATGCACAAATAGCCTATATGCATTTTGCTTGGAACATTTCAGCTGTCAAAGTGAACTACAAAGTACAGTAGTTAACAAAGAAACCAACCAGACTACAGGTGAGATTGTGAAAAACTGCAGAGCTTTTTGCTGCACTTGCTGAACATCTTGATAGTTAATTTCCACAACCTGTTATGAAATTGTCCTTGTGGATAGCATAACTCATTGTGATTAGTGTGTGTGAACCAGGTCATTATGCAAGGGTAGTTTAATTCTTGCATAACTGACACTTAGTGGGTTTGCATGATACAACTGTTGGCAAGGGTCACAAATTCCACAGCCTCATTTTGAATTTAATAACCCACAGTGAATTGTGCACACCACTGTTGTGTATGTGTGTGATTTAGATGTCCCTGTGTACTTGATCTTACATTAGTTTGTTTAGGATTGTATTATTTATTATATTCTACCCTTTACAGTGTCTCAGGGCTGCAATTGTATCCGTAATGACATCCAATTTTAATAAACAATTTTAATCAACATTTTAAAAATGTATCCTACTTTTAAATTCCATTAACATGATCATAGTAGTGTATAATGATATTAAGCAAACTCGGTTCAGATTATTACAATTAAATGGCACCAGATGTAACAGCAATAGAACACCTTATATAAAACTTACTGGAAACTGAAAATAAATGTTTGTTAAAAGGCTTGAGCACAACAAATATTATCTTTGCAACTAAAACTTAACAAAGCCCATTCTAGGCAGATCTTTAGTTGAAGAGGGCTGTTCTACAAATGGGGTGTCACTTATGAAAAAAATGTTTTCCTCTTTGCCATCTTCCTATCCTGAAGGCCTTGGAAGCCAGGCAGTTTCATATGGGAGTAAGCAGTCCTTTAGATACCATGCCTAAAGTTGAGAAGCCAGTACTTTGATTTGTGCCTGGAAACAAATAGGAAGTCAATGCAGCTGTTTCAACACTGATAAGCTATATTCCTGATACTTAGTACCAGTTGGTAACTTACCATATATTTCTGTGTATAAGACGCTAATTTTTCTTAAAAACATTTATTTAAAAAAGAAGGTGCGTCTTATACACAGGGGCCATGGGTGCACGGGGGAAGGAGACTGGGGGTGTCACCACGGGGGGGGCGGCAAAGCGGTGCGCATGGCAGCAGCTTATTCGTTGGAGATAGGTAGGAAAAGGGGGGGCATCCTATACATGGGGGTGTCTTATAGACGGAAAAACACGGTAAATGGTACTGTTAGTTTCTGAGCATTCTTCAAGGACAGTCCCATGTTGAGGATATCGAATAGTCTAGTCTGGAAGTTACTAGTTCATGGGCCAATAGCAGCCAGGGTATCTTTGCCCAGCATGTGACACAGAAGTCTCATTTGCCCAAACTGGTAGGCAGCGTTTCATGTCATTGATGCTACTTGGGCATCTAAAGTAGGGATTTTCAGTAGTACAGAAATAGTACAAATAAATGAGTAATTACATTAAGTTCAGTGTCCCCAGGCCCCATCAGTAAATTATATTGCTACAAACATGATTAAGTATTAAAGGAGATCATGCTGCCATCTCTTATTAAAGTATTTTGACCTAATTTATGAGGAATTTAAAATATTTTAGGGCGGCATTTTAGTGCAGCATTGAAGCTACAGACACAGACCCGACCTAACAGTTTGGCTGCGTCTTAGATGTACCTCTATCAAGCTGTGTGGAGAAGCTGCTTGATGTTGAGGAGTTGGTTTACTATCTTTATTTTTACATTTGAGTTCATATTATAATGCCAGTAGCATTTTGCATAGTTCTAACAGTAAAATGTGTGATTGGTATCAGAATATTCTTGAACAATTTTCTGAAATACAGTTTCAGGAGTGGCTTTGTTTTTTGGCCCCCAAAATCATTTACCACGGTAAGTATCTTCCCTACTCCCAACATGGAAAAAGATAATGATTAACATTCAGCTATGAGTGCTGACTCCATTACCTACTAGACATAGACCTGATGAAAATAAAGTGTTCTAGTCCTCCTAGTAACTAGCAAACCTTCCCTTGACCTATCAGTTGTGGCCATTTTTTCCCCTACTTAATTTTTATGAGGGTGATACTGGGCCAAGTGAGAATGAAGCTGAAAGAAGCAACACTGGAAAGAAAAAAGCAAAATTGTTCAGTATGTACAATATATAAGTATTGCACTGTTAACCTCAAATTGCCATAGTTGCTTTTGATAAGCAAATACAAATGCAAAGTATCAGAGAAAAGGTTGCAGAATCTGCTTGTAAGAATAAACCAGTGTAACTAGTAATTCTATTTAGTTACAAATTAACATAGTTGAGTGGTCAGAACTGTTCAGGAAATATATGGGGGAAATCAGTGGTTTAAGTTTAATTTTCGCTGATTTAAATCTTATCAATGATTTAAATCACCTTGATTTATATTAGTCTACCCTGCTTCAACGTAAATGCGACTGAAATTGGTATGAGAGCTATCCTTGCAATTACGGTGTCAGAGCTTCTTGGAGGTACCACACAATCAGTTAATTTCCTCCCCATGCTTGGAAAAAGTGCTCACAGTGAAGAATCATCCCTAACCTCACTCAGATAAGTTTGGAATACTATGCATGTTCACTGTAGTATTGGAGGCCTTGGAGATGGGACAGAGTCTTGTTCACCATGAATTCTTGCAGGTTAGCAAGGCTAGACATAATTGATCAGAATCTGCTAAATTATGAAACAGTTTCAGATTGTCAGATTCTCTCTCTCTCTGATGGATCTAATGAATGGAGCCCACACATATCAGAGAGGCCAGATAACACAGAGGTTTAGAATAGTATAATGAAAAACTCTTTGAAAACACTGAGTGCTGCGAAGCTTGAGAAGGGACTTAAGCATAAACATCATATATGTTCTGTTTCTGTTGATTATTTTGGCATTGTTTATAATATGCCACCATTACGGACTCTTTAATGGTTGCAGTATAATAGCACTGCACTTTTGGAAGATCATTTAAATCACTCTTAAACTTTGCAATTACAAACCTTACTTGTTCAAGAGAACAACTTATTATTTGACTAACTTTTTGAACAGTTTTTTTCCTTGAATGACAAATTCAGGAGTCTAACATAAGCTCCAAAGGCCCCTGGAAGTTTTTGTTTTACAACCATAGTCTGATCCCTAGGACATAACATGATCAGGATCTTTGTGACCTTCCAAATCTGATGATGAGAAATCTTAATTCCCTATTCTTATTTTCTGTGTTAGCTAATTATTTGGAAGTAGAATGAAAATTGGGAATAAGCCAAGCCTTAGTGCTTACTGTGATCAACAAGACTCTTGGCTATGATTGCTATAGCTAGTTTTGTATATTGTAATACAGCTTTCCCCAAACTCAGTGCTATATTCTAGTGGTGGCAAACCTATGGTACGCTTGCCACAGTGGGCACGCAGAACCCTCTCTGTCAGCATGTGAGACAAGTCGCCCCAGCATTACCCCAGCAGCCGAGCATCAGATAACAGTGCTTATAGGGGCCATGCACATGGTTGGAAAGGAGTAGCGGTGCCAGGTGATGATGTCATGAGGCTCGACTCATTAGCTGCAACTTGTCTGAGCTTTCACATGGGCAGTCAGTGTACTGCCAAGGAGATACATAGATACAGATACTTGCTTGGACTGGCTGTGAGTTGTTTTTTCTAAACTAAAACCTCAGTATTCAGGTTTTGCAGTGTTGGCACTTTACGATAAATACGTGGGTTTTGGGTTGCAGTTTGGACACTTGGTCTCTAAAAGGTTCGCCATCACTGTTCTAGAGCATATGAAAAGTTTTCATTGGGCCATTTTGCATGCAACAACAGCCCATGGGTTAAACAACCCATGGGCATCTGGGATGAGTAGGAGAGAGCTGCCACTTCTACTTGTACCCAGCAGCTCTTTCACGGGTGACTCAGTCAAGAACAAAATAGGATATTAAAGCAAAGGAAAGGTTTTTGTTATTTTTTCTTAGAGCTACATTGTCTAGGATGGGTGTGTTTTATATGTATTTGTCCTGAATAGGCCTTTTGAAAGTACATAGATTTATACAGATGAAGCTATTTTATGTTGAATTAAAAGCAACCATACGGGAACAGAAATCAGTTTTGGAAGAACTTGATCCTTTATTGCTGAGAAATTGAGGATATCTGCTCTTTCCAAGAATAAACCCTTTTTATTTCCTGACACATAGAAAGAAATATATTTGCTCTTTGGTGACCAGAGTTAAGTTGGCCTCTGCTAATTTGTAATTTATGTAATCTAAACTTGAAGGAAACCAAAATTATATGTTTCATGGTGTTGAGAATGGAGGCTGAGGGTTGCTTCTGATATAACATTCCTCCTCTCCCTGTTTATACACACACAGACTATGACAGAAAATAAAAGGCATTAATCTGTGTGGACTCCTAAGAAAAATTAGGGAACATAGTAGTCAGTAATCTTTTTCCCAGGCTTCTTTGTTCTGCTGTTTGGCCTGTTAGGTGGTTTTCACACTGTTACCTGTATTGGTTTTTTACGAATTAATTTTAAGTTAAAATAAAATAAATTCAGCATATATTTAGCTTTAGTAGGGAGATGGTAGGGATTCATATTAGAAAAGAACAGTACTGTCCTTGTACAGAACATATAAGCATGGTACAATTGTGGTTGTATGTGTGACTTCTTCAGGGTGACAAGACATGGGACTATGGTTCAGTGCTTCAGTGCCTACCTTCAGTGCTGGGAGCAGATATGACAATTATGCTAATGTTATGCTTTCACAATATCTTTCTGTGAAGGAAAATATTAAATCCAAAAAAGAGGCACAGTTAATGCACAGTTGAGTAAGCTGGAATTATGGTGGGCTTGATTGGGAGAAACTACTTATTCAACTTCTTTGTGGCTCAGCTATCTCTGATAAGCACCATTTGAGGTACTTGTTGATTTACTTGTTCTCAATCCCTAGCGATGTGTACAGAATTCTTAGTGAAATTCCCAGGTCCAGTGCAATATAGATGAAGCTAAAGGCTCTTTATTAACTGACCTGCTTGTCCTTGTTGTTTTCTCTCACAGCTTTAGACCTGAGACTTAAGAAGGCAGTATAGAAACCCCAAAACAGAAGAGTTACCATTAGCACTAGTAGGGTTCCTGTAGTACTATGATTGAGAAAAGAATGATGTATTGATTGGAAACCAGTATTTTAATCTCTTTAGTTTGTGAGTGCTTGTTCAAATATTGAATGTCAGCAGTCTTGGATTAGTCTGAAAAACAAAAGGCACAGTACATATAAATAAGAATGTGTAATATAGTTTTGTTTTCTGTAACCTAAATTAATTTATTACTGTAACTTTATCTCTTACTATTGAAGTTATAGAAAAGGAAAACTTTGCATTTTCTATTTGTTTTTGTTTTGGGGTGTTTTTGGATTATGAAGGCCCCTCACTGCATCATGATCTATAGCATATTAATCTTTTAACATTTATATAGTTTTAAGGTTTAATATCCAGAAAATCTGTAATTTTAGTTTGTACAAACAGCTCACCATGATGCATGCTGGTGCTGTTTTCAGTATTCAGCTTCAGATAGTTGTTCTGTTGTTGGGTTATATGAGGGTTGGTTAACATCACAAAGCCCCTGCTGCTTGAGTTGACATAACAAGCAACAGCCAGGCATTGAATATTCACATCCTGCCCAGCAGATCATTATGACTTAAGCCATGATGGGTTCTGTTGATTGTACAGGCTGGGTCATTGTCAACATAGCAATTGTCCTCATAATTCATGAAGATGCATTCCTGTTCTAATATTATATGGAAATATGGTTTGGGCCAGACACCTTACAAAAAAGAAAGCTGCTGTTTCTAAAGATGAATTTAGCTTTGTGATTGCATAAATTCATTGCTACAATTGCAAGAATAACCCCCTCTGAGGACATTGGAAAATGTAACAATAAAACAGTAAAAGCTAACTCACATTTCATTCATTTTTTAAAATACCATGGTAACTGTAAGTGCTGGTCACCAAAGAGCTACTGTAGCAATCAGATTTTATCTAAATTTGTCTTTTAAATAGATGAGTAAAATGCTGTTCTTGTTTAAGAGTTAACATGGCTCTGATGAGAATTCATTTTTATGTGATGTGCATTTTGAGAAGTTGCAACAGCTGAAAAGCATTAAAAAAACATAGTTATAAGCAAGGCTGGAAAAATACTTCAGATTCTAGGCATCAGAATCCACATTTTATGGCAAACATCAAATACTTAGCTTGTTGGGAAGGAAAAAGGATGGGAATAAATAAATACCTAGGAATTGATACCTAGGAATTAAAATACTTTTCCAGCCATAATTTAGAGACATATTTATTTCAGTGAACTCTCCCCTGAATAACAAACTAGCTCATTACCATCAGGCACAAAATAATTCAGGTTTCACACCATTATTTACATTCAGCATGTATTTCTAGATACTGTACTGAAAATGCTGGCAGAGTTTATTATATACAAACTGAACAATCTGGCCCCTTGTTTTATTCATAAAGGTTCAATGTATCTATGCCTGCCTACTTCATTCTGCAAGGGAGTGTCAGAAAGGCCCCGCATTCGCCGAGCCGTGAGTTATTGCTAACTTTTCAGATGTGTTAATTAATGTGAAACCTGCAACTTGTGTATTTAAAAGAGAGAGAGAGAGAGAAACAGAAACTGATGGGAAAACATCCCAGTTTCTCTCAAATTTTCTGCAATAGCAGGCATGAATTTTAAAGAGAATTCTAAATTTTCATAAGTATAAAATGATTAAATCTAGAAACCTAGCTTCTGAAAACCTATTGTTGAACTACTCTGAAGCTGTTCTAGTTTGTGAATTACTTACCTAATTAGCCTCTAGATAAACACTGATATCGGAAACAAATGTTTAATTTCAATGGAATATAGCCCATCTGAAAATGTTACATTTTAATTCTGCATAGGGCAAAGAGTTAAACTGGAATTAAACAGTGAAATGATTAAAGTAAGGATTTAGAGTGTAGAGTCACTTCAATTGCCTGTTTCAGACTTACTGGAATAGAATAGTGACTGCATTTGTAACAGCAAATTTCTCTACCCTCAGGGGTGGATGAAGTTGGGGTAAAGTTGCATACATATCCTTGTCCCAGCAGTTCTCCTCTGCTTCAGTAATTCACCAGTAGGTTTTCATTTTACATAATTACAATTTAAAGGGTAATTTTTTTAAAAAAATTGAATAATATGAGTTTTATAACTGCTGCTGCATCTGCAGACTGAAAATGCTTTTCACAGGAACCTCCTTTCAATATGAAATAGTAACTATTCCACTGTCCCTTTTCTTGAAGGAAAACAAATCCTGCAATAAATCAGTAGCCAGGTGTTCAGTTTACCATTTAGACCTCATATTTCCAACCTTGTTCACAGATGAGATTGATTAGACTTGCAATTGGACTTCATTGTGTGGTAAGCAGGCTGATGCTTTTGTGTTCATAGAAATCTCAGTTTGTCATTAATGCAGATATGTTTCCATCTTACGGGGTTTCACGTTTGTACATAATGTAGCTTGTAGGCATTTTTCTTTTTCCCAGTGTTCTAGCTTTATATAAATACCAAAATCTAAAGTGTTGAACCTGGTCAAAGTAAAAGCATCAATTAATGCCACAAATAAGGTCCTGAAGAAATAGCAGCTGGCATTCAGTCAATGTGCAAGGAGTATTTATTAAATACTTACCAGGCTGTTAACGCTAAATGCAGTCCATATTAATAGGACAAAACATCTGTGAGGCAGTGCATTGTCATCCAATGTTATTAGCTTCCTTGCATTATTTTAATGCTGGGTGGTATGTAAAATAGTTACCACATGTAATCCATTAGTGATGCTGAAATAGTATTGACTTTTCAGTTTCATTTTATTAGATTTTTTTTTGTCTGAAATGGAGAACAGTCTTTTGAACAAATAGTGAAACAATTCTAGTTTGCAGAATGTTTGGTATCAGTCTAATCAGAAATGTATGTTGCTGTGTTACAGGGGATACTACCCGTCAGCGAATCAAATTCAGTGATGACAGAGTATGCAAAAGTCATCTTCTCAACTGCTGCCCTCATGATGTCCTCTCTGGAACAGTGCGTATTTTTTATTATTCTTTGGCAGTAATCTCCCTATCAGCATCTTTGTGAGGGAATATCAGGCTTTGAATGCAGTCCACAATCATGTCAACTTCTACACAGTTTTACTGGAGTTATAAGTAGTATCAAGACTCTGAACAACAAAAAGGCTTCAATTCCAGACATTTCCAAGCAGAAATGTATCTTAGGCCATGTGTAATAGACTCAATCTGCCTGAAAGAGAATGGTCTTCTACTACACTAAATGAAAGAATAAGGGTTACTAGTGATTCTTGGGAATCACATTATTTATGGTTAGCTCCTATAATAGACAGGGAACTGGACTCAGATGTGGAACTAAAAGACACCTCCCCCCCCCCCTCCAGCCTCCATAGGTTGGGACATAAGGGCCCAAGGCCATGCCACTGGTAACATTTGCTTCCTCACAGATATGGCACAACGTCCAGGAAACCACATTGTGTGGGCACCATTTTCTTCTATTTGTTGTGCAGTGAAACATGTTCCCAACTAAATTGGCAGTTGGAAAAGCACCCTAGCTATTTGTTGAACTGGAATCCTACTTTGCTACACGCCAGCCTCCTCTATTGAGGGTAGATGGTACACCGCAAAGTTGATCCAACTGAGTTATTATTGGCTGGAGAAATACTCTGGCTACCAGTTTAGCCAAGGATAATTGATGCACATAGCATCAATCCAGTAGAGAAGGTGTTGCACATACGAGTGTGGGGCTTTGCATGCTGTGAATCTACCTAATGGAGGAAATACGGAGTGCATGAACAAAATTGCTTAGTGCCAGGAGGAGATCCTACTCCCTGCATTTCCTGCCATGCTGTCAGAGGAACCCATTTCAGAAGATCTCTGATCACAAGGCCAATCCTTGCCCCCTGATGATTGCATAAGCTAGAAGAGGAGCCCCATAGGCTGGAATAAGCCCTCAAGATGGATGTTCCCTTCTATAACAAAGGTGTCAGCATATAGTAATAGAAATCTCACAGTGAAAGAAAACAGGCATAGCTGGGATGTTGTAACGTTAAGTCGTTACATGATTTATACATGATCTCTGGACTTTCTCTATTTTTTACATCTTGGAAATGTTCTTTATTTTTTCTTTTGCTTATAGTATCATTTATAAGAAATTTGCATTTCACCTTGATATACATAGAGCCAGATAAATGTGTTTTAAGGGGTTGCTGCACAACTTTTGAGTAGGGGCTGGATGACCGCCCCCCCCCCCAGCTCTTCATAATTTGTATGATGTCAGGTGGGCCTACCTGTTCCATTGATGCCAGTGGTGTGACCATACCCACCTGATAGCATTTGCTTCTTGACTCAAAGACCAGGTAGCTTTCTAGCAGGACACTTGAACCAAGACCAGTCTCCACTGTGTACAAGTTTCGCCCTTTAGGGAGCCCTGTGTGCAGCAACACTGATTGAACCTAACCCCTGTTACTTCACTGAGGAGCAAGGGAGACTAGGTCAGCTTTATCCTGCACACCCTGCATCCTTCCTGCAATGGGGAAAGAAGGTGAAGCAGCTGAATCCACACTGTTTTTCTAACAGAGAAGCAAAGGACTTTCAACTGCTTTGCAGAGCCTGACTCCTTCCCCCATATACAGAAAGGAGGTAGGGTGTGTGAAGGTGGAGCATTGCCTGTTGCCCCTCACCCTGCTGCTATCTCTGATCATAGGTTGGAATTGGCAGTGGGATTAAGGGGATAGTGGGTCTCACCTGCAGGGAGAATAGTCACTTTCTTCTGGTGCAGATGAATCCCAGTGCTGCTGCCCCTCTTCTGCCTACTGCTATCTCTAGTCTGGGACTGGAGAGAACAGTAGGGTTGTGCACTAGCAGAGGAACCCTCACTTATCTCTGAACACAAATTGTCATAACTGCAAGGGGATTTCTCCATGGAGCCTAAGTCCTACCTGTTAGAGGAACCACAACAGGCTGTACAGACCAGAATGGGGTAGTCTATGGACTGCATTAAATGAGCAGGCAAGAGGTCTTATACCCTTGCTTTAGGGTCTGGACCTGACTGCATATTACCAGTTGAGTCAGCCATTGCTTAAATTATTTTTATATCATTGCCAGTTTCAAATTCATGGTTTCAATTTTTATATCTTCAGAGTGGTTTTTATGTAGCAATTTTTATGTAGAGATCCTTTTTCTAACAAGAATTATCACAGTGTTCCCCCCAAAAAAGTCAAAAAATTTTCTTCCAGGTTTGTGAAACTGAATCTTGGGGCATAGGAAGTTTCCCTATAATATCACTGTTAGCACAGATTGAGCATTTTTTATTCTTGGACAATGGATTCTACTGATATACATCCCAAAGGAAAAGCAGGATTTCAAATATAGCTTCTTTTAAGAAATATGCTAAAATGCCTGAGTGACAATGTTATAGAACCCCTTAGAAAATGGAAAGAACAAGCAAGTTTGTTCTTTCCTAACTCTTGATTCAGGCTATTGGAAAGCAATTAAGAACTGAGTTGCAGACTGAAGATGATGATGATGTTAGTCGCGAAGTCGTGTCTGACCCATTGTGACCCCATGGACAACATTTCTCCAGGCCTTCCTGTCCTCCACCATCCCCCGGAGTACACTTAAGCTCACACAGACTTCTTCAGTGACTCCATCTAGCCACCTCATTCTCTTTTGTCCCCTTCTTCTTTTGCCCTCTCTTGTTCCCAGCATTAGGCTCTTCTCTTCTTATTAGGTGGCCAAAATTTCAGTATCTGACCTTCTAAGGAACAGTCAGGGTTGATCTCTTCTAGGACCGACTGGTATGATCGCCTTGCAGTTAAAGCACCAGTTCTTTGCTTGTTATTTCACAAGAATTTGAATCTTTTATATATTTTGGTTCAGCTGTTGCCAAAGTTAATTCTCACTCTTAGAAAGGAATATCCAAAGACATAATGTGACTTCTGGGACACCCTCCCAGGACCATAGGATTATGCCCTTAGTTTGGATCTAACCCTGTTTGTATAAAAATCCAGGATTTTGATCTAATGTGTACTGATGTGAATTAGAAAGTTGTAATAATAATACCAGCTTTTATATTTTGAAACATTTAATTATTATCTGAACTTCAGTTCCACTTTGACTTGGCAGACATTTCAAACTGGTTCAGGGTAGTGTTTTGGTGAAAAAAGAATAATTTAGACTAGTTTTTGGTTTGTGTGTGATTTAGTTCTAGTTTATGTCCTTTAAAAATATTGTGTAATACAGAAAGAATCAAACTGAACCATTAGAGAAGGAAAAAACCCTTTACAATTTTTAAAAGATATCCAAAAAGATTCATAGCACTAGTTACATTATTATATATTCCAATATATCAAGTATGTAACAGACCATACTGCCTTTATTTAAAAAAATAATTAAGAGCATACTTCAACAAAGAACCTCCAATATGAATAGATTTATCCATTTGTAGATTACACGTAAAAGTCACCTATCTAAACAATAAAAGTTTCATTAAATTTTTTGTTGTAATATCAGCCTTTTAGCTTTCAAAGGAGCACAGGGAATTATTTACATTGAACTTGCATTAAATTCCAAGAGATGAATAAGTAATTAAAAAGAACTTGTATATCCTTCAGTACTGATGAACTTTCCAGTACAAGATTATCTGAATTATTATCTTGCCCCAAAAAGAAGTTGCCATTGGGCTTTTCCAAAAAGTGTGAAGAAAAGAAGCATTAGTAGCATTATATCACCAACAAATGGCACTTAATTTAATTAAGCCCTTATTAAGGAGATGTTGCAACATCCCATATACTTAAAACATCATTTTTGGCTAAATTATGCATAATCTAAGATTCATAAACCCTTGCAAAATGGAAAATAAGCACTCCATTGTATATCATATTTATGATATTAAATAGCTACAGGCCAGTATAGGTGATCAGCATCCATCAATACTTTCAATAACATTGGCAACTCTGGGGCTGTAAAAGCAGGAGAAACATATCTAGATTCTAACAAAAGTTTCTGTTCCATAGCTGCAATTTATATATAGCACCCAAAGCAGAAGATGTGCCCACCCACAAATAAAAATAAAAATCATCAGGACTAACAAGCTGATCCGAAATTTTAAAAAGCAGCCAAACATTTTCTTGTCATTTTTTGAATCCTGATTTCTGCATAAAATTTTGTGTGTGCAAATATGTCATACATCAGTAGTGGCCCTGAGAGTTAGGCATGTCCTCATTTTTCTCATAATGAAATATGTAAAAAGTTGTAGCTTGATATGCATGGCATGAATTAAAAAAATGTTTTTCCTTTGAGACAAACATACAAGACAGAAAAATGAGAGATGTTGGTGAAGAAATGAAATTGAGTAGTGAAATATTGTCAACAGTAGCAACATGTTTATCGTCTTACTATATCTGGATTATAGAACTGTGGTCTTTTTTCCAGCTGTCTTAAGTGATATAGCCTAGGAAAGGTTATACTCAGAGATTTCAAAGTACTTGATTAGTTATATAATATTGAGCTTGTATATTTTTTTGAAAACCTTTTAACAGTGTTAAAATGAATTATAACAGGTGTTATTTCAGTATATTTCACAAACTGATGCAGTAACTTGGCATGCTTGCCTGAAAAAGTATGTCAGGCATGAACAGTGTTCATGTAATCAGGGAAGAAAAAGAAACCATATGTGTGCAGGTTGTCACATTGTCCTAACCATCTGGGCTGGCTTCCAAGTCTTATAACAAGCGAAGCCACAACCACCTCACACTTTCCCATGTTTGGACATTACAGCAACCCATGTCCAAGGCTGATGATGTAAATGAGGTGTCATGCAATTGATATGTGTACAGCAGGAAAAAGTAGCCAGTATGGCTTCTTTTTCTTCCCCAGTCATGTAAATCTGGTCAGTATGTCATGCTATCTCACTGGTCAGTATGTCATGGTTTTCCAGAGTAAGTTTCTGTAAAGGTTTTATTGAACTTCAGTGTTCCTCAGTATTGAAGATAACATAATTCCTTTGTCGTTAAATTTATAGCAGTACCATTCTTAATGCTTTTTCAGGATACTTAATACAGAAATCCTGTCATTTTCAAGTCTTTTTATTGACTGTAACCAGTTGTTATGAATTATTTGCATAGTCTACTTTAGCATCTATTTCATTATGCATTTTGATACAGCATGGCCTATGCTGCTCTGCTATTGGACACCAACCCTGTTTAGCTTCCTTTGGATGTTTACATTTATTTCACTGAGTTTTGTGAGATCTTGCATTTCAAAGGTAAACCTTCCTCATGTATTGTTGTAAACCAGTCTCATCCAAGCCAGGCATCTTCTAGATATTTTGAATCACAACTTCCAGCATGCTTGACCACTGGGGATACTAGCTAGAACTTCTAGAAACAGGCCCAAACATCTGGAAGGTACCAGTTTGTAGAGAGCTCTTGTAAACTCTCTTCTTGGCATGTAGTACTTTTTGTTAGTATAGAGAAGTCTGTTTTGCCATAGCTGTATCAATTTTGCGTAAAATCTTTGGTCTCAAACCAATGCAGTAACTGACCTCTTCCCTATACCAGCTTGGGGGCCATCGGGGGGAAAGGATTTTAGTTCTGTATTTCAAAAAAAAAAAAAAAAAAATTTAATTGTGACTAATCTCCCAGAGAGGTTTAGCTACTGAGCAGTGTAGAAATGTAAACTTACAGGCAGGATAAGGAAGGACTCCCTGGAGAAGAGTCTAATGCTGGGAACAATAGATGGCAAAAGAAGAAGGGGACGGCAGAGGATGAGATGGCTAGATGGAGTCACTGAGGCGGTTGGTGTGAGCTTGGGTGGACTCCGGGGGATGGTGGAGGACAGGAGGGCCTGGAGAAGTGTTGTCCATGGGGTCATGATGAGTCAGACACGACTTTTCGACTAACAACAAATAAATCTTTAAACTTGATAAGGAAAGCAGTGATAAGGAATAGTGCCAAGGAAAGATATCTAACCCTTGTTCACTGCTGTGGGGTTATCAGAAGGTTGTGATCCTTCTAACAAACCATGCTACTCAGGTTCAGATTAGATGACAACTGTGCCTGTGCATGATTATGGAAATAATGCTCCACCTGTACTGCAATTAAACCACCTGTGGATTTTTTTATCATGTAAACTGGCCCATTGGTTTTGTCACAGGTTATCATTAGGGGTATGCTTGTAACATGGAAAAACATATTCAGGATTTTTCAGCTTTCCAAGTATTAAGTTGCTGCTTAAGGCTGTACCATGTATAGTAAAGATTGAAACAAATATTTGCTGCTGATTTGTGCAAATGATTATACTGGTGTTTGTGGATGTTTCAGTGCAGTTTGGGTTGGATAGCTTAATGTGGGAATACATGTGATATGCTGTAATAATTTCAAACATACTGTTTTCACGCTTATGTAAATTACTTGAAAGTGGCTTCCTTTACTATATCAGAACAGAATATGATCTGTAACTACTAATGCTTCCCTTGTAATATTCTGCTTTTTTCTTTTCAGAGGATGGACCTTGGAGAATGTTTGAAGGTGCATGACTTGGCACTAAGAGCAGATTATGAAATTGCATCAAAAGAACAAGACTTTTTCTTTGAGCTTGATGTATGTTTTGCTTTTGAATTAACTACTATATAAAGGCTAGAGAATGTACACCATATCAGATTAGTATACAGTGCAATTGTGTTCTTTAAATTCTTAGTTCTGTCAAGGGTTGTGGTAAATGCCAGAGATTTCAAAATTATTTTTCCAGAACAGGTAGTATTTGAAAGGTATACAGTTCCATGTTTTCAACATGAAATTTGGAACTTTTGGTAGTTATTAAGAGTTACTAATAGTTCTTGATATTGTCTTAGTCTCTAAGTCTCTTGCTTAGTCTCTTGCTTGCTCTCTGTGGACCAAAGTCTAACCATTTCTCTAAAAATAGCATTTCATTTTGAGAAGAATCTATTCTGGTAGATTTGCCTTCTGTACCTTTGAGTCTTGCTAACATCAGGAATACACAGCACATTTTCTCAATGGGGTTTCTTTCACTGAAGGCATGGCAGATGGAATATCCTAAGGTTATTATTGGCTCTGCTTCTGATAGTATATACAACAAGTGGAAGAACAAGTCTAACATCTGTGACATAATTCTAGCAGTGATTGTCCTTTGATACTGTAGGCAATGGATCATCTGCAGTCATTCATTGCTGACTGTGATAGAAGAACTGAAGTGGCAAAGAAGAGACTGGCAGAAACCCAAGAGGAGATCAGTGCTGAAGTTGCAGCCAAAGTAAGCTTTTAACACTCACACTCTGCAGGATACTCTCTGGATAATTCTTTTAGCTTAGTTCTTGAATAACTATACTTCAGAAATACTTTATTGTCTAAAATTTTTCATACTTACCCGCTTGTCTCCTTAATCATCTTGGCAACCCTCTGAGGGTATTAGTTCAATTTAGAAGAAGTTGAACTATAGCTGAGAAAGGACAACATGCACAGATGTTAAAGGAAGTAGATGTAAGTTTTACAGATCTATGTTCAAGTCTCTGGCTGCCTTGATATTAGCAATTTTTAATATATGGATTGAAAGCTTCTGGAGGAATTAGACTGAAATAAATGCATAGACATTGGAAAGAAACATAACCCAAAGGTGCAAAAGCAAGTTTTGCAAATCAGTAAACTGTACTGAAATCGTCTTAGGAGAAGTTGAAAGCCACCTCTTTTTCTTCAGAGGTGCAAGAAGATTTATGGGGTTGTTCAAGCAATGCAAGAAGGAATGGAAAACTCACCCCATGCCTGTATTATCTCAATTGCTGAGCAGATGTTACATGATTCATGACTAGTTTGCATGTGGTGTCATTTTATATTGACTTTTAACAATGTCAGCTATTTTGAAGTGGGTAAATGCTATAGCCAGTGAGAGCCAGTGTGGTGTAGTGGTTAAGAGCATGGGACTGGGACTCAGACGATCTGAGTTCTAGTCCCCGCTCAGCCATGGAGCCAACTGGGTGACGTTGGGCCAGTCACAGACTCTCAGCCCAACCTACCTCACAGGGTTGTGGGGATAAGATGGAGGAGGAGAATGATGTAAGCTGCCTTGAGCCCTTGTAGGAAAAAGGCAGGATATAAATTGAAAAATTAAATAAATAAATAGTCATAAGGAAAATTTTAAAGAGGAAGTCTTGAGCTAAGATTTTTCACTTGTATAAAGTATTGTGACTGCAAACTATTAGTTTAGGAAATGAGAGGCTGGTACCCAATTTTTGAATAGACATCAAAATTGGGTTTTTCCTAATCTTGTGTGATTCGCCAAGTGCTAAACAAAATTGCATCACCCAGAAACAGAAGGAGAGTTATAACCAAATAGAAAAAAAAAACTTTAAGGGAAAAAACCCTAAATGTTTCTATGAAGACTGAGTATATTCAGTGATCAAAGATTCCTCACTGGAAGAAGAAATTAAAAATGGAAAATTAGGGGGATAAGGGATGAATGAGGTATCCTCGAAGAGCTGGAGTGGACACCAAACAGGAGTACCCCATACTAACTTTTTTTTTTTTTTTTTTGGCAAGTCCCACTTGTTGATTTTGTTGCAGTGATTTCTGTTAATTTCTGAATTTTTCTTATGTATTATTTTTCCCTGCTAAAGGCTGAACGAGTTCATGAATTGAATGAAGAAATTGGGAAGCTGCTTGCCAAAGTAGAACAACTTGGAGCTGATGGAAACGTGGAAGAATCACAGAAAGTCATGGACGAAGTGGAGAAAGCCAGGGCAAAAAAGAGAGAAGCAGAGGTAATCTGAATTTGCATTCTTTAACAGTTGCTTTCACTTAGTCTTGGGATATCAAGGTTAAAAGAGTGGTTGTAAGCATAACAGTTTTCCAGTTCATATTCTTTATGAACAAACTAATTCATTGTGATGGCATATAAGGAGATGCTTTAAATTGGTTTAAATATATTGTCCCTAAAATCTAGTTAATTAGAGTTAACTGTTTTGGGTGGTTTCTAACTCTTCTTACTTCTTACCAGTCATGAGGGAGGGCAGTTCTGTGAAGCACTTGTGCTGCTTCTTCCCTTTCTGGGAGAAAACCCCTGCATATGCCAGAAGACTCAGATAAGGGTCTTTTGCAAAACAAAGATGAATCCCTCATGCTACTTCTCTCTTGTATATAATCCCAGTAGAAAGTGAGACATTGCCCCTTCCACCATAACCTCTGCATGTTCCAGAAGATTCAAGGAAGAGAGGAAATTAATGGTGCTCACAAATCCTGGTTGGTTACGAAATCCAACCAAAGGTTGTGAATTATATACAGGAAAAAAAAAAAAACAATCTATCAACAGTGCAAATCCATCTATTTTTTTCAACTTTTAAACTAGTTACTAACATGTTGGTTATGTTCTCCCTGAAAATGCTTATTAGCACAATCTAGTTGTGTGTGGTGGGCGGGGGAGATTGCATTCTAAATAACTGGTTCCTCTTGAGTTCTTCATTCTTGCTACCAGAGAAAGAAGCATCACATCATGTGAGTCAGAAAACCAGCTAATCACACCTTCTAATACTGAATTAAGTGTCAAAATTACGCCACTGAAACAACAGGTGGCTTGCAGAAGCACACATTGTCATATACACACATGCTCGCGCGCACACAAATATTTAGAAGATGGCCTTGCAGAAATGTTCACACCCGCACACCCTTTTAACTTGCCAGAAAGAATGGGCAAATATTACAGGATCCAGAAGCACAAAGCTGATAGAGGTTTACTCAAGAAGATTTGCAACTGTAATTGCTGCCAAAGGTGCTTCTATCAAGTATTGACTTAAAGGGTTGGATACTTATGTGACCATTTTGTTTTTTATTACTTTTTTGCCTGGTAAAATTTTTTGCACCTTCACAGTTTTGAATAACTTGAGTCTATCAGGTGGTGACAATGGTGATTAAATTCATCTCAATTCCAGGCTGTAACACAACAGAATATGAAAAAGTCAGAGGGGGTGAATACTTCTGTAAGACACTATAGCATAATGAAGGTAGCTGACCCACCTGCAAATCTAGTGAGAACTATGCTCAGTGGCCTACAACAGCCACAAAATGTCTGTTGGAGTAGAAACAAATGGGATAGGGCAGGAGAATGGACTGGCCTACTGTATTACAACTATGCATTGCAGGTCCTATTTGTTAATAGTCATTACATCCTCTGCTGACTTGCTTGTTTCAAAATTATTACATGACAGCATAATGTACAACCAGTAAGGCATATACAGAAACTACAGTGAAAGAGAGATCTATAAATCTGAAATCACTGTGAGAGTTGATGAGGACTTTTAACTGTAGGGTGGTGATTCTGCCTGGACCTCATGTCCCTGGCTAAATCTCCTACCCCTGTTTAAGAAAGGCACATTGTTCCAGCTAGTAAATAACATTCTGTACCAGTTACATGTTCATGTATTTTAGAGAAGTATTGTGATATCTCTCCTAGGAAGTATACAGAAATTCCATGCCTGCTTCCAGCTTTCAGCAGCAGAAGCTTCGGGTCTGTGAAGTGTGTTCAGCCTATCTTGGTCTACATGATAATGACAGGCGGCTTGCTGATCACTTTGGTGGAAAATTGCACTTGGGTTTTATTGAAATAAGAGAAAAGCTTGAAGAACTTAGGGTAAATATATACTGTATTCTTTGAACTATCAAAACAGTTACTGGTCAGACTATTTTAATACATTTGCATTAGTTAATACGGCATTAAAAGAGTTCACTGAACTTCAAATAGCTAGGAACCTGATTTAAACTTGTGTTCAAGAACTCTGGGACATGGATGCAGAACATATCTTTCTGAGGATAATGAGTTAATACACTAATAACATGAAGGACTTAGGCAGTTGTGGTATCCTCACTGTCATATCAGGTATCAAGAGATATCAAGAGATCTACCAGCCTGTATCCTGTCTCTTGTTTCACCAGCAAATAATTATTTTCCATTTCTAAAGTTGATTGATATTTTACTGTAGTTTTTACAGTTTTCTAAATTAAGCATTTGAATGTAAGCAGTTTCCACTCAAATTTGTTTGGCTTTTTTGTAATGTGTAACATTACACAGTTTCAGTTACTGAGTCCTGAGGATGTGAACAAGGAACTTGGTCATGTTCGATCCACCACCTGTATGCTCGACTCTTGCCCTTCTTGGTCTATTGTTACAACTAAGGAGAGGATTCACACTTGGGTCAAGGAGACTGTCAATGCCTCTTTGAAAGAGTGGTACCAGCCTCCTTAAAAGAGGCTGTGACTAAACCACTCCTAAAAAAGCTGAACCTGGACCCAGGGAATGTGAAGAACTATAGACGTGTCACAAATATCCCCTTCTTGGCAAGGTGTTTGAGTGGGTGGTTTTATCCAAGATAAAACAGATTGAGATCCATTTCAGTTGGGTTTCAGTCCTTGTTTTGGAAAGGAAAACTGCCTTGTTCACCCTGTGGGATGATCTTTGCTGGGAGAGAGACAGGGGGAATGTGACCCTGTTGATTCTCTTGGACCTTTCAGCAGTTTTTGACACCAGCCATGGTGTCCTTCTCGATTGTTTCCAGAAGGAGGATTTTTGCTCTGTACCCTGTTAGTTGTGCCACTGGAAAAAGTCATCTGGAGGTATGGGCCAAGATGTCATCAATATGTAGATGACACACAGCTCCACCCCTCTTTTTCATTTAACCCAGATGAAATGGTTGCCATTCTGAATCAGTGCCTGAGCTCGGTAATGGACTGACTGAGGACCAACAAACTGGGACTCAGTTCAGACAAGCTGGAGGTAATCTTGGTGGGCAGATCATCTGTCCAGTGGGAAGATTTTCAACATGTCCTGGGCACCGTCCATAACTTGGGAGTGCTCCTAGACCCAGGACTATCACTGGAGTCAGGAGTGGACTTGGTGGCTCAGAGTGCCTTCCATCAGCTACTGCTGATTTACCAGCTGCGGCCTTATCAGGACAGGCAGAGCCTGGCTATGGTTATCCATGCTCTGGGAACCTCTTGTTTGGACTGTTGTAATATACTCTTCATGGGGCTTTTAGTTTTAAGAACTAAAAGATGGTTAATTTTATATATTTATATTTTAATACTGTTATTGTTGCTGCTGTATTGGGATGGTTAACGTTTATAATTGTTGAAGTTATTCCTTGCTTAGTGTTTTAGTGCTTCTTTTATTGTATCATTATTTTATCTTGGGTATTTTATTGTTGTATATATGCTTTACTGTTTGTAAACTGCCCAGAGAGCCCTATGGGGCAGTATATAAACATGGATGGATGGATGGATGGATGGATGAATAGCTCTTAAATAAGAATTCAAGAAGTTGTCTTTAAAAATGTCCTCTCACTAATGAAAATGCCTGTGGATTTTCACCCTCCTGTAGCATTTAAGAGCATATATCTTCATTTGAGCATTCCTTGCCTGTTGAATATGTTGTCAAGAGAAATACATGAATTTGCCAGTTGTCCAGCTTTTCCATTCACATGATCATACACCAAACCTTTATTTTGGTACTTATTCCTCAAAATAAGGTTAGAGTGATCACATTACTTCCTATTAATCTACTTCTCTCGCTCCCCACCATTACTATCTCTAAAGAATATGGCAAAACTAGTATGAAAATATCATTTAGAAATTAGGGCACTTCTCTAAATGATGTGCCTGTATAAATAAGTGTCCCATTTGGAGCGTGCATTGCATCCTCCTTGGTAAAGTGTACTACTGGTAATCATGCCATATTAGAAACAGAACCAAGCACAGACCAAAAGCAAGTGTTTAGCTTCTTTGGCTTTATCTTTTGAATATTTATTTATTTCTTAAACCTTTGTTTTTCAGAGAATTGTGGCTGATAAGCAGGAGAAACGAAATCAGGAACGTCTAAAGCGGAGAGAAGAAAGGGAGAGGGAAGAAAGGGAGAAGCTAAGGAGGTAGAACTCAATTTTTGCTGCATATAGTGCATATTTGCAGTTCCTGTCACTATTTTATATGGTTTTTGCCTTGTTAGAAAATGATTCTGCCGTTTCTAGGCTGTCACTAAGGGGGAAAAAAACAAATTAAATTGAGTAACAAACTGCATAGTTAGTCTATGAAGTTCACATCCACAGTTTGGTCTCCTTTAAAAGAGGATTCATAAAAGTGAAGTCTGTAAAAAGCCACTACTCCTGAAAGTTGTGTGCCCCCTCTGGTATCTGAAAGAGTATATCTTACACCAGTTGCTGGGGAACATGGCAAGGAAGGTTCTCTTGCACTCATGCCCTGCTTGGGGGATTCTGTGGGCAGCTATAAACAGAATGCTAGACTAGATGGATCCTTGGTCTGATCCAGCATGACCTTTGTTCTTACAGCATTAAATACACCTGATGCATTTCAGTGTTAGTCTTTTCTCAGGGGCAAAATGCTCTTGAACTATTGTGAGTTTGCATTAATTAAAAATTGAATAGTTAGTTTGTTTTGGACCTGGATTAAGACTTCTGCTCAGCATTGTCTGTACATTTAACATATAAAATGCTTTGTATTAATGTCATCTTTTAAACAGTATATTATGTGAATTGACTTTTCAGCATAAAAATTCACCTTTCTTATTTTCAGATCTCGATCTCATAGCAAGAACCCCAAAAGGTAGAATGTTATTTCTTTTATACATTTTCACAAGTGGGAACCATTGATCAGGATTGCATTGTTAAGAAGCATCTGTGGATTCTTTTTCCTGCTGTTCATTTGCTGGTTGCACACCTTCCTATTTCTACAATTACCCTTTCAGAGTGCAAGTAGCCTTATCATCAGGACCTGGCAAGGTGGGGAACAGGGTGGCCTCCATAGCACCTTACAACTTATGGCTTGTTTTAGAATGGTTTCAAAGCAACATAACTTACTATTCAACACTATTACTATTTTGCTCTCCCTTGAAGTTTTAAGATATCTGGGGAGTTTTGAATTCTACTGGTTTTAGGGGTTAGGTTTAGGGGTGTTTGTTTAAACTCAGAACTTAAGTTTTTTTAGTCCTGGAAGTAATATAGAGTCTTGTTGCCTTGTCAGTGGCACACAGTGTAGGAAGTGATTTCTCTTAACTATGCTTAATCAGCTACTACAGTAGACTCCCAACTATCCGGCCTAATGTGGCGGAAGGACAGGTCGGATAACAAAAAAGCTGGATAGGCCGGAGTTCTATAAATGCTCACTTCCTACCCCACCCATACCATTAAAAACACCCTTTTTATACCAGAACTCGCTCTTACTCATATTTTCTGACTTCTTAGTACAGGCCAGTACTTTATAAATGTTATGTACTGTACTGTACGTTTTAAAAATTTATTACAGATAAAGGAAGTCCAAGGATAAAAATAATGTACACATTTTAAGATAAATTTTATAATGTCTAACATAATTGCAGGAAACATAAAATCATGTACACTGTACAGTATGAATACATACACTTTTAAAATAAACAAAACATTAACGTAAAACGTAGGCTTAATTCTTACAAAAATTATTTAAATTTGTTTTACTGTTCATTGATAAATGATTACACAAATGTGAAAAGGTAGGCCTAAGATGAAAGAGTCAAAACTGACAGTTTTTAGTTTTTGAAAAAGTCCTTTATAGATGACTGCTTCTCCCTTTTAGCCCTCTTCTGCGATGCAATGTCCCTCCACTTACGCAAGCAGATGATATCAGCTGGCGTTGCTTCCTCCTGCTCACTAATGTACTGCAGCGCTGCCTCAATTGTCTTGAACCCTTCCGAATGTGGGATAAGATTTTTCCTGTCATCTAAGGATGCCTTCTCCTCCTCCTCTTCTATTACTTCCTCCTGTGTCATCATTTCCACAATATCGTTATCAGTTATTTCATCAGCTTCGTCGTTTGCCATCCATTCTGTAATGTCCTCTGCATTGACATTGTCACAGCCTGGTACTTTTTCGAGCAACGAAACAAGTTTATCATTTTCATCTTCCACTTCGGTTTCACACACAGGTTCAAGGTTGAAATGACCATCTTCATGGTCCAAAAGAATTTTCCAAGACTTTACAAGTGATATGTTTGGAATCTCTTCCCATGCTTCGGCCAACCACCTTATGACATCTAGCATGTCAATCTTTTTCAGAGTGGTTACGCAGTCTTCATTGTTATCAATCGCTGATATCAACGAACTGAGAAGACGCCAACGATACTTTTTCTTTAGCGTTTCAAGGACGCTCTGGTCCATTGGCTGAAAAACAGCCGTCACATTGGGTGGTAAAAATAAAGCTTTGATGTCTCCATCTGTGAGTTCGTCAGTGGCAGGATGCGAAGGTGCATTGTCAAGAAGTAGTACAGCTTTTCTTGGCAAATTGTTTTCTTTCAAATGTTTTTCTACAGTCGGTACGAATTCATTTTGGAACCAGGTTTTAAAGATTTCTGAATTCATCCATGCTTTCTTTTGATGTGTGTAATATAGGGGTAGTGATTCCCGATTTTTCAGTTTTTTAAAAGCTCTAGGTTTCTTTGATTTTCCTATTAACGTAAGCTTAAGCTTGTGGTTGCCAGTTGCATTACTGCAAGCCAAGATGGTGACTCGTTCTTTGCTTTTCTTGTATCCTGGTGCAGCGGCTTCTTTTTTTGATGCAAGCATTTTTGTAGGGAGCATCTTATAATTTAAACCGGTCTCATCACAGTTGTACAACTGCTCCCCAGAAATTCCCTCCTTTTCAATAAGCTTAAAAAGGTAGTCTTTGAACAAAGGTACAGCCTCTTTATCAGCAGATAAAGCCTCCCCACTTATGGTAATCTGGTGAATACTGAATCGTTTTTTCCACCGATCTAACCATCCATCACTGGCAGTAAATTCTGAATCTTCTCCTTCTATTTGTCGCTTAAGTTGCAATGCTTTTTTCTGCAATATCGGCCCAGTAACAGGCAAGCCTTTTCCTCTTAAGTGTTCATGCCACAAAAATAAAGCTTCCTCAACTTCTTTATGCTTACCTTTCAGCATCGTTTTTCTTACTTTCATTCCACTTCCACTAGCTTGGGCAGCACACCACTTTTCAATTTCTGCTCGATTTTTCTTCCAGTCTCCAACTGTACTTTTCCCGACTCCTAAATCTGAAGCAATAGTTTTTGCCATTACCCCAGAGTCTAGTCGTTTTATAGCACGTAGTTTCTCCTCCATAGTCACTACAACCTTTTTTCGTTTATCACCCATTTCGTGATCTTTAATAAAAAAATCAGCGAAGCACACCAAACAACAATTTACTAACTTAACCAGGAACAGTGGCAAACATATTCCTCACTTGTTGACATTCAATACACAACTGATGAAGCAAAGAACAGGTAGCAGGGTGGGGGAAATCTGCGCTTTGCATGTCGCAACTTGTGGTATGCACACGGTACGTAGGAGGATTGTAGCAGACGCCCGCTTGCAACGGCTTGGCAAAGTAAATTATTCCTCATTTTATTATGGAGAATTATTATTTTTTAACTAGGCTGGATGGTCGCGAGCTGGATAGTCGGGAGTCTACTGTATTTAGAGTTTCAGCCCATAGAGACATCAGTTTCAAAGCATTTTGTTAATCATTAAGATTAGCAAACTCTTATGACAAAAATTGCTAATAAAAGACCTTGTATATATGGCAGATACAGTATATGCTGTTTCTTTCATCTAATCTCTTCAGATCTAGATCCCGTGATCGCCGTAGGCATAGATCTCGTTCCTCCTCACGTGAACGAAAGAAAAGAACTCGGTCACGGTCCCGTGAGAAACGTCACCGTCACAGATCTCGCTCTACCAGTCGCAGCAGGAGCCACAGCCACCAAAGGAGCAGGCATAGCTCTAGGGACAAGAGCAGAGAACGCAGTTCTAAGAAAAGGTAATACTTGGATCTGTCCCAGAATGTCTAAATTACAGTCTCCTGATACTTTGACATTAATGTATAAAACCTAGCACATGTGCAACTTTTTCCAAATTGAGAGTACGTTAGTAATTCTGAGTACTTTCACTTGTATTATATATAATATGCACCTCCCACATACAGAGTATACCAATAGCAAACTGAGGTATTGAGTTAGGATGGCTCTGTATAACAAAACAAGGTTACTAAGAAACAAGAGCAAATGTATCATCATCCTTCAGGAAACTCTAAGGTTTGTAAACCATAAGGTGTGTGTTAGGATGCTGAAGGTGCAGAACACATGCCTCTTCAGTATCCTAACACCCTGAGGATTGTGCATGCTCCCTGATCACAGAATATTGAATATATGAAAGGAGATGGAATGAAATACTGATAAGGAACCATCATTTCCTTCACCGACCTTCCTGGTCACTGAGGTCATCAGAAAGCATATGTCTGGAGTGTACCCTAAGGAGAGACTTCAGAGCTGCCTCTAGAGGTCAGCAGGCATCAACACTGAATTGTTTTTGGCATCTCCTGAAAACAGTTTTAATTGAGAATGCCTTCCTTATCTAACCACCCTAATTTTTTAAACTTTGTTTTTAACACATTTATTTGTTTTATCTTCTGTTCACTGCTCTGTACTTTTAGAATAAATAAACAATCCTGAAAGAAGGCATGGAACACTGAGAAAAGCACTCCACACTGCAACTTCTTATTATATATTCAGTTGTAGGAAAGAAAAATAACAGTGTAATACTGCATATGGCTACTTGGACATAACCACCATTGAATTTATTAACTTCAGCTGGCCAAGGCTGATGGGACTTACCCTCCCCTGGAGAATAGTATCGCAGCCTAAAGCTTACCGTAAAGCTTGTAGACTCCATGGTGTGCCACGCTTTTGCATCTAACACATTTTTATTGTTACCTACCCATGACTCATAACCAGGACTTTACTAATTTTCTCACACTCTTGCTTAAGTGTAGAACTCACTATCGGAACTCTTTCTTTTGGACTTTGGCTTTTTATCCTTTTATCTTCTCCATTGTCAGTTTTTAACTTCAAAGCTACTTATACAGGGACCAGTCTCCAAATCCAGGTTTATTTGTAAGCATAGGTTATCACTATGTAAGAAAATGATTTGGAGTGTTACCTTAATTCTCTTTTGTAACTTTTGAAGCATAATACTAGCAAACAGACTATAAATACAGTCCTTTAGTACTGGATTGAAGGTGACTTTTTTTGTTCTACAAATGTGCAAACCCTTACCCTGACAAATCAGTGGAGGAAAATATTAGTTTGAATTATTTTCATGGAATGTGCATGCTCTTTTTGTAGTGTGAGAATGTAGGGTGCTGCATGAGACTACTAGAAACTATTCAGTTTCAGTAGATGACCAGTAAAAACTTTGGCTTGTGCTACTATGAAAATATGTTAGGTAGCAACAGTTTGATTCTTCTCCCTGAACTTTTTTTTGAATTGGAAATAAGAATAGGTCCTTATTAGGTTAAAATTAAAAAAAACTCTTTTCTGTTGTTATTCTGTAAATGGTGCATTCTATCCCTTTTTTGCCTTATGCTTGCTAGACTGGCCTCTAATTCACACAAGTAATCACTAATTAATGTAGATTAAGATACCTTGCAATTTTTTCAGATCCTCAAAAGAAAGATCTTCCAGAGATCATGAACGTTCAAGAGACCGCAACAGAACATCACGCGACAAAGAAAGGAGCCCCAGAGAAAAGTCACCTAGAGATCGAGACTGCAAAGACAGGAAGCGTTCCTATGAAAGTGCTAATGGCCGGTCAGAAGACAGGAGAAGTTCAGAGGAGCGTGAAGCAGGGGAAATATAACTGGCTGTACATTCACTTGATTCTTTAGCTTCCTATGGAGTTGCATACTGTGGTTTAGTTTACAGTTATTCAAAGGGACACCAATGAGCAGTTTCACACACTGATACAACTAGGATAGATGTACAGTATATAAAAATGGTTATAATGAAGCCTGAATTGACCCTTTCCAATTGATGGCAACTAAAGCAGTGTCCTTTTCCCCTCCCTTCCAATAAACTTGTAAAACATATTTTCAAAGACAACAATTCCAAAAAGACAACAATTTTATGTACAAAGATGTAGATCTCAGTGTTTTATTCTCCCTTTTTCAATACAAGTTATAGTGAACAAACTATATTGTGCTCTTTGCATTGGATGCTTTCAAACCTTTATAAGCTCCTCTAATTTTGCTCCTCTTCAAACAGCAGCACTGAGTAGGTTTTAAAGGGGGTGGGGGTGGGGGTACCAAGCTTTTCTTATCACTGTAAGATTGTGTTCTCAGTTGCTTTTCAAAAGCCTAAGATGTCTGACAGTATGTTTAGATTGGGAATGTGTGCTGGAGAAAATGGAAAAATGTTTTTTTTACAGTGCCTCTTCAGACTTGGAAATTGAACAGCTGTTGCATTTTTTTTAATTTCTACTGCAACTTTGAAATCAAAGCCAGTCCCATATCTCTGTACCATTTGATTGGTGTTCAATATACTTGTTTTTTTTCCATAAGACTTTTTCTGCTTTATCTTGTGGGGTGTTAACTGCACATCCTTAATTGTAAAAAAACAAAAAATAAAACCCACAACCAGTAATAAAAAATTAACAGTTTTGTCAATGAAATAGCTGTTGTGTTCCCCACTCCTTCCTCAGAACTAAACTGCATGTTGCTAGCATCTGTGCTTTCTATCGAGTCAGATGTACCTGGAAGCTACATGGTGGTTCTTTTAATTGGAAGGTAACACTTTATGCTCATATGTATTATAAATACATTCCCATTACAGTAGAAATAAGCTGTTGGTGTGATAGAAGAATGGAAGTACTACTTAGGGAGGCTAGCTATAACAACTGAACATTTATATGGTCTTGCTCACAGAGGTTTAATCCAACCAGACAGAGCTCACATATTTACTGCTGAAGATGTTACTGCATAAACATTCTTGGCATCCTAGTATGAAGGTGTACATTGCTTTCTCTTTATCTTTCCATGTACACATGGTGCCAGTTCATACAATCAAACAGCTGACCATGGCTAAGCCTGTGGCCATTTTGAATATTCAAGCCATGCCTTGTGTTATTTGGACCCAGTTGGCAGGGGTTTTGCAAAGGTTAAACAACCTGCACATAACCCACAACCTGTGATCCTTTGCATGTGCAGTTTGTGAAAAAGTGCCTTACTAGATCATGCTAGGCTAACCTAGTTGACTGTTATCTGCAAGATGCCCTGCAAATGCTGGTGGTCAGTCAGAAATCAGCCATTGGATTGAGAAATACCTTCAGTCCAGCCCCTGCTCTAAATGTAAGGACCTCTGAAAAACAATGGGCACAATCTTACAAATACTCAAGCAGAAAAAGTTCAACTTACAGAATTCCCCAAACAACCGTGCTGGCTGGAGAATGCTGAGGAATGTAAGACTCTTTTCTGTTCAAATATGTAAAGGATAGTACTTTTTCTTTGCAATGTGACAATGTAATAGTAAGCCATCTACGGAAAAGTGACTTGCATGTCAGTCCAGTATTTTCAGGAGGACTGGGATTCTTTCCATTCATTTTTAAAAGCATGTAACTCAGAACCAGAGGGGGGGTAACTGCCTCACCTTCTAGTTAAATCTAAAATTAGTAGTACAAAAACTAACTTGTTTAAGCTCACCATCAACTTGTCTCCTTGCCATTTTGATGATAACAAGTAGGCTGTGCTACTAATTTTTGATTTTTTGGACCCATATGTTTTATACATACTTAAGGGCACAATGTAGTGATCAGAGATCATAATACTGAAGTGCTACAAAGCAAATTCTTTAATCTGGGCCAGCACACTGGGACTTGACAGTCATTCCAGTGATTAAAGTTAAATATTTAAAGTTCTGAACTTAACAGAATAGTTATAGCAGGCATTATCAGTGCTTGATTTATTTGGCTGTGCTTTGCTTAAGATGCATACTGAATTTGACCTGCATTATAGAAAGGAATTACAATGCATACATACATTTAAACATATTCATGTAGCAACTTGCACTCAGATGCTTGTTTCTAATCGCTACTGAAGTCCCCCTCGAGGTGGTTTCATATACGAGAAGCAGGAATAGCTTTCTCCCAGCCTAAGATTGTGACTTATGTATGACTTGATCTATTGTAAGTCAGAGTGCTGGCTTCTACTAAGAGTCAATACATTTATGTCTTATCCAACTAACTTCAGAATGCTATGGGATGTTTTCTTGGTTGCCATTGTGAATAACCACAGGCCTGTTTATTCCAACATCCTGTTTCCCACAGCAACCAACAAGGTGCCTCTGAGAAGTTCACAGGAGGGCCATTTCTGCTAGCAACTGCTATTGACCAGGTTGGTATAATGAAACAACTCATAGATAACAAACCATGGGTTGTTTGGGAGCAAGCTGCTTCCCTTCCACTTTCCTACACAACCCGGAGTGCTTACCCAATCCCTGGGTTGTTGTCATGACGTCCAAATGCAACACTGCGTCATTCAGGGTTAAACAACTCAGCGTTTAAACCAATGGTTTGTTCAGTCATCGCAACAAAACCATAGGATCTATGGTGTTCCTGGGTTGTTCAGGGAAGCAGAGATCATGTGTGTGGGAAGCAATGCAGCTTATATGATCAAAAATCCAATAGTTAGCCATTACATGTGAACTAGGTCATTGACAGCCATGTTGCTTCTCATCCCAGAGAGTGTATGTAGCCATCATGACTAGTAGCCACTGATTGTCTTATATTCCATGAGTGTCTGATCTCTTTCAAAGCTATTTAAATTTGTGGGCCTCACCACATTTTGTGGAACTGAATTCCATAGTTTAAACACATGTTGGGTGAAGTACTACATTTTCTCCTTAATCTCCCACAATTCTTCATTGGCTGTAGTACTAAAAATGGGAAGGAAAGACTATCAACTTTTTTCATGCTGTATCCACTTTCAGGACATAAACCAAATTTAAGATTCCTTATTTGTATTGAAGTGCTGTGATCTTTCCCTTTATTTAATCCCATGTAAGAGAACCTGAGGGCAGAATCCATTGGGGTACTTAGCCCCCACCAGTTCTCTTTTCAATCTGCAGTGCTTTTACAGTTCTAGTGCAACCCAAAACAAGCAAAAACACTCATTTTTGGTAGGAGGCAGGTTGGTAGAACTTAAAGGAGCTCCATTGACATGCCTCCCAGAAATTAATGTCTCTGCTCATTGTTGGTTTCCCTAAGGAAGCACTTAATCTCCCTTAAGTGGTGGACCCTGCACAAATAAAATTTGGGGATCCTTCCTTGCAGAAGGGAATTCATGTATTAGAACTGGCAAGGATCTAAAGTGCCCTTTGGATTCTGATCTGAGGCAGAAGTAACTCATCTAAGCCTTATACTCTATGCCCAGGTTAAGCCAACCCATGTTATATGTGTATTTTTTAGTATTTTTAATACTAAAAAGGGTACAGTTCGGTGGATATGAGTGTGAGCCCCTGAACATGGAGGCTCATATTCATCCATTGCAAAGCAGGAGGAGGAGTGGTGGAGGCAATGTTTGCCTACTTGCTCCTCCCACCTTCCATTTTCACCTGTCTAATTGGAACATTTCAGTAAAGGAGAGGAGGTGGTGGTTTCCATTCCACCCTGCTCCTTTTAGCTGCTCACCATGTTTGCTTTCCTGACACTGAAGAAAAGCCAGACAGATCTTCCATGCTGGTTACAAGCGGTGGGACACAAGAGCTTTGATTCTCAGCTTCAAGGTTTTAATTCTATCTAACCTGGGAATCTGAGCTACCCAATGGCCCCTAGACATTGTCTGAGGGGCATGGGACCATTCCCTCTATATATTTTGTGGTATTTTCTGAAACACTTGAGTAATTCTTTTTTGTACTCTGGTATGCATGGATCACTGCCTTGTGGCGAAGGGGCTTGCGTAGCTCAATGAAGCTATGAGCTATGCTGTCCACCCAAGACGGACAGGTCATAGCAGAGAGCTCTGACAAAACGTGATCCACTGGAGAAGAAAATGGCAAACCCCACTCAGTATCTTTGCCATGAAAACCCCATGGACAGTACCAAAAGGCAAAAAGATACGACGCTGAAAGATGACCCCTCAGATTGGAAGGTGTCCAATATGTTACTGGGGAGGAGCAGAGGGCTAGTACTAGTGCCAGAAAGAATGAAGCGACTGGATCAAAGCTGAAAGGACACTCGGTTGCAGATGTATCTGGTGGTGAAGGGAGAGTCTGATGCTGTAAAGATCTATACTCCATAGGAACCTGGAATGTAAGATCCATGAATCAAGGCAAGCTGGACGTAGTCAAACGAGATGACAAGACTGACCATCGACATCTTAGGAATCAGTGAACTAAAATGGACAGGAATGGGTGAATTTAATTCAGATCACCATCAGGTATTCTACTACAGGCAAGAATCCCTCAGAAGAAATGGAGTAGCATTTATAGTCAATAAAAGAGTAAGAAAAGCAGTACTGGGATACAATCTCCAAAATGACAGAATGATTTCAGTTCGAATCCAAGGCAACTGTTCAACATCACAGTAGTTCAAATCTATGCCCCAACCACTGGTGCTGAAGAGGCTGAAGTTGACTGGTTCTATGAAGGCCTACACACCTTCTAGAATTAACACCAAAAAATGATGCCCTTATCATCATGGGGGATTGGAATGCTAAAGTAGGAAGCCAAAAGATTACCAGAATAATAGGCAAGTTTGGCCTTGGAGTACAAAATGAAGCAGGGCACAGGCTGGTAGAATTTTGTCAAGAGAATACAACGGTCATAGCAAACACTCTTTTTCAACAACCCAAGAGACGACTCTGCACATGGACATCACCAGACGGTCAACACAGCAGATTGACTATGTGCTCTGCAGCCAAAGATGGAGAAGCTCTATACTGTCAGTAAAAATTAGACCAGGAGCTGACTGTGGCTCAGATCATGAGCTTCTGGTTGCAAAATTTAGGCTTAAGTTGAAGAAAGTAGGGAAAAGCACTGGACAGCTCAGGTATGACCTAAATCATATCCCTGATGAATATACAGTAGAGGTGACAAATAGATTTAAGGAATTAGATCTGATAGACAGAGTGCCTGAAGAACTATGGACGGAGGTTCGCAACACTGTACAAGAGGTAGCAACTAAAACCATCCCAAAGAAAAAGAAATGCAAGAAAGTAAAATGGCTGTCTGAGGAAGCTTTACAAATAGCTGAGGAAAGAAGGGAAGTGAAAGGCAAGGGAGAAAGAGAAAGATACACCCAATTGAATGCAAAATTCCAGAGAACAGCTAGAAGAGATAAGAATGCCTTCTTAAATGAACAGTGCAAAGAAATAGAAGAAAACAATAGAATGGGGGGACCAGAGATCTCTTCAAGAAAAGTGGAGATATGAAGGGAACGTTTCATGCAAAGATGGGCATGATAAAGGACCAAAATGGCAGGGACCTAACAGGCAGAAGAGATTAAGAAGAGGTGGCAAGATCACACAGAGGAACAATACAAGAAAGAGCTTAATGTCCCTGATAAGCACAAAGGGGTGGTCACTGACCTTGAGCCAGACATCCTGGAATGTGAAGTCAAATGGGCCTTAGGAAGTCTGAGCAACAAAAAAGCTAGTGGAGGTGACAGTATTCCAGCTGAG